TTGTGGAGAAGTGGGGGTAATGTAGATCTGTTTCCTTTGCTCTGCTAAGAGGCACTCCTTGTCTAAATCCTTCTCCAAACCCTTACAGTGTAGTCTGTAAATCTTCTATGGGGAGCGAAAGGGGCTGACAACTATCTCCTTCTATATGCTTAAGAACACACTCTTAAATCCACTTACCATGAATTCATTAACTCTCTAACACCATTAAGCAATCTAGCAATTCCTGCATTCAGGATGATTAAAAAAGAGAAGGGCTTGCCCACCCACTTTAATTTTAATTTGTGTGAGTGATTCTAAGGACAAGACCAATCTGGTAGTAGCTATTTGCAAAGCATAGCCTGAGCAATGGACTCATCCTCAGAAATTGCTTTTTTGAATACACAATCTGATAAGAAAATAACGGTGTGTGTGTGCACCTCTGTGCACATGGAAGGTGCATTCCCTCACCATTAAGCAACCACAACCATTCTCAGACATGGTATATTAAGAGAGGAAGGTTGTTGTTTTCAGGCAGGGCTTGAAGGTTGGCATTGCTATTTAATTTGGAATCATCAGGAGTTATTTCAGATCAAGTAACTAGAAGGATGTTAGGATGATCTCCAGTACAATCTCTTCCATGAGCATGGACTTTGCAGACCACAAAAACCAAACCCCTCCTCCCAACCTGCCCTGCCTGGTTCCCCTCTCCCCTCCCCCTCTGCCAGCTGCTAGCTCTGGGGAGCTCACTCCATCTGCTTCTCCGTCCTTCATTCCCTTTTGCCCATTTCCATGCAGCACCTTCCACAGGATCCAGGCTCTGGGAGTGGTGAGGGCCACCACTTTGGGAGCAAAAGCAGACAGTCAGGAAGGCCATCATCCTGGCCTTGAGGCAGCTGCATCCTTCCTCCCCTGCAGCATCACTGGCTCTGGTCAAATCCAGAGGTGTGTTTCTTTCACGGAGGAAGAAACCCACTCCAGGGTGGTGTAAATCAATAACTAGTCTTAGCTTTCAAGCTAGACTTCATCCTTTCCTGCGGTTCCCTCAACAGTAAGAGAAGATAGGGCTGCTGTCTGGGGAAAAGGAAGGATAGGACAACCTCTCCCCGAAAAGCTACTCGGCCTCTGTCAGATGATCATTTATGGAGCAAAGGAGAACAGTACCATCTTTTCCCTCCCACAAAGTCACACCTTGTTAAGTTGGGGTGGTGGAGGCATGTTCAGGGCCCATTTGGGGGAAGGGATGGTCATGCACCCCTCAAGCATCCTCAGCCGAGACCTGAGCTAGCAGCAGGTTAGGCGGCGGCGGCGGCGGCGGCGGGTGTGCGTGAGAGAGCGCATCCGTTCACCATTTCATCTCCAGATCTGGACGTCTCTCCTCCGCGCCATCATCGCTTCTCCATCCATTCTACCAGACCTCCCCTCCCCCACCAGTAACATTCCAGGGCGGCCCTGGGCTCTCCCCCCACTTCATTTCTCTCGCCTCCTTGCCCCGATCCCCCCTCCTCAAATTCAGATCTTGCACCTCCGTCTCCACCAGAGCGCTTCTCCCCTCCCCCTCCCTCCCTCCCCCCTCTCCCTCCCTCCATCCATCCATCCCTTACCTCCGGCGGGTGCCTTCTCCTGGCTCGGCCGCCCCGTCCTCTCTTTGCAGCAGAACGATCCAGCGGCGGCGGCAGCAACAAAAGCGCCTGCTCCTCCCCCGCTCCGTCAGCCGGTCAGGCCGGTCCCCATCTGGCTAATCACCGCGCTCCCCGGACACAGGCAGCAGCAGCAGCAGCGGCAGCTCGAAGGAAGCGCATCCTCCCCGGCCAAGGCGCGGCGCACGCAAGCCAGTGCCCCAGCCGCCGCCGGGGCGGGGAGCGGGAGGAGGACGGAGTAAGCGGGGTCCTCGCTGTGCCAGCCCCGGATCAGCCTTGCCCCCCCCCGGCCGCTCCTTCCCCCCCCCCACAACTCCAAGTACGGATCGGCCCGATCCCCAGACTGCAGACGTCTTGTCGATCTCCTCGCCCCCCCTCGCCCCGGCCGGTGTCACTCCGGGGACAGACACGCCCTGAGCTTGGGGGACTTGGAATTGCCTCGGGCAGCACGGATCGCCAGCCTCTTAAAGGCGAAGCGCCCTTGTTTGGAGGAACAGGCCACTGTGGCCCACTATAAATTAATAATAAAATAATATTTTATAGCACTGTTAGTGTTCAAAGCGTTTCTCGTATAACATTTCAGGAATCTTTTCAATAAACTTGCGGATGTCAGAATTAGGATTCTCCTGTTTGCTGTGTGTGGTGCTCTGGGACAGACTTGAGTTTGTGCAGCCCTCATGACTGTATTAGAAAGCAAGTGAGTAGACCAAGGCTGTGTGAATCAGTATGGCTTGATGCTGGCATTTCATGCAAGTATGCTAGTTTTAAGTTATGATGCACCAGCCACATTTGCAAAGATGCTTGCTGTAGCAGCAGCCACTCTGGACTATTGTTAAACAACCAGGGGTCTGGTTACCTCATCTCAGGAGGGAGATAAATTGAGCTGAAACAGGTACAGAAAGCAAACCTGAGCAACTAAGTGATCCTATGCACTTCCTGGAAGCAATTCCCACTGGATTCAGAGGCATAAGCCATGCTCATCTTGGGTTATACAACCCTTGTGTCCATGAAGTGGGTAAATATAACCTATGTTTCAGTCCATATTCAGATGACAAGAAGATGGGAACTGCAGGCTGGCAGAGCATGAAAGCAGAGAATGAAAAACACAATACTCACCCACACATGGTCACCCTGAAACTGGGGGATGCGCATGCACAATTCCCTGGAGTTTTCAGGGAGTACCACCAGCAGCAAAAAGTGGTGCTGGACCTCTGGGCTCTTGGGCTAAAAGGGTTTGTTGTGCTTTCCCTTTAAGGCCCAGCCCAATGGTGCAGGAAGGATTGAGGGTAATACAAGGGCTACAAGCATCATCCTGTTTCTACTTAGCTTTTTTTCTTTCACAGGTGGGAGGTGAGAGTCAAGAGTCAAGGCAGGCTGTGAAGACTCCAGGAAGCTTGGGAGGTGGGCAGGAGCTCAACTGTCCAATTCCTACCACAAATGGGGATTCCATCTGTCTGCCCCTGTGATTTCCAGTGCCAGCTCCCAGTGTGGAAAGGAAACCAGGGACTGGGAGCAACAAAAAAAGTAATGAGCGATTCCAGGAAGTCACCCATTGCTCCTCCCACTGGCTGCTTTTGCGTTCTAGAGTCTGCAGAATTTGTCTTTCTCTGTTGCAAATTTCTAGCTTTTTCAACTGTCAACCATTGTCCTTGCATGAATGACAAAGGAATCTTAAGATCCCCCCCTTCTTTGTGAGACCTGGCATTTTTCTTTTCTCAAGCTGTCATACAGAGCTAATGAGATTATGATGCCACATTCCCTAAGTAATCTAGAAGAGTCAAGAAACAGGGACTGGCTGGTGCTTCAAAAGCAAACCTACAATTTATTTAGGACACTGTCTGCCCAGTCCTGTGTTACTTGTGACTTGGGCTGCAGTCCTACATGCACCTACATTGTAGCAAGTGCCACTGAAAACCGGACTTATTCTGAAGTAAACAGGGCTGGGATGGGGCTGTATATTCCATCCCAACCAAGTTGGGTTCAACATTAGCCGGAATGGGGCTATGCATATGTATGAAGGTGTATGCCCCAGAACTGTGCAGTATCTATTTTGAATTAAGCAAACCTATATCAGGAATCATTAGCTGATTAGCAGACCATGTTTTTAAATAACATCACTTCATTTAAATCTGCATATTACCAAAACCTCAGCATAGGTCCCTTCCTGTGATACTGAGGGGGAAAAAACTGATTTAGTCAAAGCTGCTCCTTAAATGCAGAAAGGCCAATTCTGCCATTTCTTATTAGAGAAACCCAGGTGTTTTCTAGAAGCTGCTGAACGCCAACTCACAGCCTGATCACAGCCTCCAACCCCACTCCTGATCACTGGCCATGCCAGCTAGGACTGATGTGGCTGAAATCCAACTCTCATCTGGAGGGCCACAGGTTCCTCCTGCCTTTGAAGTAACCCAACAGCTGCCATTCAGCTCTGAACCTCACTGATTCATCAAGCAATGCCTTCTCTCATATGGCTACCAATTAAAACTGCCGTGCATTTCTCTGGCCAGTAAATCTTATGCAATGGAAAGAAATGTCTTTTCCATTGCAGAATTCTGTTTATAATTTTGCTCTAAAATTTGATAAATGGGTCAGTGATTTCCATGACACCGTTACTGTAGGAGCACTAATGCACATGCATTCCCAGTCCCTGGCATGACCACTTCCTCATTTGTTTCAAAATTACAAACCGTATTTAAGCATATATCCCCACTGCCTTTGCTAAGCAACCCACAACTGAAAGGTCAGGAAAGCTCCAGTTTTTCCAGCTCCTCTCCTAGCGCCTCAGAGGGGTTCAAAGAGGGGCTGGATTGGACCGCTGGCTCCCCCTTTTTGCCCTTTCTGAAGGCCTGAGAGAAAAAATGGAGGTATATTGTTCATTGCCTCTGAATGTGGAGGGGTCTTGACCTTGCTCCGGAAACTTTAAAACAGGTACATCGTGCTATCATAAAAAGTCAGCCCTTGAACATTCAATTACTTTAAGTTCCCAATAAAGAAATTAAATGCAAGCCATGAAAGCCATTGCACAGGGGAAGCAGGAAAGCACAGTGCAAGAAAAGAGCCAGAAATAGCCCTGGCTGCTTCCCGGTACATTTCAGCTATGATGAATCACGGGCGTCCCAATTCTACATGGGTCTTTGGCAATGCAACAACTGCAACCGGAGGCACCTGCCCATCAGTACAGATGAGGCACCTTGGCAGGCACATGCAGGCTCCGCTTCTGTCGGCTGCGTGAGGTGATGTTGCTATCACCTTGTTTGCCACAACCTTGTCAAACAACCAGGAAGAACGAAAGCTGTTTGCTTTTGGCTTTGCTTCTCGCAGAAAACCCCGCCAGTGCCTCCTGCCATCCCACACGGGAAACCCCAGATAAGACATGATGCTGTGTTTGTTTCAAAATTAGAGTCTTCATTCAAAATTAGAGTCTGATCTTTGGCAGGGAACTCCGTGTGTGAATGGGCTCAGGAGAGGGGGACGCACACGGGCACACACATGCTCAGGACCCTGCCATGCTTTTGCACAAAAACCAGGGGTGGCCGACAATCCTGCAACACAAAGGCTTCGGTCTCCCAATGTTAGTGCACAGGAGCTGATTCATGTCTGATATGCAAAGGATGCCGTCACCTGGCCCCGTGCTGTGCAGTGGGGAGGAGCAAACGTCGTTGTACGGTCAGATACTCAGAACGACTGCCTTTCCTACCATGGGTATTCGCTGCAGGCCACCTTCACAAAGGGCTGAAGAGAAGCAGGGAGAGCAGAGGAGGAATTCTGAGCCTCATTCGGCAAGTCCCATAGTGGCAGTCTTGTCAGGGGAGAGGGCTTTGGAGAAAGACCCCTCTGCTGAGGAAGAAAGGATGTTCTGCAGGCTGGTCTTCCCCAGCACATGCTGGCACCTACAGTAGGTTTCCAGGCTAAAAGCAGTCTCATCCAACTGCAGGATGCAGAGTGCTTCCCAAGTCAACCTGGAGAAAAGAAGCCCTAACGCTGGAAGAAGTGAAAGCCTGGCAGGCAGGAAGGAAAGCATTCTGCACTTGCCACAGACCTTGAGTTTCTGGCTAACTCTGTGACTGAAATGTTGGCCATGTGGCGGAGCGAGCAACCTGTCCAGTAAGAAGCTGCCCTCTAAGCGTCCCATGCTCTCTTCAGGGTGGTCTCTTGTTCCCTTACCTAATGCAGCAGAGACAGCTAGTCACTCTCCTGACCCCCAACCCATCCCCTTCTCACTGAAGACTGTTTGGGAACAGCCAACAGCTCCAGCCTTTCATACCTGCCAGCCACGAAGGGGGCATCCAGCCACACACCTGGCAGGCCCAAGCTATTCCTAAACTAGAGGAGGGAACCTCAAGCCCACTGTTCTAGCTAGCTTGCTAGCAGTAAGGTGAACCCCAAACGGACCACCACAGTGGAAGCGACACCAAAGTCCAGATTACAGCCGTTGGTCACTGCCTGCTGAATCCACTGGAGGATCTTGCGCTGACAACTGGGAATCTGAAGGGAAAAGTAAGAAGAAAGTGGTTGAGAGAGATTGGCAGCCTCCAGTTCCAAGCACATACATTTTTCAGCACTCTCTTAGAGTCCTGGTTCATAACTGGGTTCCTCCCTGACCATAAAAAACAGGGAAGATTAGTGTGGCCTGTCATTGATCATCTTTTCCTGCTCTCAGACGAACAATGATTCATAAACCAAAACCAACTCTGGCTTGTGATCCTGGCTTGCAAAGACAGCAAAAAGCCAGGATGCCTGGTTTAGATGACATGCTAAGTAAACCATTTCTATTTTGCAGGCATACTGGTGGGGAGAAGCAAAGTGGAAACAAAGGGACTGCATGAATCAGTAGTGTCTGCTCTAGTATCTTGGGTTCTTGCTCCCTGTGAATGCAGCCAATTGCTGTCTCAGAGAAACAAATGCATTTCAAACAGGAATTGCTGCCCATGCCAATGGTATACAGGGTTTGCAATGTTTTGAACGGTTTCAGAAACCTGCCAAAATCTGGAAGTGACAATGGGACAAAAGAAGAGTGCTTATACATGTATATTCACGCTATCACGAAGCCATGGGTTCAATAATCAACTATCAACTGTCTTAAAATCTATTATTGGTCTCCAGGCTAATGTCTTTCTGCATCTATTTTCCTTCAGTAGATCTTAATGAAGTAGTATTTGCAGTACGATTCTCCTTGAAGATCTTATCTTTCTGAGCAATGTTGACAGAGAGACTTATAAAACACTTTCTCGTACTCTACTTCCTGGGATGCAAAGCATGTATAGCGACACTGCACAGGCAGGTGGGCATACATATGTGCCTTGCTACTGATTCACCATAGCACTCATCTTACAAAAGTGATAAAGACAAGATTAATCGTGTCAGGGAAACATATGGATCAACAAATCCACACAGGAGAAGCAGGGCGAGGGTGGAAGTAGCACAGAACAGTCACCCCTCCCCCAAAGAAAAACACGGCTTGAAACAAGCTAAAGGCGGCTGTACTTGTGAAGGGAAAACCATCTAAGTGCATGCTTCCATGGATCAAGTTTACAAGGTAGAACAGAAGTGAGGAATGTTGTTGAATTTTAGCACTGCCAGTCACCATGAAAACCACACTGTCTGGAAGCTCCCTAGCAAGGCTATTTGAAAACACCTATCTTAGATGCATCCAGTATGAAATGTAAGAACACATCACTTTTCTAACTTAGTCTGTGTGTCTCCCAGCAAAGTTTTGAACATACTTAATGAGGACCAATGTTGAATTCCAGGGCTTCTTGTAACATGGTGGATTAGTCTGAATGGCCTCACAGATCCATGCTTTCCCATGAATAGATGCCTGCAGTGGAGAATGGGGCACCCATGCCCCTGCTCCTTGTGGAAGATGGGCTTGGCCTCTGCAGTTTGTGATGGCAGCCTGGCATGCTGTGCTCCTCCACCCTCTTCCCTGGGCTTTCAATGCTAAGGAAGCAAGCAGCGGGGGCTGTAGCAGGAGCATCATCCAACTTCAACGGAGGTTAGACAAAGCAAGAAGGAATGAGGAGCTTCTGCGAAAGTTTGTCAAGAAGCTGGCGAAGTAATTGGCCACTGGCATTTTTTGTGTATCCTTAAGCGGGGGAAAGGAGTTGAGAGATCCTGGATTCAGGGATCCATTGGTGAACTAAATCTGGAAAGGAAGAAGATTTAAAGCCAATGGAAAGGGTGAGAAAGAAGGACAGAAGTTGTTGAAGGATGAGGAGCTGTATCAGGACAGCAGGGCTCCCTGAAACTGCTGTGGGAAGGTCCCCTCGATGAGCCAGGCTTCTTTACTTGCTATGATTTAAGGAGTGAGAGCTAGGCTGTGAGTGCTTGTATAGAGCAGCCCCAACCCTCTCTGGGAGAAGGTCTGACAATACACATTGAAGGCCCACACCGTGGCTGCAGTGTTGGACTGGGGCTCAAGAGATCCAGGTTCTAGTCCCTGTTTGACTGCACGAAGCTGGCTGGGTGACTTGGGGCCAGTCACACTCTCTCAGCCTAACCTGCCCCACAGGGCTGTTCAGTGAACATAAGCAAAGAGAAAGAGGAATGTGTAAGCTGCCTTGGGTTCTGCTCAATGGTGGGATTTACAAGCAATATGGATTTAAACTATGTGTGCGCATGCGCGCGCGCACACACACACACACAAACTCTACAGTTACCTAGCTCATCATATCAAAAATGTGTAGGCGGCTTCACTAGGATGGGGTTTGGGTATTCCTACATGGAAATAACAAGCTCCTTGTTTTCTAGGGAAACAAAAACATTGGTGGCTCTCTGTGATATCCATGTGGAAAAAATTAAAAAGCCATTTGGTGACTTCTGCAAAAGTGGTGGCCGAGTGGGCCCTGAGCCTGTGCTGAGATGTGAGAGATCACCCATTGCCTCCCACCTAGCCTCTTTCCCCGTGAGTTCCTGAACTGAAGACCGGGAAACTACCAAGCACAAAGCAGTTCTACAGCAAGTCTGGCGCTCAACTCAAAGGAAGGACCACTCATTTGTCTCCCATAATGGCTGCTGCATCTTGGGCGAGGCTGCCACCAGGACCGATTCAGAAAGGCCCACGCTCCAGTCTGAGTTGCCCAACAGCTTCCCCAGTCCATGAGCAACAGCTGAGCTGGAGAGGCAGGCTGCAAGAATCCCTCCCATCTCCTCAGCCCGTGAGCCTGCTCTGGTAGCCAAGAAGAGCCCCCACCCCGACATTATCTCTTCTCAGCCAAAAGAGGGCAAGCCTGCCTCCCTACCAACTCACCGCCTTTCCCCTCCCATGTTAACCTCATGCAGTTAACTGGTGGTGGCCCCTACCAACTGCTTCTTCAAGTATGGTGCCTGGGGGGCTTTCAGGCGGGCAACCCCGCTGCCCCCACTGCTGTGAGCGGAACATCACCATCTCTTCCAGGTTGCGCAGCACAGTCACGGTGCCCTTGGGAAGCGATGGGGGGACTCGAGCTGGCTCCAGAGCTCTGTAAGGGAAGAGTGCCAGGTTGAAGAGGCGGGGCGTCCGTGCCTCACACGCCCCGCCCCATGGAAGCACTTCTAGGCACGGGATGAATGGAACACGCACAGGACTGCGCCATGCAAAAGCTGAGGGTGCTATGCAAAGCAGGGAACAACATGCGTGCCCTGCACCCAGCTGAAGAATGCATTCTTTTTTCTTTTAAAGAACAAAACACCCCTTTCCACAGCAATACATAGGCAGTTTCATACTGGCCAGATCAGAGGAAGGGAATAATGCGAGCATTAGCTATGCATTAGTAAAATGAGAGTGGAGAGGGTTCAGAATGGAGGCTCACGCCATTCGAAGCCAGATGCAACCCACCCACCTCACTCCAGAAATATGGCTTGGGATTGGAATGGCGTTTGCTCACACTACTGGCCAGCCCTTTCTGCACCCCAGGATCCCCTTCCCAGCTGCATGCTCGAGAAGAGGCAGCAGCCCATAGGAGGGAGGGCTTGGTAAAGACACGGGAGAGGCCTTGTCCCTTGCTGAAAAGAGACACTTGCCTCCACCGGCTATCAACAGCCCCATCTCCTTCTCAAGAGTTCTTGCTTGATTTTGCATGGGAAGGGCAGGGTAAGGCTGGACACAGAAGAGGGAATGCAATTCTTTTCCCAGGATTTCCCAGCAAAACTAAAGGAAAAAGTAGGGGGGGGGAACCACCCACAGTTTTGGGGACAAATGTGGGGAAAACTAACAAATTCTAAGATGACCCACGGAAAGCTTGCCCATTGCAATTAAAAACGAGCTCTTTCCCCCTGGGGACTTACCTGTCTGAGGAGACTATGCCTGTGTGGCTCATAGAACGCTTTATCTGAAGGAGAGGGGAAAACAAGAGCACATCAGTTAGGACACAAACCAGGGTAGCATCCAGTTTTCCCAGAATCCAGACTTGACATGAGCAATTGCAGCCATCCACAACCCTATGTTCATAATCACAAATAGATTTTGAGATCACCACCCCAGGCACAACATGCATTGACAATTTGCAAAATTATTCACAAACCCTGAACACTTATTTGAAAGCATCCTGGATGTGTTTACAAAAGGGCCACCTCTTTAATCATCTAGTTAATTACTTGCTTTATAACAGATCACCAATATTTTGTTGATTTAAAGAGCTAACTGCAATTAGCTAATTCATGTGTTTTTCCTTCAGGCAGTGACTTAGAGACCAGCCTTCTCTGCAGTGGCACCTACCCTGTAGGAAGCTCTCCACTGTATATGACTTCAAGTCACAATGCCAGAATCTTTTAGGCATTTATTGAAAATATACCTGCTTATACAGGTTTTTCCTCAGCCATGAGCCATCGCTGTAGCAGTCTCATGATACCAGAAAGAAGGTGGGAGGGAGGGGCTGGGTTCACACTGCACAGCGATCAACCTCATGTGGTTTCCTTGGTGTGCAGTTTTTTCCCTGGATGTGCTTGACAATCAAATGGTTTCTACACTAGCGTGGCTTCTATCCTCCTCATTCAGTCTTCCTGCTGCCAGCACACATCCTATCAGTCATCACTCCTGAATTCAGCCCCATGCTGGAAGGAGCAGCCCCTGCAGCTGCCACTCCTTTCTCGTAGTTGCGTACTGGGACCATAGAGACCATGATGCTAGGTACGTACAACCAGAGAAACCATGGTTTCAAGTGTGAAAACCACAGAACAGACCTTTGTTCATATCATGGTTTCTGAAAACCAAAGGGACCATGCCAAAATACCACAACAGGGTTCAAGTGACAACAGACCATCCTGTGAAACTACTGTGGCTTGTTGAGTCATGTGAACCAGCCCAGACTCATACACACAAAATGGGCAGGATTGCACGCCAAACTACCCATGATGGTTTTTAGCTACCATAGATCATCTTGGAAGGAGTGGCAGATGCTGAAAGAGATGCTCCAGCCACCCAGCATGAGAATAAATTTCAGGTAAGGCGGTTGAGGAAATGCATGCCAACAGTGGGAGGACTTAGTAGGAAACCATGCTAGTATAAAAGTTACTTAGTCATCTGTCAGGCACATCCAGGCAAAAAACTACATACCATCTAATTCACACAGGTTGCTTGCCATGTGTGAAACCGGGCTCTGCATGTGCCACCTGTGTGCACGCACATGTGTGTTTGGGATTTGTTTCATATGAAAAGCAGTATATATTGTTAGCAGTGACTATACAATCCTCATGAGCCTATTTTGCAATTGCACGTAAGGCTAACTGCAGTAAGAGTGGAGAATGCAAATGGTACTAGGCCCGGGACAGCTGGCATAAGACTGCATTGCAGAAGCAGCAAACTGGGATTTGATAATCCCAGTGTATTATCATTATTATATTGCTGCTATTAACTATGTTTCTATATCACCCAATAGCTGAAGCTCTCTGGGCAGTTTATAGTGGCAAGTAAAATGAAAGAAAACTACAATATGAAATACAAAACCGTAATAAAAACACCAGAAAAATACAAACATTTAAAAAGACAATTTAAAAAGCTAACATGGGGTTACACAAATTAAATCACAAGATCGGTTAGAGTTAGGGTTAAAATTAAAGAAATGCCCTTTCATAGAGGACAGTCTTAACCTGGCACTGAAAAGATATTAAAGTTGGTACCAGGCCGGCCTTGCTGGGGAGCTTATTCCGTAACTGGGGAGGCGCCCCTGGAAAGGCCCTTCTCCTTGCCGCTACTCACTGACCCACCCGTGGAAGATGCAACTGGAGGCAGGTCCCATATTGTGGTTATAGATTCTGTGTAGACTGCAGCTGGGAAAAGGTGTATGGGACCACAATTGTGGTGGCAAGCTGCACAGGATTTTATACATTAAAACTAGTCCCACGAATTGGCCTTGGAAGCTTACAGGCAGCCACTGAAAGCAGGCCAGAATTGGTGTTATGCGTTCAAGCCTTCTGGTCCCTGTTATTAATCCACCTGCTTCCTTTTGTACAAACTGCAGCTTCTGAACAGTCTTCAGGAGTGGTCCCATGTGGAGTGCATTGCTGCAATCTAGCTTAGAAATTACTGGAGCATGGATTTCTCAAACCAGGCTATCCCTGTCCAGATAGGGCTACTGCTGGACCAGAGGACACTCTGAGTCACTGAGGCCACCTGAACCTCAAATGACAACAAACTTGTTTCATCAAGGAAAGAGCAACCCCATCCAGAACAGGGGCATTCTCTCCATCCAATCAGAAGTACCCCTCACTAACAGCACCTCAGCCTTGCCTAGGAGGAGCTTCAGTTTGTTAGCCCTCATACGGTCCAAGGGTGCAGCTGGACTGCCATTTAGCCCACCCACAGGCTCACCTGCTGAAGATGAAAAGGAGAAGTAGAGCTGCATGTCATCAGTACACTGATGACAACACACTCCAAACCTCCAGTGGTTTCATGTAGGTGTTAAATAGCATGGGCAATGACTGACCCCGCTGGAACGCCACCCTGTAGAGTCCAAGGGGCTGAGCAATATTGCCCAAACATCTCCTTCTGCAGTCAGCCATCCAAGTAGGAGCAGACCCACTGCAACGCAGCACCTCCTTCTCCCAACTCAGCCAGCCACCACAGAAGGATGCCGCGGTCAATGGTATCAGAAGCTGCTGAGGGATCTAGGAGTACCACCAGGATCATACTCCCACTTCCTCTCTGCTGACCTAAGTCATCACACAGGGCAACCAAAGCTGATTCCACACCAAACCCTGGACTGAACCCTGACCGAAGTGGATCAAGATAAGCAGTTCCATCCAAGAATGCCTGGAGCTGGTTGGCCTCCAGCCACTCAAGGACCTTGCCCAGGAAAGGGATCTTTGCCACACTGGCCTGAAATTATTCAGATCTACTGAGTCCAAAGAGGGTTATTTTAAGTGCCATGGTAGCACTTCCTGCCCTAAAGGGGCATTAATCACCCCTGTCCCCGCCAGCTATTCTCTCATTGCTAGCTTTTATTAGCCAAAAGGGGCAGGAACCCAGTCCAGACAAGCTTGCACAAACCTGTCCAAGCAATTTATCTCCACCTTTGAGCTGTACTAACGGGTACTCATCAAGAGGACTGCAGAACCCAGGAGGACAGTTGACCGCTCACCGTAAAATTAGCTCAGGCCATACGTTGTAGTAGCTCATTTCACCCGGACCTGCTAGTGCACAGCTACAGTTTGCAGAGAGGGAGGCTGCAGCTTCACAATGGCAGAGGTAGCCCAAGGCCCAATTTCCAGGCAACAATTAAGCAAGCGTACAGGCAATAACTTCACTTCAGTTGAAAGGATGCAAGAGGGCAGACGGGGCAACGGCAACACATGCTGAGAGCAACAATGTGAACAGAACTGAGTCACAACTACTTGGCCACAGCTGCTGAAAATGCAGCAGCCAAATTTAGTGAGGGGTCCACCACTGGGAACATGGAATGTCTCTTTTTATAGTTTGGATAGCTTCAATAGCTTCTGGGCTCAATTCAAAGTGAAGGGCGGTCTGTCTAACCTCATCCTGCCAATCGCACCCTGCCATAACATCAGTTGCAAAAGGGATCGCTGTGATATGGAAATCCCAGCGTTGGACTGGGGCTGGGGGTTCCCTAGTCCCCACTTGGCTCACTGGGTAACTTTATTTATTAAATTTGTATAAAAGCCGCCCATTTATTACATTTGTATAAAAACCGCACATTTGCTGGGCAGCCAAGCTTTGGGCCGATCACTCACTCTTTGCCCAACCAACCTCATGGGGTTGTTGCTGTTGTGAAGATAAAATGGAGCTAAGTTAGCCACCTTGGGTCCCTCACAAGAGGAAAGAAAGTGGAATATAAATGCAATGTAATAACAACAACAACAAATTTGACCCCAGACAAAACTGTTTCAAGCAAGGCAAAAGCAACATATGAAAAGGCCTTTTCTGGCTCAGTGTTACCTGCCACCAGAGGACTGAAGCAGCATAAGAATGGATTTCAGGTCTCAGCTGGCACAGATGCTGCTGCTGAATGCACTTCATGTCTTAATACTTAATACTTTTATGCATCCTGCAGCTATGCGTAAAAGTAAATCTGCATAACAACAGTTTGGCCTACAAAATTTAAACCAACATAAAAAAGCTTTCCCTCAATGGGTTTTAATTCTGCTTGCTGGAGGTTTTAGCTCAGAATTTTGACTTTCAAAAAAGACTAAGACCATCTACAATTGTCCTTTTGTGTCTCTGTTTGTGGCATAAAGTATTCCACAGAAGTACTCTTATGCACAGTTGGGGACATATTGTTACCCCAGGCATGTTTTGGATTATAGGAAGAAAACTGTGAAAGACAGGAGGCTGATATCTGGGACATTTTTACCAGACAGATTTGGATAATGTCACAGAAGGACTAGGCTATAGGGCTACTTTAAACCCTAGTTTACACACAACAGAATGTGAGCCCAGTAGAGGTCAGTTATCCAAACATGCAGGCTGAATTAGAGCTCCAAATGAGCTGGAAACAGCATTCCTTAAAGCAACCTTCTTCCCTGTGATGGCTTCCAGACAATCTGGACTGTAGCTCCCATCAGCATAGCCACCATGGACAGGTATGATGGGATTTGCAGTCCAAAGATCCGGCAGGCACCCCACTGAGGAAGGCAGCCTCAAGAAAATGTTTTCTGCCATATGAACACTTCTGGCCTGTGTTTTCAGATCAAATGGTGATGAGTTTTAAAATATCCATCCATCCATCTCACATAAAGAAAATTAATGCAAATATTAATTTTACCTTTTTAAATAAATTTATTATTAAAAATGTAAGGACACATATTTCAGATATAAGGCGAAAAACCAAAAGGAGAGAAGAACTAGAATCTCCTCCACTAATGAGAATCCAAGCTCTGGTTCCATGGAAAAATGACAGAGATCACTGGGATTTCTTCAAAATTGTAACATTATGGAAACTGGGTTTCCAGATCAGCTCTTCAATGAATGCCGTCCCACAATTTTAATTGATCTAAGAAATCAAATCAGCAAACCCCACAATGATGACATTCCTTTCCTATGAAAGGATGTGCACAACTTTTTACAAATCTGCTTGCCCTTTCTGCTTGGATAGAAAAAGGAAAAATATAAATATGTGAAATGACTGAATGAAGGAATAGACTCACCCGGTGGGAATGCGGGAGTTTAGTACCCACAAAATCAGAAGGCTGGGGAACTGCGGAAGGATGGTAAAGCTCAGGAGCCAATCGGGTGTTTGCAAATTTCATGCAATCTTCCAGCGTGGAGATAAACTGACTGCAGGTTGCCCGCAACAAGGATGAAGCATCGTTCATCTTCTGGAGAAGGCGAAGGGCAGGAAAAAGAATGAACAAAAGCCATGGCAGCCTGCCCAGTTTGGTCCTCAGAGCCAGAGTTCTGGGCAGCCTCTCGGAGCAAGTGCTAAAATGCCTTGGCCTAAGGGACAATTCAAACTTGCTGAGATGGTACAGCTCTGTCCCTTGCCATATACTGGGGAAATCTGGAGTGCCTTCAGGTAGAAGTTTGCAAGGGCGCTGGCTCCACACACCCTTCTCAGCAGCTAAAAGGAAGCTGCTATGGGTAGGTGTGTGAATGGATGTCTAGGGGAGGGGGCGAAAGAGAGAGAGAATGGGGTGTCAGAGTGTGCGTGTGCTCTGGCCATGCCTGCTGCCAGCATCCAGCCCTGCATTTCCTGGATGGCGAAAGGCTGCCCACTCCTGTGCTACAGAAATGTATCAGAGGTAGCCCTAGGGGTGCGAAGATCCAACGGGAATCCAGCTCTCTTGCACTCGCTGGAGTTCTTTCCCACACTCAGCCCCAGCCAGAAAGCGAGCTGAGTCAAGATCAGGTCTACAAATCCCTCCAGAACACCAGCAGACCCTTCTCTGCACAAAGTACACAAAGTGTGCAAGTCACATATGCAGAAGCACAACTCCACTTGCACAGTGATCATGTGGGCAGCACGTGTGCCAGCTGGCCTCCTGGACTTGTTCGGATTCTCTTCCTGCTGGACACCCACACAAATGCTTGGCATGAAGCAGCCTGTGGGAAGCCAAGCCAAGGAAATCTGACAGATTCCCACCCCCAAATCAGATTCCTCGCGCATCAGTAGATAGAGGACCTTTGTTCATCTGTGATCCAGTGGATGTGTGCCCTGCAGAGCACCCAGCCACACAGGGCTAGTTGAGGCACACGCATGGAACACGTGATCATTCAAAGCTGCCCCCACCTGGATGTCGAGTGGGGAGCCATTGTCTTGAGAGTGCGTTGCATCCTGAACAGCGAGGACCTGCTGTGTCAGCACATCGCAATACAGCCGCAGTTCAGACAGCTTCCTCCCAAGGGACTCGTTGTCCAGGTCCAGCTCTGAGAAAGACAAGCAAGCACAACACCAGGCGGGTTTGCTGGAAAGATCACAGGAATATAAGCCTGTGAGGAGGAAAGCAGCCAGTAACTAGCCAAGGGCAACGAGGATAACGCACTCTCATATCTGGGAAAGAAAATATGACACAGTCTTGTTGCCGACTGAAGTTTGCAGAGGGGATGGGATTAAGGCAGAGCCAGAAATGAAGAACTTGGCTTCCTGTGCCTTTCTAGTGCTTCCTGATGGTCTATTTCAGATTCCAAGGGGAGTGGCCACATGGCCCACAGGATTTTTCAGATTCCTAACCCCAGAGCATAAGACCCCGTTCAGACCTTGGAGCCAGGAGTCCGAGCTCCACCTGCCCTCCCTGGCATGGCTGCTCTTTGAGGTCAGGAAAGCGACTCCAGAGGAGGGTGAAAGGCAGCATTTCAATGGGAGGGGAAGAGGTTGGGGAGCCGAGGACATGAATTATTCTGAAGCTGCCCCAGCCTCCATCCCTCCCCTCCAAGGCACTCCAGCCAGACAGGCAAAAGAGCCATCTAGGAGGAGGGGAAAGTGAAGATTGCTTCTACTTCTCCTCCTGCTCTGCACTGGATGCCTGTTAGGCTCTGAGCTGGGGGGGCTTCTGAGCATCCCAAGGGGATTGTGCCCTTAGAGATATGGCTGTGAATGGCACCCACCCTGAAGCAGAAACAAACTGGCTTAGTACTGCATTGCATCACCAAATCAGTGTTTATTTTCACTTACAGCCTGCCAGGTTAGGCGCAGTTAACAGAGGTACAAAAATATGGAAAATCAGCAAAATAAAATAAGGCTTCATCAAATTCCATGAATTTACCCCAAATTTTTCCAGTGCCCCAAGGGTGACCCCAAGAGGTAGGTCCTCTTAATGCTTCCAAAGGGTGCCTGGGTCTTGAACCCAGACAAGTCTGTACTGAGAAGGCGGGAGGGCATGAGGTGGGGGTGATGCAGCCAGTGGTGCTGTCAAGGCAGGAGTTTGGGGCAGGGGCCCAGGGCCCTGCTGAGCAGAACCTGCAGGAGGGCCCTTCCAGTGCAGCAAAACTGGCTTGCTGCTTTTTGAAGTCGGTGAATCAACACAGAGTTTGATCCAGCTTCCCTCTTGCACAACTACACCATCAGAAGGGAATCTGCAGGTCCCCATCATTGCCAGCTTTTAGAAAAGCCCCAAGAACTTACTGCTTTACTCTGGCCTTTACTCTGATTGTGCTTTATTCCAGCGTTGTAACGCTGATTGTCAACTGTAAAGTTCCTTTTATGCTACTGTTGCTGTTTTTCCATGTGTCGTTTCTACCATATTGGCTTTTAATAAGTGTTTTACTGTTCTGTACCAAGTTGGGAGGCCACTTGCCCCAACGGTGGCCAGAAGGGTAATAGTATTGGCCCAATATCATAGCTTAAAGTTTTGACTGCTGAGCCTTGGGAAACCTTTTAGGATGGGGAAAATGCTATACAAAAGCTGGGAAACATCCAATGATTGGTAGCCAGAGGAAAGGGAGTGAATATAGGGAGCCATATGTGGCACTTTAGAGCATGGATCCCCAAACTATGGCCCGGGGGCCAGATCCGGCCCACCATGCCCATTTGGACCTGCAGCGTGTGCGCCCACATGAGCGCCTGCCACCGCCCACCTTGCCCCACGCAGGGGGAGGCAGTGGTTTGCTCGCTCTGAGAAAACGATCTCCAAGTGAGCAAGCTGCTGTCTCGTGCGCCCGCCTCGCCTTGCCTTGTCTTGCCTTGCCCCGCGCGCCTGCCCGCCCACACCTCCCCTCCCCTCACGTGTGCCCGCCTCGCCTTGCCTTGCCTCGCCATGTGTGCCTGCCCCTGCCACGTGCCACCCCTGCCCGGCGCACACCGCCAGCACTGCTTTTCCAGCCCACGCCCAGCGGTGGCACCTTTCAACTGGCTCCCTGGTGAAAAAGTTTGAGGACCCCTGCTTTAGAGGGCTGGATTTGGCCCCTGGACCTGAGGTTCCACGGTATTGGTGTAAAACAAGTAACCTGTGCTATCCCAGACAGGTGAGTGGCTATTAAGAAGAGGGCCTTTTCTGTTGTGGCACCCTGATTGTGGAATAAGCTCCCCAGAGAGGCTCCAGGTGAAGATTTTCCTATTTTCCCATGCATTTTAGATTTTCAAATTCTGTTTTAAATCTGGGTTTGTTTTTTATTTTGGACTGCTGCTTTACTTTATTTTGGTCTTTACTTCTATTTTATACTGTAGTTTTAAACTGTTATGTTTTAAACTTTTATAGTATATCTGACATTGTAAACCAACTTCAGTTACTGAGTGGTATTGAAATATAATAGGTAAAACCCTATGTTGTTTGAACACAGTACCTCCAAACAGAGATTGAAGTAGATAGTAGGTGACCAAGGAGAAACTATATTTACATCAACTTGGGACAACCCAGTTAATTTTTACTCTTTCCCCCTGCAGTAAGAAAACCAGGAAGATAAAATAGACACAGGTTCTAATTGATTTCTCAAATTTTTAAACAGGTCCAGAGATGTTTGCTAAGAAGGTGTGAGAGTTAAGCAACTCATTCTAATCACAGTGTCTGAGGAGTCCCCACCCTGTGCTTCCTTATTTCCGTCAAAACACTCCTTAATCTCAGTTCCACATCTCCCCTTAGTTTCTGCTCTAGGCTTCCCAAACTCTGTGTAGTCTTTTCAGTACAATGCTAAAGAACCAACCTTTCTCCTTCTGGCTCCTGCTGTCCCCAAGGCAGGCCTTGGAGCTGCCCAAAGCGACCAGCCATTTCTGTCTCTCAGCAGCACCCCCTGCCTTCAGGTAGAAGTACTGCTCACCCGGAATGACCAGCTCCATACGAGTGGGGTCTGTGGCATGCACTGCAGAAAAGAATACAAAAGGAGAACAGAAGCTGAGAAATCGGTGGTTTCCCTGCCATGCATTCTGCATACGCAAGAGCACTTCTTTGCAGTGTTAAGACAGGAAACACCTGGAAATCCCTTGCTTGTGCAAGATCAGGGATGCTAAATCTTAGGACTGTGGGACAAGCATGGCCCTACAGTGTTCCTCAGATGGTCATACCACTTCTCTGCTTCAATTCCTTCCTTGCCAATTGCTTGGTGGTTTCCCAGTGTTGGTCTCCTCCTTCTGAAAGATTGAAATTCTTTACTATGGCTTAGAGTCAATGGCAGTACAAACTTTAATTTAAAATATACAAGTCCTTGTGGTATTTTAGGCCCTCTTACATTTTGCCTTGAGCTCACACACCATTAGAATGCAGTCCCCAAGTTTCTCTAAAACTGAATTCAACTCCCTGGTGGAAAGAGGTACCGCAACCCCTATTCACTTTCCCCACTCAAAGGGGAGAAGTCCCTTGCCATACTGAGAGGGGCCATGCAGAACTGGAAATTAGGCAAGTCTCACTACTCCACTTGAAATTCTGGCATTCCCAAAGAAGGTGAGAGCCAGCTAGCATTCCCAGCCAAATGAGCCAAGCAACAAAGTGAAAAATCTAAAACTGACCAAGGACAGAAGGAAGTGGGTGTTGGAAGGAGAAGATGACAAGTCCTATGTGTGAAGCTGGATAACAGACAAGCAAGTTTTGTTTTCAAAGACTAACTGGGCTATATCTAAGAAAAGCATCAGCCTCCACGATAAACCAACTCTCTCTTGTTTAAGGCTAAATAAGAAAAATATTGCTGGAGAAGACTTCTGAGAGTCCCTTGGACTGCAAAGAAATCAAATCAGACAATCTTAAAGGAAATCAACCCTGACTGATCTTTAGAAAGTCAGATACTGAAGATGAAACTCAAATACTTTGGCCACCTAATGAGAAGGAAGGACTCACTGGAGAAGAGCCTACTGCCGGGAACGACTGAAGGCAAAAGGAGAAGGGGACGGCAGAGGTTGAGGTGGTTAGATGGGGTTATTGGGGTGGTAGGTGCGGGACTGGGTGGACTCCAAGGGATGGTGGAGGACAGGAGAGCCTGGAGGAGTGTTGTCCATGGGGTCGTGAAGGGTTGGACATGACTTAGCGACTAAACACACACAAGAAAAATATGCAGCTTTTCTGAAGAGTTAAGAGAGATGAATAACTCTGAGAAGTCTTATCTTTAATAGATTATCACATTACCACTGAGATATGATCAGTGGCTTAAGAAGTAACACAAAATAGCCTCAAGTATGTACCTTGGATAAAGAGAACAACACTATAGTCAGAAACCTGACCCCAGTATTTCAGCTCCAGGACACCAACCCAAAAGGCTTTGGCCTATTAAGAGTGAAATAGTTCCTGGGGACTGGAGTTCTGGGCCCATTCATGCACCATTGCTAGAACTCATTTCTAACTAGTCTTTTTTTGCACTAGGCCCTGCATTAGGATAATTCTGTCTGCTCTCGTGTTGCAAGGAGCTTCACCCATTTACAACTGCAGATTTACCTGTTCTTTAAGTAACAGAAGCAGGCCAGAACTTTTTTTCTAAGACAGTATTTAAATAGTCGGAGAGTTCTCAGACTAAAGACAAGGCAGCATCCATGTCAAGGCATACAGCATCCCAAAAAATCCAGAGTTTTGCAGCATGCAACAGATCCATGAGATCTGCACTGCTGCCTGGTTTGATGCCGGCTGACTGTCTGCTGAAGCACAATCAGGCATCACATTGAGTCAGATCATCGGTTTATCATCTAGTCAGGTATTGTCAATGGGGACTGGCAGTGGATTTCAGACAGAACATTTTCCAGCCCTGCAGGGTCTTCAAAGCAGGACCCTTCCACTGAGCCATGACCCTTCAAGCTGAGGCGTGTTTTGCCCACTAATGTTTCATGGTTGGTCACCTAGAGGTTAATAGGGGGTGGGTGGGCATGATCTGAACTGAACAACTGGGACATTTGGCTCAGAAGCTGGGTAGACAGCAGTTGTGAAGGAAAACACCTAATGGAGCCAATGGGATATTACAGGCCCTAAATGGGGAAAGAAGGGAGCAGCAGGGAACCCTGAAGGGTGAAAGTGACAAGAAGGAAGAAGGAAGAAAGAAGAAAGAAGCAGGCAATTCATATCCTACAGTGGTATGCAAATTTGGAAACCGGTGGACACACGGGACATGAACGTGGACACACTCTGGACCTGGTTTTCTCGACGGAGCAGGAAGAGGGTGGTCTGAGGGTGAGGAATTTATGTCTGACACCCCTGCCATGGTCAGATCACTTCGTGAGGTTTGTGCTCGAGAGCGGGCTCTCCCTCTGTAAGGGTGCGGACCCGATTGTGTAGGTCTGCCCCCGGAGCCGGATGGATCCGGACGGATTCCTGAAGGCCCTGGGGGAGTTTCCGGCTGACAAGACTGGTGCTCCTGTCGAGGCTCTGGTCGAACTATGGAATGGGGAGATGACTAGGGCTGTTGACACAATCGCTCCTAAGCATCCTCTCCCGCCAGGCAGAGCCCACTCTTCCCCTTGGTATACATCTGAATCGCGGGTGATGAAGCAGGCTGGGAGACGGCTAGAGCGTAGGTGGAGGAGATCATGGGATGAATCTGACCAAACACACTTAAGAGCCCATTATCGGGCCTATGCTGTGGCGGTGAGTACGGCAAAAAAGAAATTCTTCTCCGTTTCCATTACCTCCTCACAATGCTGTCCGGCAGAGCTTTTTCGAGTGGTACAAGGCCTGGTCCACCCTGGCCCTAAGAAAGATCTGGTTCCACCCTCAAAGGCCCGCTGTGACGACTTTGCCAAGCATTTCAGGGAGAAAATCGCTCAGATTCGTCACGAGCTAGACTCTACTAGTGATTCAGAGGCTTCTGGGGAGATACCAATGTCGCCATCTGGTCCAAAATTAATGGATGAATTTCAGTTATTGTGGCCTGATGATGTGGACAAGGTGCTTGGACGAATACGTTCCACCACTTGCCTATTGGACCCTTGCCCATCTTGGTTAATAAACAATGCCAAGCATGGGATTGGGATCTGGATCTTGGAAGTGGTTAACGCTTCTCTGAGGGAGGGTAGGGTACCTGCCCCTTTAAAGGAGGCAGTAGTCCGACCGGTCCTGAAGAAAGCGTCACTGGATCCAGAGATGGCCACTAATTATAGACCAGTGGCCAACTTCCCGTTTCTGGGCAAGGTGTTGGAGTGGGTGGTGGCGGGACAACTCCAAGCATGGATGAAACTGATTATCTGGACCCATTTCAGTCCGGCTTCAGACCCGGGTACGGTACTGAATCTGCCTTGGTCGCCCTGTATGATGACCTGTGCAGGGAGAAGGACAGGGGGAGTGCGTCCCTGTTGGTTCTTCTGGACCTCTCAGCGGCTTTCGATACCATCGACCATGGTATCCTTCTGGATAGGCTAGCAGGATTGGGGGTCAGAGGCACTGCTTTGCAGTGGTTCCGCTCCTATCTCAATGGCCGATTCCAGAAGGTGGTGCTGGGGGACTATGGCTCTGCACCATGGCAGCTATGCCATGGAGTACCGCAGGGATCCATTTTGTCCCCTTTGCTGTTTAACGTCTACATGAAACCACTGGAAGAGGTCATCAGGAGGTGTGGGCTGTGGAATCATCAGTACGCTGATGATACCCAGCTCTACCTCTCATTTTCCACCAATCCAGGTGAGGCAGTGGCTGTGCTGAACCGGTGCCTGGCCGAGGTAATGGGCTGGATGAGGGCCAATAAACTGAAGCTCAATCCAGACAAGACGGTGGTCCTGTTGGTTGGAGGATTGGGCTTCGGGGAGGGTGAATTGAATCTAGTCCTGAATGGGGCTGCACTCCCTCTTAGGGACAAGGTTCACAGCTTGGGAGTGCTCCTCGACCCAGAGCTTTCACTGGAAGTTCAGGTGACAGCGGTGGCGAGGAGTGCTTTCTTTCAGCTTCGGCTGATCCATCAGCTGCGCCCCTACCTGAAGTACGACTGCCTGGCGACAGTGACACACGCGTTGGTGACTTCCCGACTTGACTTCTGTAATGCGCTCTACGTGGGGCTACCCTTGAAGACGGTCCGGATACTTCAATTGGTGCAAAATAGAGCTGCCAGGCTGCTGACGGGGACTGGGCGTTATGTTCACATGACTCCAGTCCTCTGTCAGCTTCACTGGCTTCCCATTGAAGTCCGGGCCCAATTCAAGGTGTTGGTGATGACCTATAAAGCCCTTAACAGCTTGGGTCCTGATTACCTGAAGGAGCGCTTACATCCATATATGCCCGCCCGCCCGCCCCTTGAGATCTGCGGAAGAGGCCCTTCTCCAGGAACCCTCCGTGAAGGAAATTAGGAGGGTGAGTACTCGGAGGAGGGCTTTCTCTGCGGTGGCGCCCAATCTATGGATTGCGCTCCCCAGAGAGGTCCGCCTGGTGCCGTCGTTATTTGTTTTTCGGCACCAGGTGAAGACCTTTTTATTCAAATGTTATTTTAATTGTTAATATTATTTATTCATTTTATTCTTTGGCCAGGGCGACTTAATTTATATTGATAATTTATATTATTCTATTGAAGTTTATTTATGGTTGTGAGCCGCCCCGAGGCTTCGGCGAATGGGGCGGCATAGAAGTCTCCTAAATAAATAAACAAACAAACAAACCCAGAGTCTGAAATGCAGACATGGCATTTCACATACCCAAATGCCTGCAGCATCACCTCTCCTGCAAGAGCACCAAGCAACCTTACCTTTGATCTCACACACAGCCATCTTGATGCTGCCTTTGCTTCCCTTGCCCACATCATCCTGAGAGTCATAATAGGAGAGTATGCCGTTCTCTAACACAAAGTATCGTGGCTGCCAACCTGAGATGAGAGAAAGGAAGAGAAAAGATTGGGACCCTTTTTCTCTAGTGAGTCAAGCTCTCTCATAGGAATTGTCCTAAGAAAATAAAAATCTGTTTCCCCACAAGTTATCACAAACATGATTTGCTAAAGATTCCCTTAAATATCGCTTCTTATACTTGCTTGACTGAAAGCGGGCTTCATTTCTTCTGTGGTCAACCAAGTAGACTTGGAAATGACAGATGGAGAGATGGGTCCCTCCTCTACCAGCCCTCTTACTTTCCAGCACCAAAATCCCTGTCACCTATGGCACTCAGGCAAGTACATAAATACAAGTCCCAGGGAGTCAGCAGTCCTCCTGCCATGCAGTTCTTCTCACAGGCAAGCTGCTGAAAGGGCTGGAGGCACTCCTACAAACATGTTTTTTCTTTCTTTCTTACTACTGCTATTTAACCTATATATAGTAGCAACATTGCACTAACTTCTGAGGAGAGAGCACCTGGCTCTCCAAAATAGGTCAGGCAAGAGCAAGTTTCCTGTGACTTGAGCAGCTCCACAACAGGATAAAATCCAAGAGGTTCGGCTTTCTCCAGCATGCTGGAACAAAAGTGGCAAACCCAGCCCCTTTTGTGCTTTGCTTCTACATTTGTCTTTTTATTTCCAGTGTGGAAGAACCCACACTGCTACCAGGAAACCCATCTCAAATGCAGACCCCCAGGATCCTAGATGGGCAAAGAACATGGATTCCCACTTGCCCAGACAGTTCACCCTGCAGGAGAACCAGGGACTGTGTATAGTGGGCACACAGTACAAAGGTTACTTTGTTATATTCATTGCTGTTTGATTTATACTTCACTCTGGTATCAAAAAAGTCACAAGTCAGCCTACAGCCTTGGTATAGAGGTTAAGAGAGTGGGATAGGGACTCAGGCAATCTTGGCTGAGCCCTCATTCATCCATGGAGCTTCACTGGGTGACTTTGGATTCTCAGCCCAACCTACCTCACAGGGTCGTTGTTGTAAGGATAAGATTGAGAGAAGGGGAAATATGTAAGCCACCTTGAGTTCCTTGGAAGAAAAAAAGGTGGAATACAAATATAATACAAAACCAATTAAAATAAATTTAAACTGTTGTTAATTGGTTTATAAAAAGCCTAACATAAATGAACCACTAAAATACAATAAAAGCATAATTCCAGAATTTAAAAAGGACCCTACCCTCTTTACTTCTTGAGTAAAGTGGTGTTTGCCTGCTGTGGGGAGGAAAGTAGAAAGGGAGTGAATCTAGCCTCCCTTGGGAAGAAGCTCTATGGCCCAAAAGGCTCCCTCTCCCTTTGCCAGGAAATGTACCTCTGATAGTCTTGAAAGTATGGCAATTTCAGTTACCCAAATATGCTGTTGGGAACAGAGTTTTTATAGCAGAAATATCACTTCAAACAATGACCTGAAACACTCTACAACTAAGGGTGGTTCCAGACCAACTAAGCATGCATGGCGTGACTCTCCAGGGTTATTGTTCTGCTTCTTCTTTTTCATTAACACAGAAAATCCAGTGAGTGGGAAAAGGTGGACAGCCATACACTATCTTTTGACTTCTAGCACTCTGTTTGGAAGCATCCCAAGAGCTACATGGCAAGGGCAAGGTGAGATTTATTCCTTCGATGCCTATTCATGCACTGAGAAAGCTGCACCTGTTGGATTTCTTCCAGTTATGCAACCATTAAAGGTGCAACAGAAGCTCTGCCCATGGCAAGATGGCATTCCTAATACTCCCGGAATAGAAAGGAGAGGCTCCCGCGCAAATGGACCTTTTGCTCCCGGGAAACAACGTGAAAGGAACACAACACAATGAGTAAACTGCGCTATCTTCAGAAAGCGGGGTGAAAAGAGCGCCGGGAACGCGGACTCCTCGGTTCGAAGCGGCTGCATTGCTAAGATAACTGACGGAGGAGTAAGAACAGGGGGAAAGATACTCAGGCCGTGGCCATTTCCCCACCCTGAACCGGCACCACTGGAGGACTCCCGCTCACCAGAAAGGTAGTTGGTCCATTTCAGCAGCGCCCCCTCCATCACCAACGCGGCTCACGGATTCCGCCGGTTTGTCGAGTCGAACCAATTACGGCTCTGAGCCGGTGAGGCTTGGCCAATCATAGGGCGGGTTCCAATATTGGAAAGGGAGTGTGGAAAGGGCAGGAGACGGGATTGGCTACCAAGGGGGCCGAGGGGGGAGGGGGGAAGGAAACCAAAGAAGAACCAATCAGCCTGGGAAAGGGCCAGGCAATCGGATGGGGAACAAAGTCCAGAGGGACGAGAAGAAAGAACTCCGGTAGCCAATTGGGTGAAGTACGCACTGGCTTATGGGCAATGTAGTTCTGATGCTCTTTGGGTGTTCGTTCTTCGACCACAGCAAACCAAATTTAAATTCTTCCTCTGCACCGTTCTGGGAGATGTAGTTTAAATTAGTTTCTGTATGTGAGACTGGCTGTGGGTGGCTACTTTTTGCCCAGTTCTAGAGAACGAAAACAGTAGTTCCGCGCTAAACTCTTAAGATACATGCATATTCAGCAGACAAACAGCTCAATCTTTGCCACGTTTCTTCAGAAGTAACCGCACTGCATTGAGTGGAGCTCGCTTCTGAGTAAGCATTTAAAAGACCCGGCTGTGATAATTAGAGGTTGCCAAATGTTTCTTCGTCTCATTCCTGGCTAGGAGGGGAAGAGCCGACTGGGGATAGTATCAGCAAGACTGAAACAAATACTCTTGGGTCCCATGCATTTCAGTGGGATTTTGAAATTGCATTTGTCATTTTAAAACATCCAAATTATATTTAAAGAGGATAACATGATGAACTAGTGGAGTCCATGTTCAGCATGCCAGACACCATTTGGTAGCCAGATTTTAGGGAAACTGTGACAAATCACGTTCATTATGGAGCACAAAACAGTATGTACTCAGCTCTATGCCTCAGGTGAAAGGCCAGTATTGAAATGAGGAACAGACAGAAGCAAGAGAAGCAAGCTTGAGAATACGGTTACAGCAGTTACAGTTGAGCATTAACAGTGGAAGCCATATTGAAATGGGCCAAAACCAAACTTCAGAGGAGGAGTCAGGAGAGTCAACTGCGTCAAAGAGATAATCAAAAGGAAGGAGCAAATTGTGAGTGTGCTGCCAGAATTTTAAAAGGCAAGTGAGGAGTCAAAGTCTAACATAAAGGCTGAGACTCAGAGAAGGCAATATAGAATAGCAAAATTGTGAAGCAGACAAGAGCAGTCTGTAGAATGAACTTCAGACAGTGGGACTGCAGTGAGGGAATGAGGGGCCAAAACAGGGTTATCCTAATGAATTATACTGCCTGGGTGACAAAACTTGCATCTGGACATTTTGCAGGGTCTCTTGGGAAGATAACGTGTTAACTGGAGCTGAAGTTTCTTCAACACAAAAAGCACTGCCAATCAAGAGGCATCCTGAAGCTCTTCTGTCTTTCCCTCCTTAATAGATTTTTGGTGTGTGAATAAAGATCAAAGCAATAGTAGTGAAATATGGGAGGGATCCAAATGGAAGACTACATTGTCTGGACTTCCTGTAAAATTTCCTGAATGAGTCTGGGAGATTGCACAATAAAAGATTCACCTGGGAGCATCCTCTATATACAGCTGCTATTCGGTCAATAATGATGACATGTATGGTACTTTACAGAGTAATAAAAAGGTGTGTGTGTGGGAGTGGAGAGACAGACCAACTTTCCCAAAGAAACTGGCATAGCAAGGCAGAGAGAAAGGAAAGGGAGAAACCACCTTAACAAGATTAAGTATCAGCACATGGCCCTGCTGTTAGGCAGAATTGGACAATTGTCTCAGCTAGCTGATTCTGGGTGCCATGAAAAGGCAATGGCAAATGGTTAGTTACCAAATGTATTTTTACTGGCAGGGTCAGAATGGTAGAAGGGGTGTTTGGGGGATTTTCTGCCTGAGTTTCCAAAATAACATATCTGGCCTTGGATATGATGCAATTTGATGCATGGTATTTGCTGCTTTGCCTCAGATAAAAAAATGTCGGGGCAACCCTGTGCAAACAGTGCACGCCTCCTCAGACATTCAGTGGGACTTACTCTTAGGTGACCCATATAGGATTTCAGCCTTAAGCTTTGGCTTACTCGGAGAAGAGGACTCAGGTTTCAAGCCTATACACACTTACTTGGGGGTCAGCCCCTTTGAATTCAGTTGTGGGCCGATTTAAAAAAACAAAAACAGCTTGAGTGTTGAGAAATAGGCTAGTGGGGAAAGTTAGTTTTTAAGGAGGGATTCGAGGAAGTAGAGTAAGTAACATTATGTAGGTCAGCCTTCCCAGCAGATGTGACCTCCAGATGTTTTAAACTTCGGCGCCTGTCAGTCTGTGCCAGTGTGAGCTGGGAGTTGTAGTTCAGAAAAACTGGTGAACACCACCTTGTGGAAAACAGTTTAAATCGTTTCTCACGTGATGCATTGTTTGCTTTTTTATTTGAAATCGAAGTTACTCCTCCCTGCACTCGAGCTTTGTTTTTTTTTTTTTTTTAAATCTCTGTGCCTGTGTTATATATTACCCTTGCATATCTGGGACTAGAGGAAACAACTGCTGTGGCCAAGAAGACTAGCACTCCCAGCGTGCAGTGGGAGCAATCATTGTTGCCTCGACGCATAGAGATGGAACAAGCCGATCTATGCAACCATGAGGCCGAACGGCCTTATAGGATATGTAGTCCTTTTACCACGGTTGCCATGCGGCTGGCGTCCCCAATCGGACTTCAGCTTCCAGGATACGCTTCGAAGCGTCTTGGTGGCGACAGGGGGCCGTCGCTTCCTCTCTCCCGGCCATTGTAAGCCGGGCTGGAGGGCGGCAGGCGTTGTGGTGGTGGCGACGGCGGGGCAGGAGGAGGGAATGAGCGAGGAGGAGGCGGAGGAGCCTTGCGGGAACGCGAGGAGCTGCGGCAGCTTCCCCAGGTGAATAACCCCGCCCCGCTCGGGCCGTTGCTAAGACACCGGAGAAGGCCCCGCCCCCTCGTGCTGCGGTTGCTAGGATACCCCCACCTCAAAGGAGCATCACTCTGAGTGGGTTGCTATGAGAACGGGGAGGCCCAAGTGGGCCAGTACTGGGAGGGCTACCATGCCAGAACGCGGGGCGCTCCATTGTAGGATGAGGCCGGGCCGGAGACGGGCCCGGATTCGGCCGCGGGCAGATCGTTCCGTCACCACGTAGGGTGCACGACCAAGATGGAAAACACGCTTTCCTTGCCCTGGCTTACGGTTCCAGCTATCCGTTTCTTCTCCCATATGGAGAGGAGGGGGCTTGAAAGAGACACATCTTGTGGGAGGAGTGCAATTCCATGTGACATTCCTCATCGTGGGAACTCATGGCGTGAGAGAAGTGGGAAATTAGGGGAAAAAAATGTGTACTTTTTTCCCTCTCACTACTAAGGAACCATAGGGTGTGATCAATTGGAAGTAAACGTTATGATTTTACTCTAAATTAAATGCAGGGTTGTGTGTTTGAATTACTCCCCTTTTACAATTCTGTGCACATTAACTCCAAAATTAAACCCTATGGGAAGTTTATGCCAAAGGACCTCTTTGTAGAAAAATAATGGTATAGAATGATCCGATGCATCTTTCTTAAGAAATGTTACAGACTTCAGGAGGAGGCATAGGTTGACAGTCTAGCTGAAGAGCCTCTTCCATACATGAGCTTTGTACTCTACCTCATTTTGACCTGCAACATAGAACTTGTAGTTTATATGGATGTCCTATAGGTCTGTCAGTGGTTGCTAACCATTCTTTTTTTGTGCTCTCCACGTATATCTCTAAATACCATGTACTGGTGACAAGTGCTAGGAGAATGGCTGTTTATTTTTTATTAATAAAATAATAACATTTTATTTTTCCAGTATTTTATGGTTTAGATTCTGATTTTAAATGGGGTTTTATTGTATAGAATGGATGCTGTGCTCTACTTTGTTTTGTTGTAAGACCATCCCAAGACCATTTGGGTACCATAGTGGATGGTATACAAAAGTTTTAAATAAATGAATGTAGTTGCTATATTTATTTCCTGTATTTGTTTGTTAGCCTCTATTTACTTATATTTATGCATTTTATCTAAAGCTTTTGTATCCCACCTTTTGCAATGTCTCAATGTCCTCTTAACAACCCTGTGAGATAGGTTAGTCAGTAACTGGTCTAAATTCACCCAGTTAATGGATGCTAGAACCTGGGTCTCCCCAGTCCGGCATTCTAACCATCACTCCACTCTGGTCCTCTGTTGCCCTTATGACTTTCTTGTGAGTAGCCTGAAGCTCCAGGCTGGCTGCTGTTGTAAAGAGAATCTTGGGTTAGATGCAGCTTGGATCTGATCCAGTTTTCCTCCTAAATTAGAAGCCCTCCATTACTCATTAGAATGCACTGAAAGTAAAATTGCCTACCCAACTGGTGACTACAACAAGGAAAGTTTGGCAGGAGCTAAGCATCAAGCAAACATTTGACTGGGGGGAACCTTCTATTTTCTTTGCTGCTTCCTTGTACTCATGGTTGCTGGGAGCTCTGGCCCATGAGGTTGGGTGTAGCAGTGGAGTCTTGATGGATGTTGCACCTACCAGTGATACAGTGTGGTGTCATGTGAAAAAGATGGGGCAGGGAGCAAGGTTCACAGGCATTGTTGGAGACAGTAGGATCGTGGAAGGCACAGAAACACTGTTTGTAAAAGAGGGTTCCTCCACAAGGTTAGGGTGACTTCTCAAATCCACCTTTGTCTCCTTGCTGCCCTCAGTATAGAGCAAATGCTGGCGTCCAACCCCGGCAAGACCCCTATCAGCCTGCTGCAGGAGTATGGGACACGCATAGGCAAAACGCCTGTCTACGACCTACTGAAAGCTGAGGGACAGGCGCATCAGCCCAACTTCACTTTTCGCGTCACCGTTGGCGACATCAGCTGCACCGGTTAGTTGCAGTAAAGAATGGGTGCGTGGATGAACCAGCAGATAACCCCTTTTTTTGGTGCAGGGGGTGAAAATCTCATATCTGTCATGGGCCTTTGTGGTGTTTGAAGGAGGTGTGGGAGGGAAGATGCTTTTGAACTTGGACTTCTGCTTCCCATAATGTGTATGTTGGAGCTAATTTATGGATCTTCCTCTGTAGCACACTAATCTCCTTCCCTTTAAGGCCAACTTGGTGTCCTGCCCCTGCCTCTAGATGCATTGGATTATAACTCTTATCACTTCAGCCCATGGCAGTGGGCTGGCTGGCTGAAGGTGATAACAGTTGTAGTCCAACCCATCTGGAGGGTATCTGGTTGTGGGAGGATCATGACTGGTGTCCTGTTTCATGCGTGGTGGGAGAGAGAGAGAGTGAACTGCCTTTTCCCAGGCACATTTCTCATTCTTCTCGGTTTTGGTGTAAAATAAACTTGTATCTTGCTCAGTCCTGAAGGTCCAGAGTGTATTATTTAAAAAAAGTGGGGCAGAGCAGAGCAGATTTGTTCAATATCAGTGCAATCAAACGTTTAGGCTTAGAAAAGTGCTAAAGGATTCGAGATCTCACACTGGAAAAGCCTGAGCGCAATTCAGAATGTCCACTCTTCAAGCCTGTCCACTGCCATTCTGATGCCCTGGTGCCTGTCACTCAGGGTGGGGACTTTTCCATCCTGACAACACACCCAGCCAACCTGACAGCCATCCTGTTCTCAGTTTCCCTACTAATATAATTTTGCCTGGTTTAAGCCTCTTCCTTAAAGATGGTGTATGTTGAAAATTGCAGAGGCAGACGGGTACTATAAGAAGTTGCTAATGGGTTCTTGGGTCTCCTCCTAAAAACTAAACAAGCTTTCACTGCTACTTTGGATGCATACCAATTACAAGGTATGCTTCCTAAATACAGAGGACTAAAACCAGGCAAAATTACATCAGCTGTAATTTTATAGTTACCTGCCTCTGAACCTATGGTACCACCTCCTAGGTTTGGGAGTAGAACTTAGGAAATCCTGACTCCTAGACCTCCTGTTGTAACCTTTTTGATTCCACTTCCTTTCCAGAAACAAAGACACATGAGCTGTTTGTTGGCTTTGTCAGGATCCTTCTGCCAGGGCCATCCAGAAGTCCTCATGGGGCTGGAGTCACTTACCACTGAGCCGTGTTCTCGGTTGGCTGTGCTGGAGATGCATATTGCAGGAGGGGATGCAGAGCTACTGTGAAATAGGAAGATGTGGACTGGTTTGTAGGCTGAGCACTGCAGGCCTTAGTGGGCACTGAAATGTCCTATGCAGAAGGACTTACAGTTATACGTGATCCTGCGTAGGGCCCACAGTGCCAGCTGGCTCTTGGTCCATCATGGCAAGCAGCCCTGGCTCTTAGTAAGGGCAGACTGCACCTACCTGATGCTTATCCTCAAGCCCAGTTGTGATGTCAGACCTTAATTATGTTGTCATGCATTGTAGTGCATGACAGCGGCTGACTGTGTCTTGGGACAGGGCTGTGGTCTGAAGCCATGCGAGGCAGCCAACTTTGCTGAAGCTAAGCAAGCCTGAGTCTGGTCAGTGCCCTTGTGGGAGCCTCAAGTGTGGTGGCCTGCATTTGACTATATTTCCTCATGGAAGGAAGGCAGGAAATAAAGGAATATCTTGTTTGTCATGTGGTCCATCAGTTAATCAGAGTGCCCCCTTTACAAGTGGCCATTCCAAGCTTTCCTTGTGATTTGCTATTTCCCCCTTTTCTATCCTCTATCATCTATTCTGTTGTCCCTTCTCTTCTCTTCTAGGCCAAGGCCCTAGCAAAAAAGCAGCCAAGCACAAGGCAGCTGAGGTGGCGCTGAGGCTTCTGAAGGGAGGGAACATGTTGGAGCCAGCCGCACTGGAGGAGAACAGGTGTGGAGACTGTTGGAAGGTTGGAACCTCAGCTGCACTTTAAAGAAATGTTCAGGGAGTCCTCTCTCTGTAGTACTGGTAGGCATTGTGGTACCCACAAGCACCGACGCCTCCCCCCACCATTTTCCTGGTAACTACCTAGGTGGGTCATCCCTCCCATTTTTTAAAAATTAACACATCCTCTTAGCAGCTGCTGGGATTTCTCTGAAATATTTTTTGTTGGCATTGAAAACTGTGATTTTAGTGTGCTGGGGCTCAGACCCCTTTGCCTTGTACTCAGTCCGATGGGCAGGTGAACTGTCCCTTGCCTCCCCTCCCACAGCCATTTCTCAAATTGCCAAATGTGACTGTGATCCTGAAGGGCTGCCTACCCCTGGTCTACGACATTGTTTCTACTCTGCTGTTTTTTCTCAGCTCGGAGAGAAGCTTGGTGGGCACCTGGGACAAGAGGTGTTTCTGTGTTGCTACTGTAGATGATGGGGTAGGCGAAAAAGCTATTGATATGCCTCTCAGCAGAGGGGGGAAATGCATGTCAGACTATGGAAGGCAACAGGGCCTGTGGTGCTTCTGCATTCTTTTTTTTCTTTCGAGGCTGAGCAAGCCTATAAAATGCTAGCTGCAGTATTAGTAATTCAGCTACCGTGGGCGCCAGTGGTTCTTTTTTGATGTTTGCAAGCTAGGGCTAGAAACAGGCCCAACTGTACTTTAAAAGACATATCCACTAATTCTGTGCCAAGCAATACCTACATCTGCCCCGTCTACCAGTTATATACAATTCTGCTTTGTTTGTATAATCTGTACTGCTTTCACGCATCGGGTAGAGGGCCAAATAGTGCCACACAAGCTCCTAGAGCTTCATCCTATGGATGCTTGGATATCTTCATTCAGTTCCTCCGCATCTGAGGTTTCACCAGGCAGCACACAGATGTTTGCACAGATGCCGAAGGACAGACACTTTAAAGAAAAAGCAAAAGCTGAGATTTGCATGAGGAAGCGTTCCATGCTGCAGAATAAATCCAGAACCTGCACAGCATACACGTGCCTGATTTAAACACAGTGGTGAGACTAGGACAGGTGGAATTGCTGTGATGGTGAGGTGGAAGGTGTGGCTTTTACACATAGGAAGGGAAAGCATGGATTCTGAGGGTGAAGCTGGGGAGGCTCACATTACAGTAAGCTTACTCTGTTGCATGCGCCTTGCTACTTGAGCTGGCTTTAATATTGTCACCTTGTATTTCGAAGCTCTCCTTTCTCTCTAGAGCCCTTGGCTCAGGCTGCTGCCACCACGGCCACCCCCCCAGTTGCCACGCCTGTAACCATCCTGCCGGTTGCCTCTCCCAGGTAATGGGATCGACACAGAAGATAAAGGGCAAGGGGTGGGCTGCCCCGAGAGAGCAAGGGTCTCTGAGCTGCTCACGTGCGCTTGGGCATGAACTTGTTTCTGTGGCAGAACGTTCCCTGCGCTTGTTTCCATTGTGGCTTCTTCCGAGGCATCACACGAGCAAAGTGGGGGTGGGGCAGGTAGGTGGGGACACGCATGTGTTTCAGCACCCATGGAGCACTCTGAAAGCAGAGGTCAAGCAGCAAAGAAGAACTTGTTTGTTCTTGGAAAAAACAGACAATTGGTGGCTACATGGTACTAGTTAATAAGTACCCTGATTAGAAGATTCCTATCAGTATGGCATTGCTCTTCCCACCCAAGACGGATTGATCTCCTTGCCCTCCAGTGGAAGGCCAACTCTAGGCAAGGCTTTCTTTGGTGAGCAAGGCCTCTGAATCCTCGTGCTTCCACTAGTAAGGTGTGGGGGTACTTGGCTTAGCAGAACTGTTTGGGAGGATCTGTGACCATGGCTTGTCTTTCATTCAGAAGCTCCCCGATGGACCTGAAATCACCGGTATCACCACAGCAGTCGGAATGCAACCCGGTTGGGGCCCTGCAGGTAGGTAGCTCCTTCGCTTGCATGTGTATTTCAAAACCAGAGGCTTGCTGGTGATAGCATAGAAGGACACTGGCTGTGCTGGCTCTCCTCTCCCAACACAAGCAGCAGCAGTAGAGACCAGCGCCTTTTATTCCCTACACAGAGCTGTGAGAATGAAGGCATTCTTCCAGTTGCACCATCTTTGGTCAATCCTCTTCATTCATAGGGAACTAGGATGTTTAGGATCCTCTCAGTGTTTTCGGGGTCCTAATCTTTGAAAGTTAGCCATTTGATCCACGGATGCTGCTTGCAAGTGTTGAACCTGGGTTCATGAGAATTCATCTGCACCATTCTTCATTTCTTCCCAATATTTCTTCAAAAGTTTCTCCAGCATTTGGAAAAGAAGGCCTCCAAGCCAAAGCAAAGGAGCCAAAGTGCTTCAGTGTGTATGTGGAATCCCTTGGCTCATGGCTTTTAAATAAGAACAATGTATGGTTGCTGTAGCCCTGGAACCAAATCAGTCACACTCCCCAACTCCACATTTGGTGGGTTCCAGGCTGGGATGATGTACAGTGGAGGTGGGGAACTTGTGACCCTCCAGATGATATTGGACTTCATCTCCTGTCACCCCTGACTATTGGTGCTGGTGGCTGGGACTGTTGGAGTCCAGAACATGGAGAGAGCCACAGATCCCCCACTCATGACTGGAAGGATTCCAGACAGAACCCAGCTGTTTCATCCATCACACTGTTTCATAAAACGCTGCTTTCTTTCGCTATGTTATGCTTAATAGCCAAGAAACCTCACAGATGGATCCTCAGGTTGTCTTGATCCACCTCGTGATAAACAGGAGTGTCTCTGTGTGACCACAGTGAGGCTTGGATAGCCTGGCTTGCATTCCCTCCCAGTTACAGTTGTAGTTCAATCCTGTGCAGCTCCATTCAGAAGGAAATAGTACAGTGTTTCCTTGCGCATACACCTGAGTGGGCTGCGACTTTAAATATATCGACTCAGCAGTACAGTCCTGATCTGCCTTTCTCTCTGGGAATCCAGAGGGAATACCTTTCTGAAGTTGCCTTTCTCCCCAGGAGCTGGTTGTGCAGAAGGGCTGGCGACTCCCCGAATACACGGTCACTCAGGAGTCAGGACCTGCGCACCGCAAGGAATTCACCATGACCTGCCGTGTGGAAAGGTTCATTGAAATAGGTGCGGCATCGCAGGACTCTGGGAGGGCAGGGAATGCAGGGCCACCTGTGCCTCAGGAGTGCCTGCTGCTGCCACTCACCTCTCAGACCTGAGCTGCACCTCTGGCAGGAGCCCTGGGATTTGCCCGGGGGAGGCTTCCCACAGAGCCGCTCTTGTATCTCTCAAGCAACACGGGGGGATAGCAGATGGAAAGCAACAAAGCTGTGGCCAGGGAGGCTGTATTTTGGGCTGCACAACTTGTGGCCGCCTGCCAGGAACTCAGCAAGGCTACTTGGGTGCTTTGGTTGGGTTTTTTGCTTTTGTTTTTGCTTTGCCTGCCTGCTGGAATTTGCAAGAATAAGAGTGGCAAAAATTCTAGGTTGAGAAAAGCTGAATTCTTGCAATCTGTACAACTCATGCCAATTATGTTAAGTGAGCAAATGCATGATGCTCATCTGCATTTGCTCCTGCACTCTCTGGGTTGGACAGGATGAGTGAGCTTGAGAGTATGCACAGGAGCTGGTGCCATGTGCAACCCAAAACTGCCGTCAGACTTGGTGAAAGAGCTAGAGGATATTGGGGAGACATGTACAGCCCCCCTGCGGTTCTTTCCCACAGCTCTCATTTGCCACCCCATCCCATATTACCTACCTAAACCATTTTCCAAAATCCCATCCCACATCTTCTCCCCTCTCCAGGCAGCGGCACTTCCAAAAAACTGGCCAAGCGCAATGCTGCGGCGAAGATGCTGGTGCGGATCCATAATGTGCCTCTGGACCCACGAGAGGGCAGTGAGGCTGAAGTGGAGGAGGACCAGTTTTCTATTGTGAGTGTGGGCAGTGAGGAGGAAACCGAGCACTCTCAGTGGGGTGACCATGGGTGAACTTGCGACCTCTGAAAACTTATTCTTGAAAGGATGTAATCAGAGTCTGAAGAGATACCCACATTGCAAAATCTGTTCTGGAGAAAGCAGAGAGGAGCCAGCATTTGCAGTAACTTAAGTGGCCTTATAAGGACACAAGCCACCCAACATTCTGTGTTCCCTGTCCTGGTCCTTGCGAAATCAGTAGCCCAGGTTCGTTCTTAGCTGCTTGCTCCCAGCTCTCTCAGAGCCTTGTCTTACAGCCGTGCCTCTGAAGAGACATCTGGTGGTGGCAAGAGCAGTCGGAAAAGGCTTCTCCCAAGAACAGCACACAGGCCTGTGCACCAGGCACCAGAACACTTTAAAAAGCTCTGGGCAGTAAGACTTTCTAAATGCCTGCAGGCTTTCATGGAGTTGTTGAACTGGGGCAGCTTTTGCCCCGAGCCTCCTTGGATTGCATCCATCAGAACTGCCTGGAATCATAGAAGTTGTTTGGGAAATGACTGTTCCTGGGATTCACAGATCTTAGAATTTAAAAAGCTGAACTCACGCTTTCACATTCCCCGCTCTGTTGTTATGTGAGTTCCTGGAACGTGAGTCTAACACCCAATTGTTAAAGCTCCTGGGGCTTGGTGTTGCGAGGCACTTGCAGAGGTATCTTGAATGAAACTGGGAGTGATCTGGTGATGCTGAAAGAAAAGCAGCCGCTCGCCCACAGTGTGTGAGACACGGCCAGGCAGCGTGCCAGAGGCAGCAGTGCTCTCTTACCTCCTCTCCAGAGCAGTGCTTAACGAAGTCCAGAAGAGCCTGTTCCATTTTCTCCCCTGCATCCCTCCCAAGGCATCAGCCACCTCTCTGATGGCTATGAGCTCTGTGGATGAATGGGAGGGAGACAACGGGGGGCTTTTGGGAAATGGGGGAGGGAGCACAAGCAAGCTTCTTGAGTCTGTCATGGACTCTCCAGTAGTTTGGGGTGAGGGGAGTTCCTAGCCTTACCTGGATTGAACCCAGGAGCTTCTGCGTGCAAACCAGGTGTTTTGAGTTGGGGCACTCTTACGCACTAAATGCATGATTAATGGGTTGGGAGGGGCATTCCAACATAATAGGGTGATTTTAGATGTTAGACCCACATGGAGGGTAGAAAGGTAGGGACTCTTGAGGTTCAGATACGGGAGCCCAGGGAGTGGGCAGCTGGCTTGCCGAGGTCAGTGGAAGAAGCGGCGGCGCTGGGGCCGCCTCCTTCAGCTCTCTGTCGTACTCTGCAGATTGCAGGAAGCAAACTGGACGGGGTGAGGGGCCGGGGGTCTGGCTGCACCTGGGATTCTCTGCGCAACTCTGCGGGAGAGAAGATTCTGCACCTCAAAAGCCACCCGCTGGCGGTGCTCAATGCTGGCTTTTGCAGCCTCTTGCAGGAGCTCTCTGAAGAGCAGAGCTTTGATATCAGCTACCTCGATATTGGTAAGCTTTGGAATTGTGACTTGCCGTTCAGGGGTGGGGGGAACTTTTTTGCTTGAGCATGTAAAAAAAAAAAAAAAGCCCCTTACACTCCTGTTCATTTTGAAAATCCTGTCCGCTTGTGTGTGCATATGTTGGTCTATTTATTTGAATTTATATTTTCCAGTTTCAAATTGCATGTCCAGGTGGAGCAAAGCAGCCATGGCCAGAGCAGGCCCGTTTAGAACAGTTGGAGACAGGACATCAGTATTAACGGCTTTAACATTGGTCTGTTGCATGGCTTCTTATATTGGTGCAAAGAAACGTAGCTCCACGAGAGGGAACTTTAGCCGAGAGAACCTGAATTTTTGACACTGTTTTCCTGGGCAAAATATTGAATGTTCCTAGTGCCTGTGTTTAGGATCCTCATTTCCCTCTAAGTTAATGGTACTCCTACTCCTAAAAATGAGGCATTGCTCAGTCAGACTGATAATTCTTCTTGGCCATGCTATATTTACAGTATTTCACATAGACAGAGCGCTTCTGGACGTTCAGACCCAAGTTATGTCAGGAATTCCCACTGCAGGGGCCCTATGCAGCCCTTGGTGGTTTCGGTGTGGTCTGGAAAGGCAGCAGAACCTCCCACTTGTGCCTTGCCTCTTGCCCTGCCAAGGTTGGGTAGCTGATCACAAGTGAAAGCCTTTCCCTGCCAGGGAGAGGGGTGAGTCCTGGGCAGAAACTGCTGATCCTGGTGAGGCTTGCTTCGGAGTGGCTGTACAGGGGGATGCTGTTGGAGTGGGTCAGTCCTGCTCCCTTCCAAGCTGAAAGGGTTTTCTCACTCTGCTAGAGGCAGTGGAGGAACAGTGTGCGTGTACATGCACGCAAGCCCTAGGTGGACTCCTGTGTAGCTCTCAGGACCAAACAGGCCGCGTACCTCTCTCTTACAACAAGCCAGTGAGAGGCCAGCAGTCGTTTTCCTGTGATGCAGGTTACCAGGAAAGGGAAGGGGGCTTCTCTGTGACTAAGACAGACCGGTTTGCTTGAGGCTGCCTTCCCCAGTCTGGTGATCCTGGAGGTTCTAGGTATACTGGACTGCAACTCCCATATTCCACATCTAGAGGACACCAGGTTGGCAAAGTGTGGTGTAAGTAAGCCATAGGCACTTAGGAAGCACTAAGCCAAAATTTAAACTATGGCATTTGCTCCAAAAGAAGTTGGCCAGAACACTGAGGGAAATGACAGAAGGAAAGCAAATGTTTATGTTCATAGCCTGGTAGACTGCCTCTGATCACAGAGGTTCTGTACCTAGCAGTACACAACTTTTCTTTTCCTCTGCATTAGGACAGTGTGTTGAGAATGTCTCCTCACATTTTTTCTCATTGCTGGCCCAGTGCCATTGACTTTCAGTTGGCTGCAAAAGTCTTGTGAGGCCATTTCTCGTGTGAGAACAACAAGGAAGGGGGCCATGACACCCTTCTTTGTGCTGGCTTTTAAGATCTTGAAATGTGTACACTTGGCTTTTTGATTGCTCCAGTCCCTCTCCAATCAAAATGCAGTCCCTCCATCTACAGAAGGAATCCATCTTTTTAATACCAAACGGCTGATCCCCAGTCCACACCTCTCCAGAGGGCATGTAGAAAGCTTGTTCTTCTGCCTGCTCGGGTGAAACAGCATCTTTTCCCTTCCTGCAGATGAGATGAGCTTGAGCGGCCTGTACCAGTGCCTGGTGGAGCTCTCCACACAGCCGACGACAGTGTGTCATGGCTCAGCCACTTCTCGCCATGCCGCCCGCGCGGACGCTGCCCGCAATGCCCTTCAGTACCTCAAAATCATGGCAGGGGGAAAATGAGGGGCCTGACCACTGCTGATGACTCAGAGCAACTCGGGCTTCCCAAGCAGCGCCGTGTCCGTCTTCCCGCCTGCTGAAGGAGGCAGCTGCCTTTCCTCCAATCAACAATTGCCAGGGACAGGGGGAGATTTGCAGGAGCTACATGAGAGCCCCCGCCCCCCACTGGTTGGGAGGGTGGAGGTGGAGTGTTATTCCAGACCGGAATCAAGACTCGAAGGGGATTTGCTGTGCCGGTAGCAGAGAGAAGGTTTGTGGAGACTTGTAGCCCTGAATATGAGGGGCTGGGACTGCCCGTCTGGAGGTCACGGCTGTCCTGCCTTGCCATGATTCCCCTGAAGTCATCCTGGTACTTCTTGTGGGCAGACAAGCACTGACTGTTTCTCTCATGGCTGGGGGTTGCAATAAACTGGAATTTTGTAAGGAGGTGTCCGTCTTTCTCTACCGCATCCTTCTTGCAATCAGTGCAGGCTTGCGTGTTTAAAACTGTCCTGCCACAAGCCGTTTTAGGTCAGTTATTCCAATGTATCCCCACCTAAAAGACGTCCTGCATCTACAAACTAATGTGCTGGGGGAAATGTTAAGCCTTCCCTTTCCGGCATGCTAATTTTCTGTACTTGGAAAGCTGGGGAGGGTGCAAAAGGGGTCTCCAGCCTCTTCGCATCAGCTGCACATTTGGAACGTGGAGTGCTGTGGGGCACCCTCACGTGCTGACTGCAATGGAGAGGCCCCTGCCTGTTCGTGGAGCGGCTGCCGTGGTGATGGTGGTGGTGGTGGGGGGGGGGGGCTGCTCACAAAATAAACATTCGGCGTCTAAGGCAGAAGGAAAAGGAACTTGTCCAAGACTCTCAAAGCACAAGGCGGCATGAGGCACGAGCTCCAAAGCACCAGCCACCCCTTTGAACCCAAATGCTGCTGCTGGAGGGCAACATTTCACCTGGCAGGGTGGCAGCCTGCCTGTTTGAAACCAAGAGAGGTAGGAAGCCTGACCAGCACCCAAGACATGCTCCATTAGGGCTCTTTAGGCCCCTTTCCAAGAAGCTGCAGAGCTAAAATTCCTCTTGGTTTGCTTCACTCCTTTCCTTTGGGCCCATTTAAAGCACTTTCTCCCTTCTCTGCTAGTGGAAATTCCTTAGTCAAACACATTAAGCTGCTCTGTTTGGAAGCAGGACATGTGAGCACCGGCTCCAGAAGATGCTGCTGTCCTAAGCTTCCCAGAGCCTTTGGGCAACTGCACTTGGGAACACTGCACTAGCTGGAGACAAGTTGGTTGAAACCCCAAGGCAAAGATAAGGTCTAAGTCCCAAACACCCTCCTCCATTAATTTACCTTCCTAAAAGTGCCAATATCTATCCCTGTGAAATGCAACCAATTATTCCTTTTGCCCCTCCCTGCCTCAGAGCAGTCAATTCTGTAAGTCACTTGGTGCAAACAAGTCAAAGTTTGCAGTGTAGTTTGTATGACACCACTGGAATTAGATCTTTCTTTTGAGCTCTTTATGACATATGCAGTTTAAGGGATTTGCTGCCACAAGATACGGCAAGGGATGCTAAATAAAAGACAGAGGGAACAGCTGTCAACAGCTGTTTGTCATGACAGCCAAAGAGAAGCTCCACGATTAGAGACAGCGTAACACTAAATGCAGGAATTTTGCTGGGCACAGCATCAGCTCTAGCTTTTTGCTATTTCAGAGGCATTTGGTTGACTCTGAGGTTCAATAAGAAGTGGGGAACCTTTGCACAGACACACACCCATGTCATCCTCCAGCGCATCAGCATCGGCACCAAGTTCCCCAATCCTGTTCTTGCGTGTACTGTGGACATAAAATACCTTTCTTTACAGATTTTCTTGATACGCACACGGTCTCCTTCAGTTAGGTTTTTCTTTAAACAGACTCTTCCTCAACAGAAAGCCCCACCTTCTCATTTCCAGGTAAGTTTTCCCTCTCCTCACACTGTGGGAACACTTGAATGTATCACACACCAGATGGACCCAGTGTTAGAAACAATTTGCTACTCCTTTCTCCTCTATAGGCACATTGGAACAGGCCTACATTTCTCCTATGAGCTCATTCCTTCTAACAGTATCAAGTCAGATCATGGGGGGGCCACTGACAAGCAGGACACAAGGACAGTTTCTCATTGTTTGGTCAGCTGGTGTCTTGCAGACTCTTGACTTGAAAGTCTGCTTTTCTGGCGATTTAACTCGTGTGTGTGTGTGTGTGTGTGTGTGTGTGTGTGTGTGCACGTGGGGAGGGGGCATTTATTCCAGAGACCCTCACCACAACTTACAAAACAATGAGTGCCATGCTTTGAATGAGGTTCACCCTTTTGGTGTAAATCCCCAAGTCAGATTGAGCATTTGATAGCCAGAGAATAAGCGTCCACTCTCTTTCTTGTGCGCACTGGAAAACCATACAAACAATGCCCGGCTTTGCATCACTACCCTCGTGTAACCAAGACGTGAAGCTCAGGCTGGTAGAGAAGCAGATCTCTGTACCCTCAGGGCTGTGGGGTTGGGGGCACACCAGCCAGAGGGAGAAGACTTAACCTTCACCATATTTTCTCCAAGTTGCCATTTGGTTCCTCAAAGGACAACCTGAACCATCGTGTGCTAAGAGCAACACGTGCCCTTTGCCCTTGTGACTGCCTCGCCTGGCCATCTTTGACAGCAATCCAGGAGGCCTTCTTCCCCGCAGACCACCTTCTGAGTGGCAGGCACAGCGTTCCCATGGGGAGTCGGTCAGCCATGGCGCGATGAGAAGCCTGCACCAGCTGCCTCTTCTGACCTCTGCTGACCAGCCACACAACAGTTCCTGCTTTCCCAAGGCCTCTTTACACAAGGGGAGGTTTGCCCTCCACACTTTCTCTGCCCATGTGCTCCCAGCTGTTCTTGGGGCTTGCTTACTCTCTTAGGCATAAACTGGGGGAATAAAATTTTGGTTCTTTGCTAGCATGTTAAGTGCCATCTGCACTCAGCAGATGGGGTGGACCCCAAAGTGCCTGCCCAGGCCCCCTTCACTCACACAACACCCTCATCTGTGCTCTCTCTCTCTCACACACACACACTCCCCCCCTGCACCACAATCGGGTTTTTGGAAAAGCAAAGTGGGAGAGGGAAGATGGGTGCTTCCCTCTCCAGCAGTGCTCCTCCCTCCCAAAGCGCCCCCTTTCTACAAGGAGGTCTTAAAAGCCCCCAGTGACATTAGCGCAGCACAGGAGGGAGATGGGAAAGTACCTCTTCCGATCACTGTTGGAGTGATTAGGCAGCCTACACAACAGTAGCTTCCAAGATGTCACAACTTGTTTTTAATTCTTCTTGTTAACAATGAGCAAAGCACAAGCTCAGGAGAGCCAGGCACTCAGGCAAACCGCAGTGACAAGACACAGACGTAGGAAGAGAAGAGAGATGAGATGCTTCGATCCTGTTTGGCAGAATCCAGCAGACCGTAGTTCTGAGTGGGTTGCTTTTCCTCTCGGGCTTCCCAGTTTCATTTTTTCTTGCCAAAGCGCTGTGGAGCAGCCATGCTCAGAAACTGAGGCGCCATCAAATCCCAAGCCCGTGGAATGATCCTGCTACCACTGCTGGGGCTGGCCCTGGTGTCCCGGCCGAACCTACACGGGGGAACAGAGGCAGAAGGCAGCACATGGCAGTCAAGAACCTGCTGGAAAAGGATTTGAGGCATAAAGGAGAAGAGCAGGCACGGTTTGTCTCCAGGACCCGTTAAGGTGAACTGGGCTCTGAACTTGGGGTGCATCTTTCTCCAGAGAAATGGAAAGACAAAAGCACGGCCCCATTCCTTCTTACAACTTTCAATGAATAAGAATTCAGGCAAGTGATAAAAGAACAAATGAAAAGCCATCCATCCATGGATTCATTTCTGGTGCATTACACCAAACTGGCTGCTTAAACACAAAACACGAAGCCAAGCTTTATGACATGCATGAACAGAAAGGCAGCCTGGGCAAAGAGCTGTCTTCAGGTAGTCTTCCTGCATTCTTCTACCCAACTGGGAGAAGGCATAAAGCAAATTTACTTTGAATAAGGAAGGAATAAGGAGGTCTAAGCCAGGTTCATGGAACCAGGTTCAGCTTCACTTTGCCCAACAACAGGATCCTGTGTGGATCGGGAATCATAGCTTCCTTCAACTACATATTTTGGGCTGGTTGACTTGCTTAACAAACCCAAGTTTATTCCAAACCTATTCATTCTTCCTCCCAGCTACATGAAAGGAACAGAAAGGTCACAGGGAGTGGGAGTTCAACTGATGGATTGGAAAGCTTTACTGCAATAGCAATTATGCCCTGGCCAAAAGCTTGTCGTTTTAATAGGGGCCCTTGTCTCATCTGTCTGAAATTTGGTCATTGTGATATCCAGAGGTGCAGGGGTTCGCTAGCAGAATGCCTGAAAATGCAGAAGATGCAGTCCGCGAGGAGGGGCCATGGCTCAGTGGCAGGTCCTGTGCCGTGTGCTTTGATCTCTGGCATCTGCAGGAATGACTGGAAAAAAGCACCTGCCTGAAACTCTGGAGAGCCAGCCAGTCAGTGCTGATAATACAGGGCTAGATGGACCAAGGAGCTGCCTGTTTCTAAGACTGGTGGGGCCTCCCAAATGTGATCAGTAGAAAATTAAGGAATGCATGTAGGCAAATAAACAGCTCTTGGACAACGCGTGGAAATAAGGCATGGGAAATGGGCTGCTCCCAGCGATTAACCTTCTTGGTCCATACCTAGCCCACCTTACCTTTGAGGCTGGAACAGAAAGGAAGGGCTGCGGCCAGGCCTCTGCACTGCATGGAGGAGGGAGCGGAGGAGGACGCCCAGCGGATGCTCCTCAGGGGGGCTCTGGGCAGCGTGCTCTTCATTTTCTTGCTGCTGTGGGTAGAACCAGGTGCCCATCAGAACATGGCCCGGGCAGCAGGCAATCGAGAGGAGACACTGCAGGCAACAGGAGCACCAGTATAGGGGTGACCCTGAGGATCGCTCCATAAAAGTTCAGAGCAGAATGCCAGTGGATACAGAACCCCACTGACCCCACCCCCGGTGTCCACTGCAGAAAGCAGCCCTTCCAAGGTGAGGTGTTGGTCCGTGCCCCCATGCCCCAATGCCCCCATGAGATGCTGCAAGTGAGAGGACCGCTCTTATCTATGGGTCACAACCCAGGAAAGGTAACGTTGCCATCAAATCATTTATCTCATAATCCACTTGCAAACCACTTTATGGACAGAATTTAACAGCCAATTGGGCAATTTTGCCAAGTGGTCTCCCTGGTCCAGACTAACTCAGCTGCATGGAAAGGGTGGTGGGGATGCCGCTCTCTGCAAACCACACAGCACCCTGAGAAGCATATTCTTCCTAGACAGCCATTTATAGAGCAGTCTTTAGCCAAAGGGGCCAATCAGTGGCCCTCCGTATTCACCCAAAGTGAGACCAAGCCAGTTATGCTCAAAGTTGCAAAAGTGTGCACACACGCATGCACACAGAGGGAGAGCTCTGTGTGTGCTACCCAAAACAGCACACTCCCAAAAAGGCTACGTTCTGTAGACTGTGTCCTGCAGCTGAAGGATATTTGCTAGATATCAGCTTATTTCTTTTGCAGCTTGTGGGGAGAGTAAGAAGCAACCAAGGGCATCTCCTGACTGCTGGAAATGCTGCTTGATCCCCTTATGCATTCGATGCCTCTTTGCTGCTTCAAGAACTAGAACCCGGCTTAGAGAATCAAAGGAGAGGAAACCAAGATTCTCAATGCTGCAGAATACGCACAGCCATGCATAAAAACCAGGAGTCCCACAGATGTTCATGGGAATCTTTCACAACAGTTCTGTATGGTAGGCCTGGATTTTTATCTTCATAATTGCAGACAAGGGCTGAAAGAAAAGCAGCTTGCCTAAGATCACCTAGTAAGCTTGTGAACAAGAGGGGATGACAGGAAGATCCCTTCCTGGGCATCATCTACCATAACTCACCAAATGTGGAGCCCTGTGGATTCCACCGATGCCCCTTGCCTACTTCGGGAGCACTGCCTAAATCCCAGCAAATGGCTAGGAGAGAAAACTGGGGAAAGGCCTTTGGTCATGGATTTTACCGTCTTTCGGAAACTTTGCAGGAGTCTCAGGTCTACCATTTGGCTAACCTTGACCTCACTGCTTGCACCAAGAGATGGCCCATCAGTGCTAGTCGGTGTGCTGCAACCGAAAGCAGTCTGCACTACGATCCTGTTAGTTTAAAAAAAAGATAAAACGAATGGACGCTGCACACCATTCCAACATCCATTTCTACCTTCTTGTATCTCCCCGCAGCTCCATACCACCTTAAGCAAGAAGGAAGGGCCATGGCTCTGCAGATGAGGAGGTGTTTTATATGCAGACAGACCCAGAGCTGATCCTTGGCATCTGCAGGGAGGGTTGGAAAAACTCCCACCAAAAGCCTGGAGTGTCAGTGTTGATAACACTGGGGCAATATAGATCTGTGGTCTGACACAGTCACAGCTGCTTCCTTTGATCTGGCAGGCCACACTTCTTATCAAACATGTTTGGGTCACCTCTCTCTCAGCCGGTTTTACCTTGCATGATTATGATGAGAATAAAGTGGGGAGTTGGCAAGGTCAAGAATATATACTACCTGAACTCTTTGGAGAAGAGAAGAGAAGAGAAGAGAAGAGAAGAAAAAAGTAATGAACAGAATCAAAATCCATGCTGATCTTTACTAAGGCAAAGGAAAGCTCATCAAAAACTGCAAGCTTTCGAGATTCTCGGAACTCTTTTGGGAAAGCTTACAGAGTTTTCGGGGAGCTTTCAGTTTGCATAATAAAAGCATTCCAGAAACATGGCTTGGGAGCATTTTCTTATGATCAACCCAACTACCTTTGCTACATCTTTGAAAGGCCACTCTGCAGCCCTCTGACTATTTCGCACTCGTGGCACGCTTAGCACGGCACCAAGCAAAAGCAAGACAGAGACAAAAGCAAACAAGCAAGCAAGCCAGAGCGGGGCACATCCCTCCACGTGGTGCCGAGACCACTTACCAACCAGTCTAGGAGCCTCTCTGGATATGCACAGGGCTCTTCGGCCAACAGCTCCTTGGAGCCAAGGCCCTCTTCCTCCCGGCCCCGGCCCGAGCCCAGGCCACCCGAGAGCAAGGCCAGGGTCAGCAAGAAGCGGGCGGCGTCCATGACTGAGGCGAGGCCTGCACTGCGCCGCACCTCTCGGCTCTTCACGCCGCCGACCCGCATCCCTCCTCCTGGCAGCGCCTTTATATCTCTGCTCCAGAGCCGGGGGGCCACGGGACGGGATTGATGACCGCAGAGGTAGCTATTTGTAAGGCGGGGCATGCGGTGAGGGGCCCTGCGGCGCCTCCCGCTGATGAGCGGAGAGGGACCGCGCCGGTCCCTGGCAGAGGCGGTGCTGTCGTCGGCTGGGGCTGATTGCCTCTTATTGCGAGGATAAATCCACCGAAATGGGTCTTTAAGCCCTGCTGGGGCCCGGCGGCTAATTGCCTGTTTACGGGGGCTGGGGGGCCACGCGGGAAATCAAGGCGGCGCCTTCAGGCCGCTGACCTCCGGCCCCTCCTGCCGCAGTCTTAAATCGGAGTGGATTGATGGGTCTGGGAGCCCCAGAAGCTGCCCGGAACTGCGCGTTTGTCACGCTGCTCCCCGAGCGGCTTTCTAAGCCCTGGGCCCCTGAGGCGGGCACGTCGACAAAGCTGCTCCGCTTAAAGCTTAATGAAACCCATTTACAAAGACGCGGATGAGTGACGGGACGGGAGCGGCGCTCTTGCTGCATGGGGACTGCGGGGTGCTAAACGACGCAATTACCGGCACCTGGAGGGGAGGGGGGCTCCGTTTTAACTTGCCCAGGACATTCGGAATGGACTCGCCCTATTGGGCAAGACTGGCTTGCAAAACACTCCCTTAAAGAAAAAAAGGCTCTTAAAAGACAAAAGGCCTGAACTCTATAAACGCCTAATTGATACAGGCAGACATCAAAGGACCTGGACTTTACCTATTGGATATCTGCCTACAGTGGAGCAATCAAAAGGCATGATGCTTGTTTTTAGTAATAGCAATAGCTGTACGGAATTGGAGTGAGCAGTAAGGCAGCAAAAAACAGATGGAGGTGTCTTCAGCTAGTTTAATGCATTTGTGGAAATGGGGGCTAACCAAAAGAGCAGCAGAAAGGGAATTCAATCGCCAGGTTGCAATGTTCTAGGTTCGGACATAACACCCAGAATTTGGGTAGAATGCAGGAATCTGAGGATCCCAGCTTTGATTTTGAAACAAGGAATGGCCTTTCTAGACTATTTGTTGAAAAAAGACCTTAGAATGGAACCCACTCTCCTCTAGTAGGCCTCAGTCCGAGCAGCAAAAGCCAGTGCTAGCAATGGACACACAGGATTTGCCAGTTGATGCTATATTAGCATACTCCTAAAACAGTATTGTAGTAACCCTGTACTCTGATCTTTCCTTGCACTGGGGTGTAGATTATTTAATGTCTGTGTGGGGAGCACCCTTTACAAACCGCAGTGTTTAGGATCACTCTTGGTGCCTTTTAAGCAGAACAAGAGCCGTGACCAAGAACCTGCACAAAAGGAGCTGGGTGAAAAAAAGACACGGTGCACTGCAAACAATGCTAGCGGCAACAAGAAATACCTGGAAAAGGGGTCAGCGCAAACGCACTCAAAGTAACGCAGGTGACACCGAAAGAGAAAGCAAAGGGAAGTATAGAAATAGCGCCGCCTGCTGGCACCCAGTAGCTTCAGCGCTCTCTCTTTGCAAGCACACATCGTTCCAGAAGTGGCACACTTTCCTCCTGCCAAGCCCTGAAGAAAAAAGAGCAAGGGGAAGCTTGACAAGGGGTTGCCAAGACTGAAATGCGTGAGATTTTTCTGTGGCACCCCCAAGCAACTGGAGAAAGCGAGTTATCATCAGCATGACTGCATATCAATTTCCTTGCCGCGTTTCCCTGAAGGCTCAGGAAGGACCCTCTGATGGATGCCCCCAATAAGAGCCAACGTCTTTCAGGCATTTGATGCCGGGGACAGGCTTGCATCCATCAGCAGCACACTTCCTGACGGGGAGCACGAGTCACTTGCACTGGGTGGCCCGTTACTATATCGCAAGCCAAGTCTTAGCCCCCATAGAAAGGAGAGGCCTGAATCCCTCACAGTGAGGGGTGCAGAACCTTTCAATCCGAGGGCCAAATTCCATTTTGGAAAACATCTTGAGGGCGAAGGCTGCATTCCAGGGTGGGCAGTGCTGGAGGAAAAAGGGGGGTATCCAAAAACTCCAGCATGTTTTAATTCAAGCTCTTACTGACAGTATCTGAGCCCTAGCAGAAGCTTTCCAACATTTTAGAATACAAAGGCGAAGCAGTTGGAGGAGGTAAAGGAATAAGAATATTGCAGAAAGGAGGGGCTACCGTATGAGAAGTAAAGCCGGGAGGCGTGGAGCAAGCCAGCCTGTGCAGGTGAGGATGAGGAGGTTGGGCTGAATGCAGACAGAGCCAACCCAAGGCGGCGAAATGCTGCCGGAAGGGAAGGTGGGATGCTTCCCCCACTTGCCACACCCAGAAGCCAATTGGATCCACATCTGAAACTCATTCCGATATTGGCAAGGGGCAGGCGGTGTGCAGATTCCATTCAGTCTGATTAGTGCAGATGGCTGGGGGTGGGGGGGTTCTTTTGTTCCATAGTCTGTTGACACAGTGGAGGTAGGTGGGTTGGTACAAACAAGAATTTTGTTTCTGTCGTGCTAATGCGCACTAGTGCCAGATGAGAAATCAATCTGTAAGCCCCTGGAATCTGCATGACTCTGGGAGAAAAAAACCCCCTGGTCTGATGTGGAATCCACAGGTCAGATTAACGGGAATCTGAACTCAGGACTTGGTGGATTTTGCTGGCATCCCTGACAGTGGGGTGCATCCTCCACCACACCAGGGGGCAGTGACCTAGCCAGGGGGTGGGCAGGCACCCAGTTCTGTCTGCTGCTTGCCGTGCACCAGGGCATGCTGCCCAAGGCTGGCACCTGACTCTGCCTCATGACAGGGCCCGGTCTGGATTCAGAATGGGGCAGGAAGCAGCTGGTGTGGAAGTGCTGGGAAAAAGGGAACTTGCTGGGTAAGAGGAGTGAGCAATCCGGGCAGAACTGAGGGGTGAGAGAGGAAGGCCAGGGACCACTGCTGTGCAAGGTGGTTCTGTGCTTCGCCGTTCTGCTGCACCCGAGAGGGGGAAATGATGTTACTGGGCTTGGTGGGTGCACCCTTTGCAGCTGACTGGCCCCTGCATTCCGTAAAAGGGAGAGGGTCCCGTAAGCGGAAGGAATTGGACTCCTTTGGTTGTTCCGATTACCGGTGGAGCGATGCTGCCCTCCTGTGGCTGATCGCAGGAAACGCGGGCTGAGGCGTATTGTTAAAGAAATAGTGGCTTCCTGACGACCTGCTGCAGTTCTGGGAATCTATGGCTGGATATTGCATGCTGGGCACCAGAATTCCAGATGCTGCTCTGAATTTGAGAAGCCCGAGATCTAGGGCACAGCAAAACAGTTTCTGGGGACGAGGATGGCTGTCCTTTGGATCCTGTCAAGGCAAACAGATCCACAACAGAGCTGACAGCCAAGTCCACATGCTGTAGTTGAGCAAGCACTGCCTTTCTTAGCTTGCTGGTGACTTAGTTACATTTTAAAGAAATGTGTATATTGCCCAAATTGTGTTTCTACACGTATTTTTTTCTAAGTTTTGCTTGGATTTTAAAAAAAATGTTTTTAATATGTATTTTATAGTTAGCCACCTTCAAAAGCCATCCTGGGGCAGAAAGGCAGGATGGAATCATATACATATGCCTTTTGAAGATATACTGGATAGTAGCACAATAGAAAAGCTGCCACTCATTGGAAGGTAAGATTTTCTGTACTGTTTTCTTGTTTTGTTCCCTTAAGCTCAATTGCCTCAAGCCATGTAGAGCGGGTGTCAAGGTGAGGCAGGATCAGACTTGTGCCAAGGGCTGACACACCAGCAGTGAGAAGGTAGACTCACCAAGATGGGGCCCATGGAGGTGGTCTTGGCCAAGGACCCTCCAAAACTGGGCCCAGCACTGTGTGCATGGAAAACTGCATGTTTTACATTGAACCCCAACATAAACTTTAGTATGATCTTCCCTTGCAAGTCTGCAGCTTGGACTCCTATGGCTGAAAATACACTGGCCTTCCTTTTAGTTCCTGGGAAGACCAGGGAGTGTTGTTCAAATAACACCAAGTACATGGATGTGGTATTTAACTAAAGAGTGTCACTGTGGGGTGACCCCCCCAAGAGCCAGTGCAGTGTAGGGCTACAGGCTGGACTGGGGATTCAGTCCATCCCAGTTCTAGTCCCCCACTTGGTCATGAAGCCCACCTGGGGCTAGCCATGGACTCTCAGCCCAACCCAGCTCACAGGTGTGTTATGGGGAGGAGGAAGAGTTGCTTGGGAAGAAAAGGCAAACAAATAGAAATGCTCACTAACTGGTGGAGCACCTTGAGTCAAGAAGATCATGCAGCAGGTGATAGCAAAGCAGCTCTGCCTGTGCCATCCTGGAGAGCCACACTCCCTTCTGGGCACAGCAGACTGGGAAATAGTCTGCATAAAGCAGCTCCTACGTTCCTAACTTGCTGGACCAGGGCAAGAGACCATCTGGCCCAATGAAAACTGCCAGCCAGATGCTCTGAGCAGCTCACAGATGCCAGAAGGGCAAGCTCCATTCCTTGCTGTCAGCCCACAGAACCTGTCAGGTTTTCTTCTGAATGTGGGCAATCGGCCGTGAATAAACGCAGCTCTCACGCGCCTGTCCTTGTCAGTCAGATTTCAGTTGTAACCTGCTTGAACATCACGTGGGGTCTTGGCAGACCCCTTGCTAAACTGTTCCTTGTTCTACAAATCAATGCATGGGCAGGTTGCATGTACATACTTACATATATATATGACATACGGTTTTCTTTGGCATCAAAAGCAGGCTTCCAAGAAACATACACACACTTGCATGTACATACACCTGTAGAAACTGATCAAAGGAGCCTTCAGCTCCTGCCTTTCTCTTTGCCTTGAGGCTTCAAGTTAGCACCTCATATTAATGAGAAATTGAGAGAGAGTCACCTGCAGGCAGAGTATGTTGCTTTCCGGGATGTGACTTGGAGGATGCAGCCCATAAGGGGCAGCAGAAGTGAGGTTGCTATTTGGATGAGATGATGATGATAATGTACTGGCAGGGATCCCTAGATAACCAGCAAAGCTTCTGGAGCAGGACCATGGCAACGTTTTCAGCCCAGGAGTCCATTTGCTTGCTCCTGACATTCCAAGGGATATGGTAAAAGGAACATTCCCCCTCCCTTCCCTTCCCTTCCCTTCCCCTGATGGCCATGGTGGAAGGAGCTCCAAAAGATGCAGGCTGCCCTGGGGCAGGCTACCTGGGAGCTGCTCGGGAAGGTACCACATCGCTCTTCACCTGATTCATGCGTCCTGCTGCCATTCAAAGACCTCAGGAGCCCATGGCCTCAAGGGAGCACCAGTTTTTCCCATCAGGAAAAGGGTGCTTCTGCAGCAGTTGTGCCGTGCTTGCTGCCAGGGCATGTGAAAGAGGTCATAAGGCTCTATTGAGAGCTCCCTGCGTGTTGTTTAGGCAAACATGTGACCCTCATGAAGAAGCGAGAGAGCCATTTTAACTGTTCCAGCCAGCCTTCCTCAGTTTGGTACCTCCCCTTGTGCTGGATAAGTCCCATCAGTTCCAGTCTGCCTGCCCACCAGCTGGGAATGATGGGAGCTATACTCCAACAAATTTGGAGGGCCCCAGGTTGCAGAAAACTGGTTTTTCTGCATTTCAGGTATTGGAAAATGTAAAAAACAATGAAACCCAACTGTCGTGGATACTTCTCAAGAGAAGCACCTGTGGCCCATGTCTACACATCATCCTCTGCCTTCTGCCTCTTTTGTAAGCATCACCCATTACTTGTAGTCAGCCTTGATGCTGAGGACAATGTAGGAGCTCTCCAACATGTCCCCCACCTAACTTCCTGCACGTCCCAGCCACTCTTCCCCAAAGGGGACCTGCCCACATCAACCAGAAAAACGTTTCATACAACAGCAAGCCCATCCCCCACCCACTTCAGTTGCCTTGTGCCTTTTTAAGAAGTGACTGTGCAGGCTGGCCGGTGGAGGTGGTGCAGAGTCCGCAGCCACAGCAGCAGCAGCCTGGCAGCCCTGCGTTTTGCTAATGTTCCCCCTCTGAGGAATCCTTTCTGCACTGCGTCCCTGTGCATTTGCCACGGGACCTGTAGGAATGACAGAGGGTGCGAGTGGGCTGCTTTAGGGCAAAGCTTCTCTCCACATACTGCTCTTCCTTGCGGCCCTCCCCTCCATGTGAATGCTGCATGGCCCACTACTCTCTGTAGCTGCGCAGTGGGTGAAGGGAAAAACACTTGTCCGTCTTTGATCTTCTCCTTGCAAAGCTCTCGATCAACCTCAGAGGGCGCCCAAGTTTCCCTAAAGGTTATTCTGCAAATACCCAGCAGACACATACATGATTGTTTCCCATTCAGACGTGCATGGTGATGTTTCTCTTAACAGCCTGGGCTGGTGGCTCCCATGGCCTTGGACAAGGGGCAGATGGAGTGATCCCCTTCAGCTCAATATTACTAACTGGATGTGGACTTGGAAACTTTTTAGCCAAAGGGGGAAGGATTGTAGCTCAGTGGTCTGGCATGTACTCTGCATGCGGTGGGTCCCAGTGGATGAAAAGGACCTCTGCTAGCGACCCCAAAAAGCCGCTGTCCGTCCTGGCAAGCAGTGCCAGGCTGGATGGATGAATGGCCGGACCTGATATTGAGCCAGAGAGGTGCAGCACTTGGAGTGATGGACTGGAACTTGGGAAATCCAGCTTCTGGTCCCCACTCAGCCATGAAGCTCCCTGTGTGACTGTGCACTAATCACTAATTTGCAGCCCAACCTTCCTCACGGAGCAGCTGCGGGAGTTAAAAGGAGAGGAGGAGGGTGGTATATGCAGCCTTGGATCCTTGGAAGGAAGGTTGGATATAAATGTAATAAATAAAGGAAAAGTACAAGGCAGCTGCTTGTGTCTCCTGTGCAGTGAAAGAAGGAGCACTGCACAGTTGAGAAATAACCTCAAACAGGGGAATGAGGGTGAGGACAGGCTGCGGCAGCTGTCCTGGTGTTCTGCCATAAAGCCATTGAGTGAACTGTACCAAGCAAAAAGAGATAGGATGCCGACAAGCTTATTCTTGTTAATATTTTAATGTTACATTTGCAGCATAAATAAAAAGGCACATTATATGTTTGGTAAGGACAGTGGCTGAAAGACAAGTGCCAAGGTTTTTATGCATGTATTTGTATTTTTTTTAATTTTAAAAATAGCAGAATACAAAGATGAAATGCCACAGCTCGCCCAGGCCTGTGGGAACAAACACAGGGCCGCGGGAACCACAGGACAGGCAGAATGCTAGCTTGTGAGGACCTGCTCACAGGAGCACTTCGGTGAATTATTGGTTGGCTTACCAGTTAAGTAGATGCATCTCGCCACCTTTCTTGCCCTCCTCCCTCCACACAGCTATCAAAAGGCAGTAGAACCTAAAACAAAGTCCCTGTTGGGAGAGGGAGGGGTCTGGGCCCTCCATCTGTATACATTTCAGGAAGTGACAAGTCAACAATGTCATTGCATACGGAATGGCAGCCAATGAGGAGAAAAGAGCTGATATATGCCTATATATTCTATATATATTCATAGATACGTATTTCACTTTATGAGATACTAAACCCCCCTTTGTGGTTAAGTATTCAGGGATCTCTCTCCCCCACCCTCCTCCCCTCAAATTTATTGATCGTAAAAGCTCTTCATATAATATATCTATATTTGGAAACATAACCAAAAAACAAAACTGGCAGCAACCTGTGGAAAAGGAAGGCATTACGTGGGTTCCTGCATAGCTGCAGATCTGCAATACCAATGGAAGGCTCTGGGACCAATGGGAGAAGAAAGAGTCCACAGGAGAGCGGCATCAAGGGTTGAGAGGTGGCGCATCTTTGGACAATCAGGATCACGCGGGTACAATGTGTATTGGCTTGGACTATCTGAGGACCACCGAGAGGGCTTGGAGGAAAGGGGTGGGGTGCCGGGGTGCCCCACATCCATAAACGCAAGGGTACATGGATGCTTGTTCATGGATTTGCAAGGTAGCAATGGGTTCTCTCTCTCTCCTGGCACAAGAAGGATGACCAGATCAGAATGCCTGGTTTTGGCAAAGCTGCAGAAAGATACAGTGACCCCCAATCTAAGGAGAGGTGGGGGCAGAAAGATGGGGGGCAGATGTGATGAAAAACATTTCAAACGGGTTCTCTTCCGAGGTGACTGTATAAGGGGGCAGGGAATCAATAAACATGCTTTTTCAGTTGTTCCAACTGGAGTTTACCTACTTGAGATGTAAACAATGGTTTGGCACAGGTGAGAAGAGGGAAATTAGGTGTCCTCCCAGGTGGCCTGCTTGCCTCTATCCTGCCTTCTGCTTGTGGTTATGCCATCTCCCCATCCCAGGAGTGGCCCTCCCCCCAGCACTGCTGCCCAAGCTCTCTTTCTCCAAGGCAGTCTAACTGAGGTACATAACCAGCACTGTTCAACATACAGACACCATGTACACTTCAAGGATTGACAAGTTTCCTGAGCCATCTATTGCACTGCAGTTTTCCCTACCGATTTGCTTGCACTTGTTCAGGGACAAAGGGGGTCCCTTTCACATATCTGCACCGAGAAAATGCCTTCGTTCTGCAATTCAAAGTGTAGGATTGTCCCCAAGGTATTTGCTTTGGCTTGGCTCTTTTGCTACTGCTAGTAGTGTACTGCCAGGCCTCCAGCAAAAATGGAAGCAAAGTGGCTGTTCTTAGCAGCAGCTGCTGCACCAAAGCTTTGGGAAAGGCTACTGGATCGACTATTCCTCAGCAAAGACAATCTGTGAACTACAGCTGGATTTCCCCTCTTCGCTCCTCTTCAGAGTTCAGATGCAGTTTGGACCCCCTGGGGCAGCTGTGCAACTTCTACACCAACCCTAAAGACATAGCGCTCCTGAGAGGAGGCACTAAGATTCAGGAACTCTCTTGTAGGATGCGTAACCTCTCCAGCCTTACTCCTCCGGCACCTGTTCCAACACACCCAGTGGCTGCACCACTTGGGATGTTTTCCACGCCCCAAGGCTGATGGCCGCCTCCTTCCTGGTCAGAACACAGTCTTACATCTCACACAAGGGAAGACTTGTGAGTTATCCTAGAATTCAGATGCTAATCCCAGCCTCAGTTCAAAGGGAAGTTGCAGCAACATATTCAAACAGAACCTCTCTTCCTGTGTGGCCCTGGGGAGTCTATTGGTGATGCCTTTTGCTCATTCATGTGCTGAGCCCCTCCTCCTCCAGGACACAAATGGGGGGGGGGGAGAGACAAGATGGAGGCGATGCTTTCTCCAGGCTGCAGCAGTGAGCCCCAAGTGGCTCTGTGATTCCATCTGATCCCTGAATAAGCCTTTGCAGCTGGTTCATAGCAAGGGAAGACCCTAAGCCCAATCTGCACATTCACACTGTGACCCGGAATGTAAACGATGCAGATGCAGGTCCACACGGCATTTTTTTAATTTGCGAAGGTTTCCCACATGTCAGCGTCAGGCTCCCCCTGAATTGGCACTGACCGGATGAACAAGCCCTGGGAAACGAAGAGGCGTCTTTTGCATTGGTGGCTGGCCCTCCCTCCAAACAGTTGTGTTTGACACCGCAGCGACACCACGGCTTGTAGTTCAGCATTCAGCTGGAGGTTGGATGTGCATTCGCCGAACCAACAAGGTGGAGCAGCAGCATGGACCAGACCTCGGCGGAGGGGAGGTGCGTGACACATTTCACACACTGGTTGTGCCTCGTGTGTTGTGTGTGCTACTGCTCAAGAGAGGCCAAGAGCAACACATACTTGGCTGCGGAGCGGAAAAAAGCTCTAAGTGGGAACACATGCATGTGGCAAGGAAGCAGATTTAGCCTTGCATCTCCTGGCTTAAATCTGCACAGGTCATCCACACATATGCAATGGCTTGTTGGAAACAGCTGCAGCAGCCCAAGACATTTTGGATAGAAAACTCCATTCTTCAGGGTCAGCAGTCAATCTTTGCATAATGGAGTGGCCACTTCCCTCAGAGCAGGCCAGTCAACCTAGAAAACTGGACAAGAAGCATCATGTTTGATGAATGCTCCATGAAGGCTGCTGCAGTGGTCCTCCTGAAATGCACTGGACTTCACCAGCTTATTTCAATAACCTACTTACAGCCATTAGAATCATCGCCACTCCGTTTTTTTCTGATAAGTGGTGCTGCACCTCCCCCCCCCACCCCCCCGAACATGGAAGAGTGCTATGCCTGCTTTTTGGAACAAAGCTAGAAAAATTAGCTTCACCCACTAGCTTAGTTCCACTTGCACACTTCAAGGGCAGTCAGAACGTAAGAACCACCTGCTGGATCAGACCAAGGCCAATTCACTCTGGCATCTCCCTGCTATCCCAGCCCATCAGCTTTTTACCACTTTGTATCTGCAGGGTCCACTCCCACTGTTCTCACCAGATGTAACACTGTTGCTTTTTCTTTGGTTCACTGACCTCCTACTGAGGGGGGGGGGTGGTGAGGAGGAGGAGGAGGAGGAGAACTCCCACCAAAGAGAAAGAAAAGCCTCCAGAAAATCCAGTGGAAACAGTGGCAGGGCCAAATGCAATCTTCTGAGATCTGAAGTTCTTCTCTATCAGAGCAGATAGATCCATCAAATCAGAAAATAAAGCTGTTTCCCTCCACTATGCTTTGCCTGAGTTTTCATGTTGGGCAGGCTGCTTAGCCTCCTAAAAGCACTTACTGTCAACATATTAGAGGAGTCTTTTCACCCCGGCATCTTCCCAATGTGTGGACTGCAACTCCCATCTTTCCTAACCAGCACAACCACTTGCAATTTAATATACCTGGAGTGCAACCGGGTTGGGGAAGGGTCTATTTGAACCACACACATCAGAGAGGCACAGTGAAGCCATTCAGTGAAATGTGAGCAATGTGCTAGTCGCGTCATAACACAACCCCTACGCTATCTGGGGCAGCCATGGAGCTTTCTGTTGATAAAGTGACTGTTGCTGACACAGGGATGGCAAGAAGAGCCATGAGAGGAAACAGCAGCAACCTCGCTGGCATCTAGGAATCAGCATTGCCTGGGTAACTGAGGTCCTGCAGCAGAAGCCAGGTCTCAGCCCTGAATTTGAGGTACAAGACCCACCCAGGGGGAAGAGGGGAATGTTTTCACTGACCTCCCCAAAGGGCTGAAGCAGCCTAGTTTATTCTAACTGCTCTGGAGTTAGCTACTCAATGCATTTTCCGCTGAAACCATAGAAAATGCTGCTTGTGCAGACACGGATTCCTTTCTCACTCTTCTGAACATATCAAAAACACAGTCTAGCTCAGAAGGAACAGTATTCCGACTTGCATTATTATTACTCTCAAGAAATAAGCCTTAAAAGCAGAGCTGCTTCCCTCCCTGAAATGCAGACAGAGTAGAAGGGCCAAAAATCGCAACACACACCCCGAGACTTTCCACATCCTATCAAGAAGGAAACAATTTTGTGGAAAGGGTGTGCTTGCCTGTAAATTAGCGAAGTGGACATGTCATGAAGCAGGGCTCGAATGTTCCTTCCAAGCTGCTGTTCAGAGATTGCAATGCATTTGGATAACTATTCCCTTCAAACTGAGGGAAAGGTTTTTGGCAGATAACTGAGATACGGGTGGGTGGAGGTGAGATGGGAAGATAGGGCAGAAGGATTTATTATCCAACAGAGCAAAACCATCTGTGGATTTAGAGTTTTCTTTAGAAGTTCTCTAGAGGAAGGAAAGAAAGTTAAAATATTTCTTAAAGTAGCTAAAGACTTTCTAATGCTGGGAAAAGTACCCAGCACTGAAAGAGGATGACATGAAGCAGAGGAACGGAAAACAAAAAGAAAACATAAGGAAATGAGCACCTTTAACTAGCCATACGGAAAGAGTATCCAAATAGGTACTGATCCTCATCAGGAGGCCAGCCAGGGAATGCAAGGAAAAAAGATCTCCCTGATAGTGTGCGTTGTAGGCAAGAATGAAGGGAAGAAAGCCACCCCTTTTCTCCAAAAGAAGAAAATGTGTTTAATACAAAGTTCCTCTCTCTAAAAAAGCAAGCAAAAAAGCCTTAGCAGAACAGAACAGTTACAATCCTATCTGTGTCCAGGCTGCAAAACATGCAATGCTAACAAATGCAGTTGATGACGGAGAACAAGCCTCCACCAGGCCAGGTGCCTGAAGCCCCTCTGCTGTGCCACCATCACAGGGCAATGGAGGTGAAGGACAAAGCCAGTCTGAAGTTCTCGATCTTTTGCAGCCACAGAAATGGTCATTCTTCCATTTGCATAGTCTTCACCCCATTTAGCAAGCAGACACTCCTCCAACAGAGGTCCAGGGCCTAGCAAACATAAAGGCACTTAATTTTCTCTTTCTAGTGGCATGGAAGGCCAGACTGTTAAGGCTTCAGCAGGAAGATGAAGAAGCACAGCAGGGAGTGGTGTACGTATCTGTGTCCTGTGGGAGGGCAGGCAGGGCACGGGCGTCAGAAGAGTTAGTGCACGGTATTCTTGGTTTAGAAACCATGGCCAGTTCTGCTGCACAGCAGAGACAAAATGCCCTTTATCTCTTTTCCTGCCCAATGCAAATAATGTGATTGTCACTGCCAGTATGGCTTCCTTCCAATTTCCTCTTGATCTTAACATTTACAATTCCCCCTGACTTCGCATGTGTGTATGGCACACAGCCTGCAATTCTCAAACTTCATGTCTCTGAAGTCCACAAAAGCCTGAATAAAGGATAGTTTCTAAGGTGCAAAAAGACAGAACAGAAAGAGTGAGCCTAGCACCAAAGTCTGCCTTTGGCTGAATGGTTTTCCTACACAGGCAAGCCCAGTGCTGTAAGTTAAGGCACAAAGTTGCTCACACTGAGTACCCATGGAGTTTCAGCTAACACAAGAAAGTTCCTTGAATACCTGGATCTTCTAGGCCCAGAAGCATGTATCCAGTTTGCATATAAAGATCTATTGATTTGAAACCCTAGAAGTGAAATGGGACATGGTATTTCCCTAAAGAGCTTGTATATATTGTATTTTCACCTTTTCAAACAGAGAAACAGTCAGAAATATATCTCAGATTTACTGGATACTTTTTTCTAATGGTTCCATTACATTTTAAAGGGAAATGTTAACTCTTTGAGACGCTGTATGATACAGGATGTCCTACCTTTGCCCTATCCAATCCCTGACACATCCTAGAGGGACAGATGGAAATGAATCAGCTAGGCCAGTTACACCCAAACATGCAGATTAGCTGTGGCACTCCAGCACATCACACAAAACTCACTGCTAGTGCTCCTCTGGGCTACTGGCATTTCTTGGAAGACTCTTCCATAGCTCATTACTTGCAGAAATTAATTTGCAGCTCCCTACAGTAACACAGTGCAAAGCCTATGGATAGGGCCATATGAATCAAAATCTCACACGGTCATTTTAATAACAACAAATTGCTGTTGTTATTATTCCCCATGGAGTCATGACTGCCACTTCTCCTTGGTGTGATCCCGGTCACATGGCTGAGGTATGACAAATGAAAACGGGAACTGTGCAGACAAAACTGGGAAGATCTGAAATCTTCCTTGCCAACAAGGTGATGGACACCCGTTCCTGCAACTTCATTCTTGCCCCCCCAGCATCACACCAAAGGAAAGAGGGTCCTGTAGTTGTTCCTGCAGGTGAGGAGGAAGACAGACTATGGGCAACATTTCCATTTTTTTAATGTACATAAAATAATTTTTGGAAATAGGGACAGGTATGTTGGGCGTGCACTCATGCACGTGCTTCTCATTTCGTTCTATTTCAACCAGGGCATGCCTCTCTTGCTCAGGAATATGGCAGATGCCAAATGACAGGTGGTGGGTTTATGTAATAGTTTTTGCTAAGCTCATTTCTCCATCTGTAAGAGCTCAAGAGTGGGGTGCGTAACTTCTTGGCTGCCCAAATTGGCTAGAGCTGATGAGAAGCTGTAAGCCAAAAACTCTGAAGGGGTACAAATTGCCCATCCCAGCTGGAAAAAAAAAGTATGAACTGTGTTTTTTCAAAGCAGCAGCAGCTAGTGCTGCATAACACCACCTGGGGGCACCTACATTATTTCAACACATGACAGGCCCTTGTGAAAAATGCGCACACTAAATGTCACAAACACACAGTGAGCATTATGCAACAGCCCAATTCTGCTACCCTTCCTTCTCTTCTTTCGGTGCCTGATCCATGCCAAAGTGACCTTAATCATGGTTAAAAATCAACGAAAAGCAGAATTAATTAATAAACGCCTAGTCAGTCAGTACAACACTGCATTTTTACACTGCCAAACAAGCTTCAGCTTTGCACTTACCACCCTTCTCCCAATACAACACTGGAGGCCAAAGGCTTGGCGCTTACAGATTTGTTGGGCTGCAAGTCTTACTAGCCCAACCTAGAGGTTCTGCTGCCCAGGAATAATGGGAGCTATATTTTAACACCTCTGGAAGACAAGTCGAGGGGGGCTGCTCTGGAGCCAGGCGTAAGGGGGCATTCAATCAGAATGTGTCCCAGCTGGGAGATCCTGAAGAGAGAAGCCGCACTACACTGTTGGGGCAGAACAGTAGCTGTGTGTCAGGAGGGCTGCAGGCTCAGCCCCCAGCATCTCTAGCTGACAGGCTCTCAAGCGACAGGGCTGCTGTGAAAGGCCATTCCAGCAAAGGCAGGGATGGAAAACCTCTGGCCAAAGGCATTCCTCATAGCCACTTCGCCTTATCTGGCTCCACTTCAAGTTATTGACATTATCTGCTCCATCCCCAGCTGAGGAGCTGAGGGCCAGAGCCTTGCACAAGCTGGGAAGAGAGGGTGCCTCAATGCATTTTTTCCGTTTTGGTGGCATACCAAGGAAGAGTCACAGCTATGCCTCCACCCCTTTTGGACTCTGGCCACTCCCGTACTGGAATGCACATCCCAGCAGGTTTCAACTGAGGTAATATGGACTTTGTCAGAAGGACATTTCCCATTAAGGCCTTGGACAAGCGCTGCCAGCTTGTCGTGACAGTCACAGGCTCGCTGACTTTCTAACCTGGTGCCCTCCAGATGACTTGGACTCCTGGAATCCTCCAGTCAGGCTCTGGGAGCTGGAGTCCAACACATTTGCAGGGCTCTCCACTGAGGAAGGCTGGGCTTCATGGATCAGTGGCGTGATTCACCAAAATCAGCCTTCTATTTTCTCTCTCATGACAGGGTGGTCTTTGTTCGTAACAGCCATAGAGCCAGTTCAGATTTCTTAATCACCTGACTGCAGTTTTTACTTGAAAAACACGACTGACCTAAAGACTTAATTCTCCAGGACCCGTTCTGACCCTGCAAGGTACTCATTCAACTGTGGGTAAGGGTTTGGAAATGTGTTTAAAATGAAAACAAAACAAAAGGGAAAATACACAGCATTGTTGAGCTTTGAAAGTTGCAAAAATAAATCTGCAACCTGTCCTTTAGCTGGTAAGCTCCTTTCCTATTCTATTATCCTTAGAAGATCCTGGCAGCACCTGCTGTGCAGTGTTATCAGAGCTGTCACTACGGAAACAGATACCTTGTTGGGATATTTCAAAGTCCTTGCCAATGTGTATTTTCAACATATCAAGTAAGTGAAGGGAAGGAGAAGACAAGTGACCGGATGGCTGAAATTTTTGCTAAAAGGAAGTCTGCAGACTTTCAGAATGTACTTCTTGCTGCTTTTAAACAAAAGGAAAGGAAAGGGACTCAGAGAATAAAAGAAAAACGTTAAAAAGCCACAGAAAAATGGAAGTAAGATTGTGTAAGGCAAGGAAGCAGGTCAAGAAACAATGATGGCAAAACTTAGAATGGTGACAGGGATAACAAGAGAGATTTCCTAGTGAGGAAAATCTGCACAAGGTCTGACATTTCTGCATCTCACAGGGGATACTGCGATTCTTGAATCAAAAGTTGTATCTGTATCGTAATGCATGAAACATCATCAAAATTGGGAATAAGAATTGAACAACAGTGAACTCGGTAGAGTCTGGCAGCACAGAATATAGGACCACTTGAATGAGAAGAATGCTTCGAATGGAATACAGGGGAAGACAAAACAGAGGAAGAACCGGCATCTTAGGGGCTTGCGTGATGACAGCTACAGCGTAATCACCGCAACACATCTTCTCTGCTCACTCGAGATTTGAACTAAATATGGGCAATTACCCAACTAGTAGGAAGTCAAGGCCAATTTTAGGGAAACCTGAGGACAGACGTGAACACACACATACTTTGGCAATAAGCAAAGGGCAACTGGAAGAAACAATTCCAAGTATCTTCAGAAGGACAATTGGATTTTATTGTTGCTGAAAACTACCCTATGACCCTGGTGCTAAGGAGTCCTGCATTTGTTCTGAAAGGGGTAAATGGAAGAAGAGGTAGCACCCAAAAAGCATATGTGGGGCAGGGGGTGGATCTGGAAGAAAAACAAAAGAGGGAAGTGGAATGCTCATCCAATCCTCTTGTCCTCAAAAGAGACAGGCCATAATTTAAGGCCATGGTCTTGATAAGTTATTTAGATTAAATATGACAGATGATCCTTTGAAATGTGCAGGGTTAAAAGGAGTTCTGAAGACTTTCAAATTCATGACTTACTGAGAGCTTCTTTTGTTTTTGCTTTTCACAGAAAGAGGATTTGTTCCAGTGTAACCTTCTGAGGCCCACACACTGCAACTCAGTGCCTAGCCAAGTCCAACCATGTAAGCTCAGGGCTACTCAATACTAACGTATTATATATTCTGCAAACACACACACATTCCAATCACATAGTTTATTCTGCCTCTGCTACACGTGGTATGGGGCAAGAAGGTGCACAGAGTGCAAAGGCGCAACCTTCTGACCAGCGGAAGTACTCTCTTCCTTCTGGCATCTGAATTTCCAGGTACTTCCCACAGAAACAGTACCAGACAGAAGGGTGACGGAGAAAACACTAATCCCTGATAACGTGCATGACTACATGAGGCAGGCACAACAGATTTGCCATTTCCATTGCAGCAGTTGTAAATACCTAACTGATCACTGGAATTAGGAATAAAATGTCTTACTTCAAAAAAGAATCTGGGGATGGCAGGGCGGGAGAAGAGATCAAACTCACAAAGTCATGTAGCTTACCACCTTCAGCTGGAGTCCTGTGTGAATGTGCAGAAGTGAAGGCTTGCTACAGCAGTGACGGATACACCAGAGATGTCTGAAAGCATCTAAAAAGGATTAAAAATGGGCAGCACCAGCAAAATGTCATGGTCTCTCCCAAGAGCTGTTTTTTCCTTTGCTAAAGTGGCCAACTCAAGAAAGCACCATGAGCCGCCAAGCTGAGGGAGGTTTAGTGTTAGCATAACTTATACCTGAACATTAACCATTTAAGACCACACTGAGCAAAGGCTACGTGTACTGTTGTACATACGACAACTGATTGACCCTAAGGGATGGCAAAATTACTCACTCTGATGTCATCCTTTAGAAACTAGATGGTCACATGACAACTGCTTCAGGCCCAAATCTGTATGGGATATGCTTTGTTAGAAGCTCCATAGCTGCCCTTAACTCACTTTAAGAAAACAAAAAACAAAACAAACAAAAATGTATCCACCCCATACTGCTCAAGGGGCTTAGTTAGCATCAGTCTCTCTGGCTGCAAGTTCTTATTGGTTAGTTCTACGTCGCATCATTTGTGACATCATCTGCCAGCAGACTGAGATTGTGGAGCCATAATGACGTGCGACTGTATGGGCACGTTCAGTTCTGTCCTTTGGCTTGCCATCTGAGTGAGGACTGAAGTGGCGACGGCTTCAGCTGCAGAGCGGACGTTCAGGCCGTTGGGAGAGGCCGTCACAGAACTGTGCTGGATGACTGGGGCTGGGGAACCTGTAGGCTCAGAACTCTCCTTTGGGCTTTCTAATTTTTCAGAAAAGAAAGAGGAGAAAGAGAAGTTATTCAGACTGCTGCTCATCACATTCAGGAGCTGGTAGAGCCTTACAGGCCTGGATTCTAATTCAAAACACAGCAGGCATTTGGTGTGTGTGTCCCCACCCCACAACTTACATTTTGCCTGCCCCCTTTCTCAGGAGAAAAATAAAGCAGTAGCTCCAGCACTGACTCAGAAAAAAGTAATGTAAGTAACTCATTTGGGTCAGCAGTTTCTATATAAACATCTAGGATATCAGGGATGCTGGTGAAATGATCTATAGAATATGCCCTTGTTGTGATGCTACCCTTTGGAGAGCTTGTGTGGAAGATAATCATGAGATACAAAGTTATGTATTTCCAGCATAGTACCCATCATTTAATCACCTACTTATTTATTAAATATTTTTCCTTTCCTCCAAGTAGCCCATGGCAGGTGTGTATAGCCTTCTTCCTTTTCATTTTATCTTCACAACAACCCTGTGAGGTAGCTTAGGCTGAGTGTCACAGTAACTAACCAAAGTCACCCAGTAATGGCAGAGTATGGACTTAAACCAGAGTCTCCTGAGTGCTAGTCTAACACTGTAACCACAATGTCACGCTGACTCTTATATGCCTTAATGTTGTCTGTTAGTTCCTTTCAGCAGAAGCTAAACATAGGTACCTCACTCTCCTGGAAAGCAGCCATTTCATCATTTCCAGTATGACATTCCTCACTCTGTTTTCAGAAGATGCTAACAGAATCATCAGAGCGCGCATGTATGTAGGTTCAATTGTAAAATTCAACATTTCTTAAGAGAAGTCTGGGCTACTTTCTGAACAGACCTGAGACTGAGGCACTCCAGCTTACTCAAAACAAGTCTTAAATTTTCGGATACAAGCAGCAGACTCACCTGTTGCTAAAAGCTCTTCCCAGGTGGTGGCAGCTGCTCTGCCAGCTTAGGGGGACTCAGTTCCAAGCAGGGTGCTGGAAGCAGCCCAGAGATCTCATGCAATGCCTTAAATGTCATGTACAGTCTTCTAAGAAAAGTCTGCTCCTCTTAGAAGAGAGATGTATTCTCCTTAGGGCAAATCTGTTGCCCACCAGGGATTCCTCTTAGAATCTAATGTGAATAGCACAAGTTGTTCCTGGGAAAAATTAAAATCCAAAAACACTTAGATCCTATGGTTCCAGCATAGCTTCCAGGGAGCCAAAGGTTACTTCAGATTTTCAGCTCTGCGGTAGGAAAAACAGCTCCAACAACGGGGGCAGCAGGAGGCCTGTGGTTTGACCTCCCTCCCCCTCCTTGCAGCTGGTGCAGAAAGAACTGCACAGGCTGCTTCTCCGAGGTCTGAAAATCAACCTCAGAAACGGGGGGGGGGGGATTTGGCTGACAGGAATGAGGTATCCTGATGGTGTTTCAGATGCCTTCCCTCCCTCTCCAAAGCTGCTCAGGGTGCAGACTGCCTCCTCCATTCTGAGGCTTATGAGCAGTGCAATCGAATTGCACCCTTAGTGATCCTGCTGATGATAGCCTGCTACTGAATCAGGTTATTGTCCCAAGAGAACATCTAAATGGCCAGAAAGAAAAAAAATCAGCCTTGTAGCAGGTACCTTTCAGTCTTATTTTCGACCAATATTCACATGTCATTCAACACGATTCCCCCAAAATTTAAATGAGCTACTGGCTTTGATTTCCAGAGCCGACTGGGAAAAACATATATAACCTTTTAGCAAGGTAGACTGCAAATCCAGTGTTGTTTTGGTTCACCACCTGCTTGTGGTTTAAGATATTCTGGCATTCCAACATCCCTATCCCATCCCGTGCCCCCACCTAATAAAAATGATTTACAAGGTATGGCAAATAAAATAACTGAACTGTGCATGAGGAAGCAGTAATTCCATCCATGCTCTCTGGCATTTTTGTTTAAGGAGCTGCTTAGTCACAAATCTCAATAATAAAAGTGTGTGGTGTGTGTGTGTGTGTGTGTGTGGGAGAGAGAGAGCAAGAGGGAAAGCACACATTTCATTTTTATTATGCAGATGCATAGTGAATTTCTATTCCTGCAGCAAGTAGACAGCAAAGGCTAATAATATGAACTATAAACTCCACAAGTTAACAGGGAAGAAAAATCATACTGCCTTTCTGCATTGTACACAAAGGAACAGCTTTTGGGAAAGAAGAGGGAGGAGGGGGAGAAAGTTTGGTTTCACTACCATATTTCCCAAGCAGCGAGCCACTGTAGTGGATCAAATTAAACTGCGTATGCCAAGAGTCCTGCAAGGCATAAATGTGTGTTCACGAAATGGAGGTTTTATGTCTGGATATTCAAAGACCTGGTTTGCGGGACATAACATCCCATCAGGGCAACTAGCCACAGTCAGACTGAACTCAGACTGCTTCCTGCACAGTGACTTATTTTCCAGGAGAAATCTACCCCGACAACCCATGGCTTGTTCTATGGGTTGTTTGTACCATGATGGGTTGTTATATCTTCCAAACATGGGAGGATAATTCTTTTGTAGGTTCTGGGGAATCAACTGGTGAGGAGCTCAGCAAAAACAGCTGCTCCCCCACCCGCCGCTTGCTGCTGCTCTTTGCTATCCTGCCTGGCTGCTGCAAATGATTGCCCTTCCACCATGAACTGACCATAACTGGTATCACTTTTTTTTAGTTCCCCAAAATTATGCAACTGTGTTACAGGCTAATCTGTACACAGTTTCCAGGGTCTGATTGCCAAGTTGTCAGTCAAAAAGCATTGATAAAAGGAGGAAATGCAGCAAAAAAAGGTATATCAACGTATGTGTTTATGTAGGGGACAATTATAGCTGTTAAGGTGAAGATATTGTTATTCAAGTTCTTAGTATTCCTCAGCTTTCCAACACTTTCCTGAGTCTGCATTACTCCAGAAAGGAGAAATATTAAGTCCCCCACCCTTTTGTGGCTTCTTTTCAGAGCAAGTGTGCAAATTTCCCTTGCATTATTTCAGAGCCATTCAATTTGCATTATTCCTGCAATTTGTTTCTAGAACTGTCAGGGATTTGCAGTAATTATAGTAGGAAATGCTCTAAAATGTGGTGTATAGTAGGAAATACACCACAGTAAGCAGGGAAGAACCTTTTCAAGTCCCATAATTCTTGTTTTTAAACTCTTGTTGATGAATGTAGCTCATCCTTATGGAACAGTCCTTAAATTCACAGTGGCTTCTTAAGGATGAAGTTCATTTTGTTTGGCAACGAGAGAACATAAGAAGACTCCCTTTGCCTGCACCTGTATTGCTTTGCCTGCTATTGTCTCCAAGGCTGGTTCCATGCCAGTCTCGGTATGCAGAAAGACTCTGTACACATGTTCCCTCCTGATCATGTAGATATAACATGCAGTGCATACACAGTGTCAGAACAAACTGCATGGCTAGAAAATTTTACCAATATCCCAACCAGCACGGGATCAACTACAGAGGTAGTACGGGTATGTTGTTGTTCTTGTTGTTAGTCGCGAAGTCATGTCCAACCCATTGCAACTCCATGGACAACAATCCTCCAGGTCTTCCTGTCCTCCACCATCCCCGGAGTCCACTCAAGCTCACACCGACTGCTTCAGTGACTCCATCTAGCCTCCTCATTCTCTGCCGCCCCCTTCTTCTTTTGCCGTCAATTGTTCCCAGCATTAGGCTCTTCTACAGAGAGTCCTTCCTTCTCATTTGGTGGCCAGAGTATTTGAGTTTCATCTTCAGGATCTGGCCTTCTAAAGAGCAGTCAAGGCTGATCACCTCTAGGACTGACCGTTAGAGAACGTCATACTTGCATCTTTCATGATTGCGCCTCAGAATATCTTTTGTAGTAATTTTGGAACTGGAAACACATCACCCCTATCTCCACAGTGAGCTAACTTGCTTGAAAAGCAGAAAGCTGAGTCACTGTCCATGCTGCAGCAGAGGGATGAGCCCACACCAACTTTCCTGATTACTCACAGTTCTGGGGCTCTCCTAGGATTGCTTCACACACAGGTGGCAGCAAACACATTTGCTCTCACATTCCCAAAGTTGTCTCCCTATGTTTGCCTTTCATGTGATCAATTATTATTATTTAATTTCTATACTACCCAACAGCTGAAGCTCTCTGTGTACATTTTCTACAGTTTTACAGGTGTAATGGACCTGTGGAAAAATGCCATATATAAAGTAACTGGCATCAGGAAGACCAAAGCAGAGCCAAAGGTGAACTCCTGTTCCAGGTGGTTAGTGCTGATAAACCATACACCTCTGATGATTTCTGAGGAACAAATGTCCACTAAATGAGTTCATGGCTAAGATGATCTTTGAAGCAAGACCTGCACAGTTCACCCCATAGCCATTATGGCACACCACCTGTAGAATCTATGTTAAAAGGATATCTGTGCCCTACATTTTCACCTGGGTATTCTTCTGTGAATACCATATTACTCTAAGGTTCTACTTTGTGAAGCATTGTGATTCCCCCCACAAAAAAAAAGTGCAGAGGGCTCTGCTTACCAAGATAACCTTGTGTTTTCTTCTGTAATGCAGTGACTGGGCAGTCCTTGTGAGCCAACAAGAGCTGTTTGAGTTGAGCAACTTCATTCCTTAATAGTGTAACTTCATTCTGTGAGAAGGAAAAAATATTTACCTTCACTGTGCAGCTTTTGACTACCACTGAATAATCGGTGTTGAATAAAACTGGAGACTGAAGTATGATGGATGCAATTCTATCAGTGAATAATCGGTGTTGAATAAAACTGGAGACTGAAGTATGATGGATGCAATTCTATCAGTGAATTGCATCAGTGGATGCAATTCTATCTTAAAGCATACTGAGGTTAAAAAAGGATCAATTTTGTATGTCTTCCTTTTTGGAGTTCAAACTGTGCTTGTTTTATGGCTGAAGCCTAAGTGGTGCTTTTTGCACCTGCACTGATAATGAACAGGACCAAATCAGAAAAGCAACAACCCACAACCATGAGCTTTTTACTATGATTAAGTTGCTACCCTAAATAAGACTGAAAAGCACTACCTATCTGTAAGGAACAGTTATTTCTTTTAAGCCCATGGAACAGAGTGGGGTAAATGTTACACACAAATACAGGAATAGTAGAAGGCTTACAGACTCAAACATGTTTTCCTCACTGGAACATAAAGAAGCCTCCACCCAAGGAACCCCATGAAAGGACTCCGTTCAAGTAACCAGGCAGAGGAAAAACACTGTATGGGAAGAGCCACACTAGCAATTAACTAAACTTAAGAGACCTCCCATGTTCAGTCTCTAGGAATTGGAATCTCTACATGGAATGCTGTAGTTATTCTGAGGTTCGAGTATGCAGGAGTGGCCTGCAGGGCTTACAGGTCTCACAGCTTGTTTCAACAACTGACCAGAAGCTGATTGTGAAAGCAATGACATATTGCTAACATATATTAGGCCAAAATTCCAAACAAGACAGGAAGAGATGTGGGAAACTATCCTCCCATCAGTTGAAGCAAGATGGAGAAAGTGAAAAGACAAGATTCCTGACATGCTCCTGGGCTATTATAATGAATGGTCAGAATGCCCTACCTATCCACAAGCAAGGTGTTCCCTAGGCAGGAGGACATCCACTGGCAGGATATGAGAACAAGTACCCTCCAGGGTATACCAATACTCTGGCTGGTACTGTTCCCTAGGCCTAAGGACTCTTTGAATCACTCTGCACCCAAAGGCTGCCCACAAATGTAAAGACGTGAACAGAGGATCAGGTTGTTGTCCCACAGATCTCTTTGAAGCAGCCCTCCTCCAGAAAAAAAGCAAAGATGATCTTACCAGAACTGTGGGAGCTAGAATTTGAGAATGTATGTGCAAAAAGAATGCCCTTTCTCAAACAGCAGGACAAGGCTGTCATGGCCCTTTCCCTGGCAAAGAAAGCCAGAAGTAGATAAGCAGCTCCTACTGGCAGTGGAAGGTGGTTGTGTCAAACACTGAGATTAAGGTCTTGTATATCAGGACCTTCATAGATCCTGTGCCAAAGGGTTCAAGCTGCTTCTAGGGAGTGGCACAAGAAATGGGGAAGATGGATTAATTTTTGTCTAGGGTTCAAAGCAATTCTGTTGCCCCCAGTTCTGTGGCTCTGGTAATACTGGAAAGGGCTGCAGCCTGTCTTTAATGGTCACCTATCAGAATCTAAACCATCATGAAGGAAAAGCGAAGCACCATTTCCTGAACAACCACACTGCCCAAAGGAGGACTCCCAAGCTTTGGTGTTCCACACATATTGTGGCAGAGGTTTACAGAAGGCCAGGAGAGCTGAAGTTACTCTGAAGCAGCATCCTTGGCTGGCACAGCATGTCCTTCAACTTCTAAGCAGTCAGAGTGAAAAATAGTGGTTGAGGATGAAGAGTAGCAGCCCTGATATTACTGCCATGCATTTCTTGATGGAGAAGGCCTCTGGCTAAGAAGATTTGTGCTTCTTGTGTTGTGGGCATACTGGCTTGAATACTTACACTTAGTTGGATGTTCTGTGTTGTGAGCTCCTCCGCCTTTTTCTCCAAGGAAGACACCCAGAGCTTGCGTTTCTGGCGGCAGCGGGAGGCTGCAGCACGGTTCCGCTCCAAGAAACGCTGCCTGCGTTCGTCAGGATCTTCATCCACTGTGCGTCTCCGTCTGCCTCCAGTGCTGGGCGTGGGCTGCGCTGGGGAGACCTGGGGTTGAGGAATGGAAGAACAATCAACATTAACAAACAAGACTAGCTAGCCAGTTCATAACAGCTCAGGGCAGCCTGTTAAAATCTCGGCAGCGAGTTAGTATCAGCAGAGAATGATATTCCTGAGTCTTGATCTCATAGTTCTCAACAGGCTATTTAGGCAGAATAGCAGCACAAGCTCTGTCTGCACACAAGGGACTTGGAATGCATTCAAACATCAATTGGGTTCACTTCTGGTTATCTAAGTCACACTTAATTTTTGTTTAATGATTTCAACAATGCTGTAAACAGGCTGGGCTTTTATATCTTATTTGTTCTAATATCCCTAGTCTCTGGAGCCAACACTGTTACGAAGTCTCTGACAACTTTTTGTTATTTTCAAGAACAAAGGAAATGTCTTGCCAAGAGCAAAAACAGATCTGCAGGTTCCCACCTTAGCTCAGCCCCACCAAATGGGCTCTATAATTATGTAGACCAGTTTACACTTCACTACTACTCACTGTCAGTCAGGCAGCATATGGATAGTAAACTTCTGGAAGCCTGTCTAGCTGACAGAGCAGGTGGCAATTTTGATGGAAAGCTGGCATTTGGTGAGCTGGCAGGACCAAATGGGGTGCATTTAAACCCAAGTAATTAAAACAGGAAGAGAGACAGAGGGAGAGAAGATCTTAAAACACTGCCTCTGTATGCCAGACTATGTCCCTATTGCTTCTGATGTCTAAATGGCAGGCGCCTGGTAGCAACGGTGACAGAAGTAATGGAGCATCAGGCAGATTATACACACTCGCAAAGGGGATCAAAAAATTCAATGAGCGAACCTCCCACATTCTGAAAATAGGAATGCACATTTGGCAAATGGAAAAACAAAGCACCTATGTGAATGAGATAAATGCATGCAATATTTCCACGCTTATTTTACTTTCACAACTGAAGATTTGGGTAAAGTAAGTTTTTTGCATATTGGAAAATGAGGTCCGGTTCTCATGCGGGGAGAAAAAGAATGTAGACTGACGGAAGATCGGTGGGTACACAGGGGAAGCACCTGGGACCTGTGCAAATGGAAGTGAAGGTTACTTCATGACACCTGGAAAACTGGTTGGAGATGACCTACATTTTCTCTCAGAGCTGACAATGTAATGATTACTAGAAAAGGCATCATTGCTCTAGTGAGAACGTTCACCACACAAGTGTATCTAGTAAACAGATTAGTCAGGTTTGCATGATGTTTCAAAAACCTGCCCGATGTATCTGACAAGGGAAGACCATAGAATAAGGAGTGAGTGGATATACCACAGGAAACAACGCCTTTTGTCTTCCCACCTTTCTGCTCTTTTAACATATAAACGTGTTTTATCTAGGCCCTATCTAAAAGTCACCCCCAGAGTATCACTTTTATTCCTCCACAATCAGAGGAACTGGTGAATTGCTCTTTTTATATGAAGGTTCCTATTCTCGAAACACAACAGCAGACTTTAGGTTTGTTCACACATAAGCATGGCAAAGTATGGGTTAATTAACCAATGATTTACTACTGTGTATTCCAAGCATGTGCTATTGGACCCTGAGTGGGCTGACTGTGGGTTGCTACATGACCCAGACACTATAGGTTAAGTGTGGGTAGCAGCCCCTGAAGAACCTGATTGGGGGATGAACATTCAAAATGGCTGAGGGAAGTGCCTAGCATGCACCCATGATCTGCAACCATTACATGTGAACTGGGTCACTGGATCTCATACTAGATGTCATACAGTGCTCCAGGGATACAACTGTGGCTAAGTAAATTTGCAAAAATCTAGCCCAGCCTTCCCCAACCCGGAGCCCATAGATGTACTGGTTTACAACTCCAGCATCCCCCAGCCAGCCTGGCCTGGATCATACCCCTCCCTTCCTAGAACACTTTGACTTCCCCCGATCCCTCCTTTAATCATTCTGGCTTCAAGCAGACCTGTGGTTGGGCTGGAGAAGGTGCATCAGGGTGCTGGATGAGTATCTGACCCTGTTCAGGATGAGATGTCACCATTGTGCTTGCTGACCCCACCACCATGCCACTGCCGTTTAGTGAGGAAGTCACTCCTTGGGTCAGGCTGGCTTTTAGTCTCTGTAAGGGGGAAAAACAAAGACAAAATTGGCAGAGGCCCCATGGTTGCCTCCTAGTTTGCATAGCTTTCTGTTTGGCATAAAAAGGCAGATTTTTGAGTAAGGGGGCTGGCAAAACCAGTTAGGACATGGGGTTGTATCCAGGTGTGATTGCCTTAGGCAGCATGTGTGTCTGTTCACTTAAATGAGCATACCCTATTTTTCACTGATCCCTGTTACCCACTTCTATATCCTTTTGCAAAAATCAATTCTGGGGGTTGGGGGATCCTCTGGAACAGAATGGGATATTTATTTATTTTCCGATTTATATCCTGCCTTTTTCCTACAAAGGGCTCAAGGCAGCTTACATCTCCTCCTCCATCTTATCCCCACAACAACAACCCTGTGAGGTAGGTTGGGCTGAGAGTCTGTGACTGGCCCAAAGTCACCCAGTTGGCTCCATGGCTGAGCGGGGACTAGAACCCAGATCGTCTGAGTCCCAGTCCTATGTTCTTAACCACTACACCACACTGGCTCTCTTGGCACAGAAAGTTTCAGTAACTGGGCAAAATCAGAGAAAATTAGGTATGCCAACTTAAGTAAATGGAAGAACTTTCACTTTAGTGAAAGAGAGTGATTACAAGCCTGCCAAGAGTTTGTTTCTAAGGTGCAATAAATATTGCATTGCCCTAGTCAGTGCTCAACCAGGAAATTGTTTCCTTCCTTCAAGCAAATTAAGCCCTACCCTTATGTTTGAATTGACATCTGTACATTTCTCTGGCTGTGGATTTTTTTTGATAGAAGTTGAGACTCCAAAGAAATGAAAGTAGTCTTTTGCCAAATACTTTCCCTTGGCAGCCTGTGGCAGGCCACTCTGTTAACTGAGAGACATTTCGAGAGCAGTCTGTAATAGATGGCATGGGCAGAGGACTTGTGTTGTGGGTGTGCGGGGGGCGGGGGATTAGCTGTGCAGTAGAGAAAAATCCTCTGGAATACCGCAAGCACATATGATCTTAACCAACATTTGTATCTAGACCTAGAAGTCTAGATACACGTGGAGGAGAGATGAAACCCTGCCTCTTCTGAAAAATTTATAACAACTGAAATAATTGAGTAAATGAAGTTTCATTGAAAGTTTGAAAAATAGTTTATGGAACATAATGTAAATCCTTGTGATAGTAAATAACATTAAACTGGCCTTCTGTTTGAAATTCAAAAGTTTAGCATAGCGTACACATAGACACACCGTTTTAGTTGTTCAGATCTTTTGATAAATTAGCACAAACTTTCATTTATATATCACCCAACAGCCGAGGCTTCAACTTTTAATTTGAAGCCTGTAATAAGAATTTGAAACTTCTTTAATAAGAAAATTCAAGACAACTCAAAGCAAATGAGTTGTAGGCTGGAGCATCTTGTAATGACTGGCCACAGCAGGAAACATCTTTAAATTTTTGATGAAATTTGCCTGCCTCCTGAAAGCAGCTGAAAATCCATGCCCCCTTTTCATGGAGGAGGAACTGTACTTTGTGAAAATCTGGGGGGGGGGGGTTGGTGGATATTACCCCCTTCTCTCAAATCATATTCATCAGGCATGGGCCACTGATATGAATTGTTATGAGATGCAACTCACCATTTTTGCTTCTGAGTGTGCTGGAAGTCCTGATGGTGAAATGGAACCACTGCTGATAATTGGAGGACCAGGAATACCGGGAATGTTTGGCACCATAGACATGGGCCTTGCCAGCTACAGATTGAAAGGAGAATGGAAAGCACCTTTTGTAGATTAACTGGTTTTGAGGATCAGAAGAAATAAATGTATTAGAAACCTATCCCCAGAAAGAAAATGAACAGCTTTTGCAGTTGCTTCACGGAGTAGAGCAGTACTGATATAAATTGTGAAGAGGAAGAAACTGGTGGCAAAAAAGAAAACCCAAATGCCACCTTTCTTTCCTCTGAGCCATTCTACACCTCACACGAAAGCTCATCTCCAGAGCAAGTCACAGTCAACTCCGTGTGGCACCCATGTGGTATCTTGGTGAGAGTGCTGGACTGGGAAGTCAGGGTTCTAGTCCCTGCTTGTCCAGGAAGCTCACTTTTGGGCAGCCCTTGACTCTCCATCTATCCTATCTTAGGGGGTCGCTGTGAGGCTAAAGTGGAGAAGAAAGACCATGTAAGCCATCTTGGGTTCTCAGGAAAAGGAAAAAAATAAACCTGACTTCTTTACAAATGTACCTATACAACTGCTGAATTTCCTTGTTAGATTTTTAGGTGTACATGTCTAGTGCCATAAGTGTACACTAATATCTCCAATGTATGTTGTAGTCCACACAAGGGTCTTATTGTGAATTCGGCAGTTGCTGGCAATGAGCAAAAATTTAGGGACAGAAACTCTTTGGCCAATAAGCTGATAATAAGTGCTGCAACTGGAGCAAAAGGGTGGTATAATGGCTAGAGTGAAGGGACTGGACAGGGGGATGCAGGTTCACAACCCCTCTCAGTCATATAGCTTACTGGCTGGCCTTGGGCTCATCCATTCTCTCTCACCCTAACCCACCTCACAGAGTCATTGGGATAAAATAAAGTAGGGAGACCATGTATGCAGCCTTAGAGCACTTTATTGGACTGGCAGGATTTTAACATGCAATTAATTATTATTAATTATTATAAGGTGACAAGCTCCTGAGCATATGCATGGGATCTGTTTTCCTTCCTGTGAGATATTCTTTTTGCATTTTTATGATAGATACAATTAATTTCCAGAGCAACTAAGGACTGAAAATGATGGATGGCCACCCAGAATTCATGAAGTGTTTTAGACATCTGGGAGAAAAGGCAGTAGGTGTGCAAACAACACAGTCAGGCACACCAGGAGATGCATTTGTTATGTAAATATCCTGCCTTACCTCCAAGGAGCCCAAAGTGGTACACACAATACTTCTTTCCACTTTATCTTCACAATAGTTCTCTTTGTGAGTTAGGCTAACCTGAGAATTAATAATAGGCCTCAAATCACCCTATGAGTTTCAAAGCAGAGTGAGGATTAGAATCCAGGACTCCCCAGTCCTAGCCCAACAAGCTAACCACAGCAGAATATTGGCTCTCTGGATTGCATGGGGTTTTCCCACACTAACTCCAATATCCAATACATAGCAGAAACTTTTTGAACCCTTAAATCACATGCAAAGCACATTCACAAAAGAAACTGGCACAGGATTTGCACAGGCTTTAGAAACGGCAGGAGAAGCAATGCAAACTGCACCAGAAGGTACCCACATTTGTCAATCACATATCCCGAGAAAATTCATATACAGAAATAAAAGCTAAATAACCATTTCATGCCCTGAAGAAGCCAGGGAGGGAGGTTTTTCTGGCTTGGAAAGGCCAACATGTTCTCGGCAAGCTTGAATGATTTCAGCATAGAGCTAGCTAATCAGTGGGCCCGTGGTTCCCAGCCCGGGAACCAACAGTGTCAGCCATCTGCTCAGATGAGGATTCAGCTCTGAGCCTTATTGCCCAGCAATGTGGTTGGCAAGCGTGGCTACCTTGCAGGCAGTGGCTGCCTCCACCCCCGTATCTTCCCCTGCAGGCCAAGCTTATCTCACACAGAGGGGTAGAGGGAGATGTCAATTTTGCAAATTAAAGTGCCTGCATATGCTCTGCAAAGGGAAAAGCTGTCCCTTTCTTTATCAAAAGTGACTGTGCTGGAAGCTTCCATTACCGATATGACAGAAGGCATCTGAACGGGAGGGCCAGGAAGGACAGGCATGGTCTGTCCATTCACAAGATGCATGACAAGTGGTACAGAGCTGTTTGGAGACCTGGAAGAAAACAACAAATACACACCTCTCAAAACATACCACAATCTAGTTTGCACATATTGCCACATCTTCAACGCAAGGGATTCTCTTTAACACAGAAAGCAGCTCCTCCCCTCCACCCTGCAATTTCTAAGCTCTCTGGAGAACAAACTTTGCAATGCAGCCATTAGAGACGCATTAAGTTTCCTAACCTAACTTTTTAACTGCTAGCTAACTGGCCTCCTTGCCAGATTACACAAGGGCAGTAAAAGCACAGATGCTCTCAGCTTGCATTTATCTGCTCAAGTTTAAATAGGATTTGCAAGAATATTTTATTTTCCTGCCATCTCACATGAGAGAACAGATACTTTAGAACTGGCATCAAACTTCTGATCCTGTAATGGATTAGAGAGTGTAGAGAGAGGGCATCTAGGAGAGGTTTTTTTCCCACAATCCAGTCAGGTGCAGAAGTGTTATCTACACTGTACGTGCCACTACAAGAACAAATGGTCCAGGGTCCACACAGATTTGGTGGCAGCATTTTCAGCAACAGCTAATTGGCCTTCACAGAAAAAAAGTTTCGCCAAGCCAAGGGAAAAGAAAAGCAAAGCAAAGAACACATGGACCCTCAGGAGGTTTTTATACACTTCCACAGGCTCCTGCAGTTGGCTCCCAGGAGCTGCTTCAAACTTGCCATCCTGTGAAGCGGACCACAGCCAAATAGTAAGGAAATCAAGCTGCAGGGAGGAAAGCCCTCTAGAAGAGGGGTGGGAAACTCTGGAGGGTTCAGGGGCCAATTTTTGCCACTGGGATCTTACCAGGCGAATGCCCCTGCCATATAGCTATGTTGTTGCCATGATGAATTCTGGGAGCATGGTGATAAAAATGTAACAAGCCCAGTTTAAAACAAGGTGTGCCATCAGCATTTGCCTTGCTTTAAAGACAAATTGTGCTCTCAGAAGACCATGATTTGCCATTAACAGAAGGTGTTAGCTCACCATGTGCCTTGTTTTAAAAGGGAAATGAGTCATTTTGGCAGTGTAGAGGCAGTACAGAGTTAGTGGGACCATGAAACAGATGGGGGCACATGTGGCTCATAAGACACTCGTCCCTTCTCTGGAGGAACATGAACTCCTACCTGAAGCAGACAGCTTTTGGGAAGAGCCCATTTTTCAGAGAAAGACTCTGTCTCAGGGCCAAACCAGACATTACATGACAGAGACCAGTAACAGTCCTTGGACGGAGATATGCATGCACACATTCATGCAGAGTGCAATCATAGAACAGACAACAGTGGGATGCTTAACCTCTTTTTCCTATCTGTTTTTCTGTAAGGTGGGATGGTCCAGCAGGAAAAATAGCCAGAGGAGGAGAAGTGAAGTAATACTTCTGCGACATTCTGTGGCTCAAAAGAGCAGCCACACATGGCTGCATTTCATTTTTAAAAAAATCCATCAGGAGAATGCTATGTGCATCTGCTCTAATGCCCAGGATGGCCCTCAGTCCCTGGAGGAGAAGGGGGAGAGGTGTACTTTCCCTTCAGGACAGGACAGAGCTGACCCTTGAGTCCAGAATCTAATCAGGAGGTAACTTCAGTTCTGGAAGCCTGAGCACACCAAAAATTCAGAGAAACAAAAATAAGCTTTTTTAAAGTGAGAAGAAAAGCATTTTTAAAGACTGCAAGAAACTAGAGGTCTCTAGAAGAGACTAGAACTTTCCAATGTTCATGCAAAGGCTGAAGCAGTGATGACACAGATTCTTTGACTGGGGAATCCCAGGAAATGGAGAGTGTTACACATGGGACACAGAACAAGTCTGCCACATCTCCCTGTCCCTTCTTCACCTTGGGGTGGAGTTCTGCTCCATTATTTCATTCAGGCTTTCCCTTCCTGGGTTCCTCCGAATGTGTTGGACTGCAACTGGTATCACCTTGGCCTCATGATCATGGTGTCCAAGACATCCGCAGGGCATAGGTGTCTGAAGAGGCTACCTTAATATAATGATCAATCCAGCCCTCAAGACCTCTAGTATCCTACTTCTTCCTCATGGCTGCTCCTGCATGGTCTTATATTCAGCTGCCGTGCTTTGCACAATGCAAAATGATGTCACCTTCAGGAAGAACAGTGAGGCAGGTGCCCAACTCTATGTTTCTGAGAGCCCCCTTCTCCTTACTTACCCAAGCTGTCTGTTGGAAGGTGGTGCTTGGGTGATGACGGAGGTTGGAGATGGAAGAGTGGGATGCAGCGGATCATATCCCAAGTGTAGTGGCAGGGACCCCGGACGTACAATCGTAGGAGTAGGCGTAGAAATTATTACAGGTTTTGAGGCACTCTCCTAAAGAACAGGCACACACTCAATGCCAGGCATTTCATTTTGTACAAATGCTGGTTTGTCCCTCTTATCAACCCTCACAACCTTCCAGACAACCTTCTATTGGAGAACTCAAACACAGAAACAGGACAACAGTGTGCTTCAAGGGTATGTACAGGAATCAGAAGTTCTAAATCCTGTATAAAGCACAGGATTCTTTTGTCCATCTCTTAACATCAGAATGGGCTGAAGGTTGCAGTAAAAAAATCCCTGTTGACATACATTAGCATATTGCCAGAATGTGAGTTTGATTCAAAAGTAAACAGGCAGAATCGCTCAAGCCTATCTTTCTTTCAAAGCACTTTCCTACTCCATGAGTGGGTTCAGAGGCATCTGGGTCCCCATGCAATTGCATGCATGAGCATCTGGGATTTTTGGCAGGCTGGCTACCCAGCTGGGATGTCTCCAACATCCCTACCTCTTCAGAAGGTGTCTGGCCCTAACAAGGAGAAAGAGAAGTCAGAGAAACCAGAAATGGATTCAAACAAGATTGGTTTCTCTGAGTGCAATCTGTGGATTCCACAGCAGAGCAGTTTTTTCTAAGTCCAACAGATTTTCACTTTTTCAGGGGTTTTGCACTAGTGCTAACATGCACTTGCACTAATCTGCGTTTGTTAATGAGCACTGACATGTGGAATAGCTCAAGTGTGCATTAACATTAATGTGAATTAGCAGAACAATATTCTGGCAAAAAATATTGGATTCCATCAATGAGGAGATGATGAATGAACAACGCCTAACAATTCTTAGAACATTGATGGAATGGATTTAATAAAAATCCTCATCTCTGCATGGTGATGCCAATCCTTTACAGTTGACACTTCCATATAATCACAGCAGTGGCCCTGTGGGCAACTTGTGTGCATGTGCCCAATCAACCTCTTCTCCCAAACCTACTGGATACTAAGAAAAAAACCCAAAACACATTCCTGCCCTGTCCTCTCTAAGAGGGTAGTGTTTGTGTGTGGGTGTGTAAGCAGGGAGAAAGCCAATCGAACATAAGAGCCCTTCTGGATCAACAAAGGCTCTTCTAGTCCACCATTCTGTTCACAGAGTGTCCAGCTTGCTGCCCCAAGGGGAAACCCACAAACAGGACCTGAAGACAACTGCTCCCTCTCCCACCCATGGTACCCAGCAATTGATGTATACAGGCATGCTGCCTCTGAAACTGGAGGCAGCATATAGCCATCAGGACTAGTAGCTGTTGATGGCCCTCTCTTCCATGAATTTGCCCAACTGTCTTCTAAAGCTCTCCAAATTGGTGGTCATCACTACATTTTGGGGTGAATTCTGTAGTTTCACTGTGTTGTCTGTGAAAAAGTACTTTTAGCTGTCCAGAATCTCTCATCACTCAGCTTCATGGGAAGACCTTATAAGGTCCTAGTATTAGAGAGAGAAAATTATCTCCCTTCCCACTTTTCCCACACCATACAGAATTTTGTAAACCTCTATCAGGTCTCCCTCTACTTACTTTTTTATCTAAGTTAAATAATCCTAAATGCTGTGACCTTTCTTCATAGGGGAGTTGCTTGGGCCCCCTGATCATTTTTACCGCCCTTTTCTGCTCTTTTCCCAGAACTCTGTATCATATTCTAGCTGTGATCACACCACAGAACTGTAAAAAGGCAGTATCATATTGGCAATTTAATTTCAATTTATTTCCTAATTATGCCTGACGTGGAGTTGAGTTGTTCACAACAACCTCAGTGTCTTTTTCTTTGTCCATCACTGCTAGCTCACATCCCACCACCTTTTATTTGAAGTTCAATTTATTTGACTCAATGTGCATCATCGCATGCTTGTTTATACTGAACTGCATTTGCCATTTTGATACCCTTTCATCCAGTATGGAGAGATCCTTTAGGAGTTCCTCACAATCCGTTTGTTTTAATCACTCTAAATAACGTGTTTTCAGCAAATTTTGCCACTTCAGCCCTTACTCCTAATAAATGGAAAAGCTTTAGTTCCAATATGGATGCCTGGGGGACAGAGACCCCATTATTTCCCTCCACTGGGAGAAACTGCCATTTATTCCTGCTCTCTTGTTCTTTAACTAGATCCCAGTCCGTAAGAGGACCTCTCCTTAACTTCCATAACTGCTCAGGAGTTTTCAGTGTCAGACTTTGTTAAAAGTATTAGAAGCAGAGAAAAAGAGGACTCAGGAAAACTCACCTTCTCATTGGCCAGTGGTGACCGTGGACTTGCTACTGGACTGTCCGGAGGGGAAGAGTCCACTTCAACTGGTTCTTCCTCTTTTATTTTGATGTCTGGGGTTGAGGGGAGAGACATATCCAGAGGTCCAGAACACTATGGAAAAACACAAATACTCACTTTAGTGTTTTGCCACGAGATCACTTAAATATGCCCCCCCCTCATCCCACCCACACACACACACGCAGGTTTGCAGGTTGCTGTACTCCACCCTACCACAGAGCCTAAAAGAAAATTACAAGTGGTCTGTCATCCCCCTGCAATACTTGCTGTTTAAACTGGTCTCCTCCTCCTGCACAAATCCATCTTGGTGTGGATATGGCTCTACCTAGCAAGGGGGACACCATAGCTCAGAGGCAGAGCGGAAGCTTTGCAGGTAGAAGATTCTAGATTCAATTTCTGACATCTCCAGGTAGGGCAGGAAAACCTGTACTGGAACCCTGGAGAGCTACTGCGAATCAGCGTCAGCAATACCAGACTAAATGGACAAAGGGTCTTGAGTGTAAGGTAGCTTTTTGTGTTTTCCTTTGTTCGTATTTCCCAGCCTCAAAAGGGTCACTACCAGCTATTTCAGGTTGGAAGAACAAGCATATAAAACAGTGCTATTAGGGCTCCCCTCAGGGCAGTCTCTGGACAGGGACAGAATATTGGGTATGTGTACAAGCAGTCTGCCCCTCCGCCAAGTCTACTGCTACTCACCCCAGTTGAGCATTAGGCTACCTCGCTGTTTTAGCAGCAAATGCCAAAAATGCTTATTAACACAGGAACGTTTGAGATTTTGCAAGTAATACTGAACTGAGCAATTCTTTTTCTGTTCTGTTTTTTAAAGCTTTGCCAATATAAAGAGAAAGCTGAAATGCCTGCAGGTCACAAAAGGCACTTTCATTCATAGAAGCTCTGTAATCCACTATATAAGTCATTTTTGAATTATTGCCTGATCTATCAAAAGCCAACAAGAGAGCCATACGAGTTATTACAAATCTATGACCAGCTCATTGTAATAAAACCTAACCATATGCCTGAACCTGGCAGTGTGCCACCACACCTATTTTCATTTTAGCAGTGCTTCATGGCCTTTTCCAATTTGGTGAGCGGCAGCTTTTGCCTCCATAGAGCAATGAGTCTGAGCAGCAGCAAAAGAAATGTGGCAGAATGAGGGACACGGAGAGGGCACAGCAAAGCAGGAAAGACAAGGAGCACATCAAAGTGTCCTGAAGCGATCAGAAGTAACACCATGCCTGCTCCACAGATGGGGTTCACCAAAATGATAAAGACAAAGCCTAATGAGCTGCTGAGAAGGAAAGGGCAAAAGCCAGCATGAGCGACCCATCCTGAATTGCATTCAAGGCGGGAAATTGCTGCGAGTGGCTTCTTAGAGAAACCGTGGTGGCAACAGTTAACTAGGTCATACATCTTTTCTTGTGTCTTACTCCTCTGCTTAGTGAGGGCATGCCTGCTAATGGTCTCCACCACTTGTTAACGTCTTCTGTGCTGTGCACGAGTCAATGGCTTCTTTACATAACCCCTTGAACCTGCTTCCACCAGCCCTTTCTTAGCCACTGCAGTGCTATCTATGTCCAGTGTGCTTTGTTTTCTGCTGGCCCTCTTTGTCCCATTGTTGCTACTCCTTCATCCTTCGCCTCTTTAACAGAGGCACACTACTGTCTACCTAGCTGCATAGTGGCTCTTCAGGTCTTAGGCAGGGCTTTTCCCTGTTGCCTGCTATCGGATGCTTCTGATTTTTGTTTTTGACCAATAGGTGGCAGGCACTGAAATGGGGTCCTTCTGCATGCAAAACATGTCTTCTGCCACTGCATTTTTCAGGTTGCTTTGTTAATACTGCAATTCTAATTGAATTATGTGGAATGAAAACCACCACTGATTTTAGACAGAGATGTTTCCAAATGAGAGTCCTAAGGATTATGATTTGAAAGGCACTTCCAATTCTGTAATTAACACTGATCTTATATTTGTATAAGACTTCTTTCTTTCTTGCTGTTTCATACCCACAGTCCTGAGAACAAAACCATGAAAGCCACAAACATTTTAAGACTAAAACTCTGAAGCAGATTACAGATTGGGACCAACAACTGGAGAACCCTGGACCAAATTTGCCCCTCTGAGAGCTGTTCCTTCATTTCCCCTTTTCTATACACACCCACAAGCCAACTTTGAAAGGAACAGAAAGAGGGGCATCAGTAAAGACTGAATTTGAAAGAAGGTCCTTTTAAGACAGGGACAGGCAATCTTTCTGAGCTGCAGGCATATTTGGCAGTTTGAAAAACTATCCTGGGCATCACCACAAAATGGGTGCATTGAGAAGTGTGGTAGAGGGCAGGCAGCCTGCCCAAAAGACTGGGTACAAAGCAGAGTGGGGGTCTGAACCGCAACACTCTAAACTATGTTTATGAGTCACCAGTTTTCAACACCAGCAGAAACACCACCTATTTTGCAGCAACCCCAGTGGCGAAAATGTTAATTTAAGGGCAGGGGGAAAGGGGTGGAGCAGCTGGTGGGTATCAAGAAAGGTATCCAGAGGCACACTGCTGTCTGGGGGCACCATATTGTCTTCTCCTGTTTTAAGAGATGTAACTCTGAGAACTGGCCCATCACCTTCCCTAGAGAATGATCAGGATGCCGATCAGAGCCTTCTACTGCCTGGGCATGGACACATCCTTTCTGGCATTCTGCACAGCACCTATCAGGCAAAACCAAGTTCTCAGAAAGAGCAGAAGCGATTAAAGGAAGCATAAGCCAAGGTGAAAGGAGTGACTTCAGGAGAAAACCATGCCTCCTGTGGAGATGGGAAGTGGGCTCTCCATTACATCTTCAGGAAAGCCACAGCAGCCATCAGAACCCCGAGAGCTCCCTGTGAGGAGCAGAATGCCCTGGAAGGAGTGCTGGAAACAGCTGTGCTCCTATGTCTTTCCTCAGGTGAGCTGCCTTGCATCGTTGTTGCAAGGACAAAATTCATGTGGATAACAGTTCATGTCAGCCTTCCCCGGCCTGGTGCCCTCCAGATATTCTGGACCACAATGCCCAGCATTCCTAACTACTGGTCATGCTGGCTTAGACTGATGGGAGCTGAATTCAAAAACAGCTGGAAGGTCCCAGGTTGGGGAAGAATGATGTATGTCACCCTGAACCCCTGGAAGGAAGGGTGAGATAAGTGTATACAGAAAGAGAAACAGATGCCTGGAGCCAAAAGGTGTGCTTCCATATATTATACCTGCCCTCTCCCTATTGTGTCTGAAGGCTGAACGGCTAAGGGACTGGCCATCCGAGTATGTGGAGGAGACTTCTGCAATTTGGTGCCCTTCACATGTGTTAAGACTAAAACTCCCATCAACCCCCTAGCCAGCATTATTGGCTGACAAATACTGGGATTTGTAGTCCTACACATATGGAGAGTAACAAGTTGGGCAAGGCTGGTGTGCACTGTGCATGATTGGTGTTTCTGAGAAAGCCAGTCCTTCCCACACAGCAGCATGTCTGGAAATACCCTGTCTCTCTTTCTCTGCACTTAATTACCATAAACTCTGTGGTTGAAGCTATCCAGGACAATCCCCCCACCCCACCCCACAAACTAAAACTAGCACCAGCAACTGGACTCGACTCAGCCAAATGTTCAAAACATCTCATGAATGTGCCCAGCACTGTCTGCCAAGTTTTCTGAATAGCAAACCAGCTGGATCCAACAATCCAGGCAATTCTAGCAGGGGTAATTCATTCAGCCTGCCTTAAACCAGCCAAGCTTTGAACGGCTGCACTCTCCTGTTGGAGGTCAGAAATATTAGGGCCGAGTCATATTTTACAAGAAATAAATTTTCAGCGATCTAATAATCATAGTGGTAGCTATTAAAACAGTACAACAACAGGATTATGGGTGGTCTTATCATATAAAATGTCTGGCTAGACTGTGGGTTGTCAACCATTTATAAAACAAACCCTGAAATAAAACTAAGATTAAGATTCTGGGCTATAATAATAATAATAATAATAATAATAATAATAATAATGTTCCTGAGGAAGCCAGAGCAGACACCATCTCCCTGTGAAAGAACACTGCAGCAAAAGCAGCCTGCACAATCAAGACACGGCTCAGAAATTTATGGCACTACTCTTTTTTATTTCAAAAATTCTAAGTGAGAGGAATAAAAGAACAGGAGGTTATAAATACAAATATTTAAATAAATAAACATCCTTCACTGACACTTTTAAGGTGAACAGTTGAATTGTTCTTGTTCTGCCCAGTTTTTGACCTATTTTTTAACCTGCTAAATAGATTTGATTTTCCTCTGTTTTAATGTTCTGGGATTTTAAAAAACTGCTCATGTTGTACAATTTTAATCTTGCAAGCTTCACTGGGGAGCTTTTCAAGAGCAGAAAGGCAGGATATATATATATATAAATATAACTAAAGTTATATGGTTCTGAATTCCCCATGTCACTATCTCCAGAAAGATATTTATGTGATAGGTTTTCTATAGCTATTTAGTTGAGAAACAAGCTATTTAAATGCAAAGGTCCACCTTTTAACTAAACTGATTTCAGTCAGGAAAAAGCAATTGTACAAAATATGGACTATCAAAGTTTTCACACCCCACCCCCAAGAAAACTTGAATTGTGCATTTTCGGGGGAACCTCCACTCATGATTTCATTCCTTAGATCGTTTCTTTGAAATTGAGTTCAGCTGTGGCTAAGATAGGTTACAAAATCTGTAACAACTAACTAGCCAACTAATTAGGATTTCCCTCCTATTTTGGGTGTCCTCTTTAAGCCCTGTAATGGATATGAGAAAATCCCTTCATGTTATTAAGATAGAAAAGATTCTCCCCTCTCTCAGAACTATATTATTACAGACGCAGTGTAAGGCAATTTAATTTTGACAGAGACTACAAGTCAAAGGTAAGTCTTATCCTCCATTTAACTTTCACCAGGGTCCTAGATCATTATAGCCAAGCATAAGCACAGTAAGTGGTGCTGTCTAGGAAGCAAAGTTTTGTGCTAAACACTAGTGCCGCTGGAAGACAGGGAAGGCATGAAGTAGAACATGTTTACAGACACAGTGGTCCTGCAGGGTCTGGCCTTTTTACAGACATTTCAGGCTCCTTCCTTGAACAGTCAGCTTTCACTAAGCAAAGGTCGGCAGTCAATATCCTACCCAAGTGGCTCAGTAAACTGTACCTGCCTTCCAGTGTTCTGGCCAACAACTTCAGTAAGATGTATAACAAGCATCGGGTCATTCAGCATTTATTTTTTAAAAGGTTAAATAAACTTTAAAATAAACTTTATTAAGACTATTTGGATTTAAGTCTGGGGCTGCTATACATAGGCCTGGAACATGCAGGGAAACAACTGAGGAAAGAAGAGGAAACAATAGGCAAGAGGCAATTCATTCCTGCAGTAGAGCTGAAAGCCACAGTTACTGTAGACTTAATTGCCTAGTTCCCTTTCTTCCATTTGGCGTCTCCTCAAAGTCTTTCCTGGCCTGCTATGGCTTCACTGCCTTCAATCACCTTTAACAAGTTCCATCCTTCCTCCGTTCTGGTTGCTGCCCAGGCTAACTACTGCATTCCAACAGTGGTACCCTTTTCATTTCAAGGAAGACCAGGACATCCCAATGTACTCCACTAGCCATGCATAATCACTGCCACCGGAGAAGAGAGCTAGGCTGCTACTTTCTGCTTCAGGGCTGATTAACAGCTTGTAGGTGTAGCCACTTTCCCCTCCCTGCTTTGGTGGCTGCTGGACCCAGTGCTTCTCCACAAGTCATGCCTCGGCACTTGGAGTAAAGACATCTGCTTCAGCTCAGTGGCTCATGAGATCAGGCAGAATTCCCATGGTCAGTGAAGCACCTAGCAATGATTGGCGCTCATCAGATGTTCTAGTATTGGCTTATGTTTATAAAAAAAAAACAAAAGAAAAAAGAGACAGTTTAAAGAAGTAGTATACCCCACCACTTATTGTCCAAAGTGGTAAGGCAATCTAACTGTTCCTACTCAAGATGCTTGTAACTATTTGATCGTACAACAGTATGCCAAAAATAAATAAATAAAATGGGGGGGCGATTATGGTGTCAGAAACACGTGCATTGTACACAGCCAGTTTCCAAAGTTTAGGAAGCACATAATACCAACCTAGATGAATCCCTGATCTGACCCAACATAAAGGCAGAACTCTACAACTGCTGTGTAGCATCTTCTGACACACTCAGTTCAGACCAGTACTGGAGACAAGATATGGAGCTAAATTAACTGCTGGTCTGGTAAAGCCTGGTAATGCTCAGGCTTGTATCTTACATTTCATAACTTTGGGACAGTACAGAACAGGTAGTCCCCTATAGCTCTCAAGAGCTTAGTGAAGAAAGAACAAAGTGCTTTGCCTCTTGCCTTTTTCTCATCATCTTCCGCTGCTTTCTTGAATTCATGTTCAAAAGAGCTTGCCAACTCATTGAACAGGCCAACTTCCTCACAGTTCTTCAGAAAACGGGTTGGTGTTGGGGTCTGATCTGTTCACAGAGCCAGATAAAAAGAAAATTAGAATCTTCATTTGACAGAATGAGGAGGCAGGTGCATGGATTCACCAAGAATTTCTTAACAATGTTGTGTTTAACTTTTTAATTCTAGAAAACCAATTTCCTCTTTCTCACACACCTCTACAATTCTTGTTTATGTTTGCGCATCTTTACAAAACACAACCTAATTCATTGATAACATGGATAGGACACAGAAATTTGCAATACAGGGTGGGATGACGGAATCCTCCATGTAAGAGGAAGATGGACATCCTTATGGGTATGATGGCTTGAAGAGAACGGATTTCCATGTAGGTGGTTGTGGATCTGGATGCAGGAATAGAAGGGAGGATTTTTAGTAGATCAGAAGTGGTTAGAAACAAAGAGAATGTGGAACAGATTATACCACAAGAAGAGAGGGGGCCCTTACAGCAGAGTCAAAGAAGAGTCAAAGACACCTTGCTGCCCTAAATAGCATTGCCACCTGACCTGAAAGTTATCTCCAGGATTTAAGATGTCATGGGGAATAGCACTCGGACAACGAAGACTACATCAAGAGCCCTAAAAGTGTGATTCTTCTAATGCTGGGGTAGGCAAACATTTGGGTGCATGGCAACTTGGGAAACTGTGCTGGGCAGCACCACAAAGTGTGTGTGCTGTAGATGAAAGCGTTAGCTTGCATCCGCTGGTACTCACATGGACCAGACTGCCTATCCCTTGCTCTAAACTGACTGCTTGGATTCCTTCAGCAGTTGGGATGATCCTAACTGCCATACTATTCATGTCTCCACCAGTCTTTAGTTTTTCAACCCATTTTACAAAAGAAATCTTGTCCAGGTCACCTCAGCTTCATACTAAACGATCTGGATGACCTCAGGACTCTGACTGCCTCTTATGAATTAGCCTAAGATGCCTATGTTATGATCTTTTTGGCATCAGGTGAAGACCTTTTTTCTCCCAGACATTTTAGAAACTTATTTTATCATGGCTTTTCATGTGTATACATGTATGTGTCTGTGTTTAACACTGTGCTGCTTATCATTTTGTACTTATCATACGCTTTTAAATATTTGTATTAAAGTTTATTCTTATAATTATTTTTAATCTGTTCAAAGCACACTTCTTAGTAGGAATAAAACTATAATACAAATAATGACAATACTCTGGTTCATTCCAACTGGTCCACCACAATATCTTTAAGAAAGCCCCACCACCTTTTGTGACCTGCTTTAGATTTTGTCAATATTCTTACTAATGTCCTTTAAATATATAAGTAAAGAAACCAGTAACAGTAGTGTACTTTTTCCAAACCAAACAAGCTCGCTCGCTCGCGCGCGCTCTCTCTCTCTCTCTCTCTCTCTCTCTCTATATATATATATATATATATTGCTGCTCATACATTCCTAACTAAAGAATGCCAGTTTTATTCTAATTTACGCAAATTTTCCTGCTTGCTCGATTAGAAAAGAATCCGACATGCCACGAAGACACTGCTGGAGGAATGACTACTAAAAAGGCATGGTGGTAGCATCAGTTTCCTGATTTTTGCTTCAGAATGCCTGCTCCTAAGAACTGGGTATGGAAATAATTTGTTTTCCAGCTAAAGGGCTGTGTACATTCTGTGCTGAAATAAATGGATTTCTATACATGTTCGGTATTAATATTCTATGGCTTTAATTGTGTATGTTTCAATGTATTTCCAGATCTTGAGTAACCCCTGTTACTTCTGTGGGAAAGGGAAGGAACTATGTAAAGTTGTGAAGCTCCAAAACTTGGAAACAATGCTCAGCATTCTAAACTTTCCACATGAATTGCTTACACATTTCAAACATATCTTAAAATCCAGGAAGGACAGAAGTGTGCTCCCTCTCAACATCTGTAAAGTGAAATTGGACATTCTCAGGATGTTCAATTCTGCCTCCATTGCCAAATCCACAGGGCAGATGCATAAGAATGGGATATAGACAGCTCTTGCTTAAATCTCAGTTCATGCAATTCAGATTTTGCTGGAATCTTTACTAGGTTGGCTGATGCTGGTAAGCCCAGAAGCTCAGAAGAAGCTTCCAAATGTATATTATATTACTTTGCGTCAGAGAAAAAAGACTGATTTGTTCTCATTGGAAGAGACAGGCTGTGGGCTGATGTTTCCAGAATGTTTGCAAGGACAGGAGAGGAGATGAGTGACTCATCTGCTTAATCGAATAGCTGCTACAACAGGAATAAATGATGTGCATCTCCTACCCTTGAAATGGTCATTATACAACTGGAGGTGTAATAGTTGTCAATGGTGGAAAACGACAGACACTTTGTCTTTGACTGAAGAACATAAAAATGCAGGAAAGCACCCTTCTGTGCCCTAATTCCAGCTGTTCACAGCCAGCATACTCTTCTGTATGCACAGATGCACTTGTCAGGAAGAAAGGAGTTCCAAGAACAAGAAGGATTCTCCTTGTAACACCTTAACACCTTAGCATTTGAGCACAGAGAGCATGGACCCACAAAACCAAATGGTGATTCCTGATCTTTTCATGTGGTGAGATAAGTAAGAACAGTATTGACAGGTGCAATTAAGGGGTGTTTTACACTGACATGGACTTCATGTCAATCAAGGACATGCTTTGCAAGTAGATGATTCCAGGTTCACTCACTGGTGCCTCCAGTTAAAAGGAACAGGTATCTGGAGATGGGAAAGTTGCCCTCTGCTGAAAACCTCAGAAAGAACCACTGCCAGTCAGAGCAGTGGCTTGGATCAGCCCTCCCCCAACCTGGTGCCCTCCAGGTGGTTTCGGATTTGAATTCCCATGAGCTCTGACCAGCATAACCATTGGTCAGGAATTCTGGGAGCTGTAGTCCAAAATGTCTGAAGGGTACCAGGATGGAAAAGACTGGATTGGGTGAACAAATTGTCTGATTTGGTATAGAGATGCAACCACATTTTAATGTCATTCAGTAGCTGTAGTGGCTGTAGCTTTTTCTTTTCCTGCCAGGGTTGTAGCCATAGAAAAAATGCATTTGCCAAGATTTGACAGGTTTTACAATCTGATATTAAATGTATGGAAACTATACCAAGGAAGCTGAATTGTGTGTGGTTTTATAAAGGAATTAATTCTCAAGTGGACACTTTGGATTGTTTTCCCCCTTTTGATATTTAACAAAGCAAAAGTGATCAACTTTGCCCACCCCAGCCACCCTTTTTAAGGATCTGCAATGCAGGATAGCTGAAAAACTGGGAGAGCATGCCTCCATGGCAATAGCTTACTGCCTGGCAAAAGCACATTTCTCTCAAATATCGTATGCAGGGGCTACAACGACTGCCTATACGGAAAGAGACTCATCCGGGCTTTGCAAATACACTTCTATCAATGGCAAACAGGTGAGACTGAGTTTCAAATTTATTAACTGACAGCTTAAAAGCTTGAGAAAATTGACACCTGGGATGAGGAGAGGAAGCTGAGCTTGTCAGCTTTTGTTCATCACCCAGAAAAGCACATGAAGAAATGTAAAAGACCTTTTGTCTGTAAATCTTTCTACTCAAGTCTCAAAACCTGACACTACGGCCATAATACATTTGAAAAGGCAGAGATCCAGAGGCTTCTCACTTGCTTTACTCTACCCTTTCCTGATTAAATGAAGGTCATAGCACTGGCTGAAGGAGGCATTATTCCATGCATCTGGCCCCTAGCACTGATCTTACAACAAGGCTGTATTAAACATGCCATTTTCCAAGATGACTGGGATCTTAATACATACCTGCTATGATGACTGAATCCGTTCTGGCAGGACCAAATTTCAGTGTCATCTCATGCTTAAGTTTATGAACCGCCAGGTGGTCCTCATTTGTAAACCTCTGAAATGAAACATTGAAGGTGGGAGCAATAAATGAATACATGCAATTTATATTATACTATACATTCAGCAGCAGGATATGGGGTGGGGTGGGAATGCCTCAAAATAGAGGCCGTAATATAATCGCTACAAAGAGCTAAGTAAAAACAGAACAGGACAGATTGTGAGAGAAGTGCTGTGTGAACACATTTTCTCTAAATGGAAGGGAAAAAGCCATAACATGTTGAGCCCCTGGCTAATAGAGGAAAATAGGTTTAATAATCAAAATTTAGAAAGGGGGAAAAAAGGCAACAGCGTGTAGTTATTGCAACTAAACTAGGAGATTTGAAATATTCTCTCTGCAGTACTCTGCAAAATGTGCCACTTTATTATTGACTATTGGAGAGAGAAATTATTTACTATTGGCGATGGAAGGGTGGGGAACAGGGGAGGATCAGTTAATAGCTTGGGTCGTGCCAAACAGAGTTGGCATTTATGAAGGCGATTTGGTCCTGCAGTTTATGAAACACAACAGAGCTAAACTGATCCAAGATCATTGTCCAATGGCTACAAATGCAGAGAAATGCAACAGCTCAATCATCGCTCCCAATGAACAAGGGCCTGCACATCTCATGTGCCAAAATATGCTGTGTTCCACCTGCAGCATGATTACAGGAAGGAACAAAATGTAGCTGTCCACTGGGACTCTGCTGGCAAAAATAGATTTCTGCCACAAAAGATATTTATTACCACTAAGGCTGCTAACAAATTAAAGGCATTTTGGTTGATTAATCATCTGCCTTTTAACTGATCAATCATTAACATTTGATGAAATGTGCATATCACCCAAAACCTCAGTAAAGATGCCTTCTGTAATGCTAAAGGAAGTGAATAAACAAAAGCGTTTTAGAAGGAAACACCATATTTAACACTGTCCCAATTACAACAAACAGACAAGACAAAAAAAGAAAAAGAAAAATACCCTCTAAGCTTAATTAAAATGCCCTTCAACAGCTAAACTGTTGTTTATTGATTAAACTTAAAAGCTCATTCTTACAACCACCCTTTGAGGCACCTCAATAGTTTTAGCTTTGCAGCTTTAAGGTACAAGAAAAAGATACTGACTTGATCTGAGACTGCCTAAATTAATATTATCACAATGCACATATTTCACTGCTCATTTGGCATAACCAGGGATATAGGACAATGTTTTCATTTTGCAAATCAGCAGAATCTGCCCCATTTGCAATTCCAAATAGCGTGAATAGGAATGCATTTTTTCTGGGGAAATGATCATATTCCTGAATTTGTGATTATGTTAAAATGTGTATTTTTTAAAAAAAATAATGATGCACACTTTAAAAAGTAAATTAAAAGCATTTTCATGTTGTACTCAATGGGAGAAATGTGTACCCTTTTGACAAATAGGCATAGAAATGTGTACCTTTTGCATTTAAAATCTGAACCTTCCCCATTTGAATGAAAAGAACAATAGATCACAAGTGGAAATGACAGAGGGATGTACCTAGATTTGAAGTAGAGTTTGGCAATCCTGAGCATCACTGCTTCTCCCATCTTTAACTAAAACATATAACTATTCTAAATAAGACATTCTCAAATTAAAAGCAAACAGAGGTACGGGCATGTGCACATGCCTGAAAAATCTGTGCTATAATCCAGAGTTCTGCAAATGTTCCATAGATAAATCTACAGCATGAGAAGTTTTTCCCAATTACTTCTGTAGAGGACACAACTACATGTACACATTTCTTTGTACGTACAAGGCTGCTGACTTGAGCCCTACTGAAATGAATGGCAATGCCTTTGTTAGTGAGAGCTTCCTCATCTGCAAAGCATATGTAGATATACACAGACAGGATTCATAGAATCACAGATTCCACTGGGCCCCTGCCTCCAGGGAAGAACATCAAACACAGCAAAAGCCCCATACATTGGCCAGAGAGGAAGCCGTTCAGGGAGCTTGCTTCTTCCCTCCCTGCCAGAGGGAACACACAGTTCCATGAAACTACACACTCTAACCTCACCCACTGGCCAGAGAGCCAAGGATCACTGTGAGGATACACCCCCTGAACATCATAACAAGGGGTAGGCCAACTTGGACAATACACTGGCCAAAAATAAATTGTTTCACTCTTCCTTGCCAGATAAGAACACCTATAAGCACTTTGGAACTGCTACCTAACTTCTGCCTCCCTCCCAATTCCTTTTCCTTTTGTGTCATGTCTTTTAGAATGTAAGCCTAAGAAGCCTTTTTTGGCTGAAGAGAAGGATAAATATCCTGTAAATAAATAAACAGAGCAACACTTTTAAAAAGAGAAGCACCATGGTAGGAGAAGAACGAAAGGGTTAAGTCAAAACAAACAAACCAACAAACACCTTGAATTGATTTTTGTACATTCTAATGTACATTTTGTACATTTTGTGACAGGTTTAGAACATTTCCATGGGGCCATATTGCAGTATTTTAATGCAATCAATAACGCTGGTATTGCGGAAACACTGTCTTGTTTGTAACAATAGCTACTGCATCGGAAGAATTATTAACACTTCCTTTTTTCTTTAAATAACAATTTGCTCCTGTGAATTGTCTGAGGCATGCCAATATTGTTCAGCCTCTCCAAATCCTTTCTATGCAGACATGCAGTCGTGAGAACTAGTCCTTCATTCTAGTCTTTGTAGTGCATATATAAAATTACAAAGGATTCAAAGTCAACCCCCCTCTAATTGTATTGCTAAAATATGTTTTTGAATGGGATTTCATATATATGAAGGCAAACTTAGCATTGGATTTACCCTACAATGCCACCTTTTCTTACACTTCATTATGAGGAGAACAACATATAAAAGAGATGGTAAAATAAGGATTTGGTGAATAAACCTGCTTACATGTGAAGCAGTTACAGGGGGATGGGGGTGGATCCACACAGTGTAATGGCTTTCTCACACACACACACACACAGACACCAACACATTTTAATTTTCCTCTCTTGAATTGGTCAGTGAATTGACACTGAACAGTTCATAATAGTGTGACAAAACCACCACTAATTTTTTTCAGATGCAGACTTTTCCAAATATTCAGCTTTCGACAGCCGAGTCCAGTTCAGTTCTCTATTTTGTAATTTTATGACTAGGAGTCCTCCTGGTTGCAAAGGAGTGTCCGTTGGTCTAGCTTTCACACTACGGCACGGTAATATTAAGGCCCACAGAAAATGAGAAGGCAGTACACAGCCATAGTGATAAAACAACATCTTTTTGAAGGTTTTGTTACGTTCTTTATATTCTGCAATGCACCAGAACAAACAAACCCTCCTGCCCTTTCTCATCTTGCTCTCTTACTTTTATTAGTTATCTTTATTTATACAGTCCCCAATCCTTTGCTTGATAAACTAGCACTTGTGAAAATATTTCTCCATCATCAACTGACATTTTAAAAGTAACCATTGCACAGGTGAAAAAGAGAAAGCAGTGTGTCTACTTTTTATGCAAAATAATTGCTTAAAAACAGATACTAGCAATAAAGTAGAGAGTTTAAAACATTTTAATAAACTGACAATGACAGGAACTCTCTTTAATTGGTAACTTCATAAAGTGTCTGTTTGGAACGGCACTGAAAAAGATAGTTCAAGCAGGGATCATGTTGTATTTGATACTACCAATGAATAATTCTATTATGCTTTCTGTTTTCAGGCAATCTTTATTCTAAATGCTTTAGTGTGGGTAGATTAAGCAAGATTTTTTTTTAAATAGGGTGTTATTCATGAAGTCGTGTCCGACCCATTGCGACCCCATGGACAACTTTCCTCCAGGCCTTCCTGTCCTCCACCATCACCCAGAGTCCACTTAAGCTCACGCCGAATGCTTGACTCCATCCAGCCACCTCATTCTCTGCCGTCCCCTTCTCCTTTTGTCATCTATTGTTCCCAGCATTAGGCTCTTCTCCAGGGAGTCCTTCCTTCTCATTAGGTGGCCAAAGTATTTGAGTTTCATCTTCAGGATCTGGCCTTCTAAAGAGCAGTCAGGGTTGATCTCCCCTAGGACTGACTGGTTCGATCACCTTGCTGTCCAAGGGACTCGCAGGAGTCTCCGCCAGCACCACAATTCGAAGGCCTCAATTCTTCGGCACTCAGCCTTCCTTATCGTTGAGCTTTCACAGCCTTCACAGTCATACATTGCAAGTACAAAATCTAGACTATCACTAATGCTTTAAGCTCTTCATTGCTTTACTTCCAATGCAAACTGCTGCAAGCCTTACTTTTTAGACTACTTCTTTATGTCTTTTACTCAGCTACTCAAAAAGAACTACTATGAATTCTGAAAAGAGATATATGGGTGAAGGCAATGAGAAAGCAATTCATTTATTTGATAGGAATGGTATGACAATGATAACAAGCCAAACAACCACTATTTCAAAAGAAGCTTTAAAAATAAAATATTCAGTGAAAAATAAAATTAAAAGATTTTGCTTCATTGGGATGGCAAGCCATGGCCAGCAGAACTATAAAGCACTGGAATTGAGAGCCAAATTCATCTATTTGCCAGCACAGAAAGATTTGTGACATCAGATTTGTATGGTAGATGCTTCAACATCATGTTATATTTCATCAGGGACTGGTAACAATAACACTAGGACTACCATATTGTCAGGATACATGAAGATACAGTCTAAGTCTTTCAGTGCTTCTACTTTGATCTTCACCTAAAGATTGTTTTGTCTCAGAAACCCGTTTCATGCTCTTATGTCTCAGAATTCAGAAACAGCCATTCTGATGCAAAGCAGACCCCCTGGAATGGGTTTTTGCAGCAGGGACCCTACAAACTCACAAGCTGACCCAGTCCAGTCAGAACAGTGGAGGCACCAGGATTTGCAGATCCATGAAATCTTCAGTTATTCATAGTCCTACACTCTCTTCTAGGACAGGCGATGGGTAGGTGGAGTTGGAGGCTAGCTAACACCAAGGCAGGATACTGCCTTTTTAAATTTCTCCTAACTGGACCAGG